CTTCCACCTATCAAAAGCATCTCCCAGATCTCCTCTCTGAAGAAGAGTACTTCTAGTATTGATGCTTCAAAGCTTTCAGCGTTAGTTCTCTCAGACAGAGATGTTACAGTTAGCTCCAGCAATATTGTTAGGGATCTTCCCACGACAAACGCTGAACCAAGCAAGGCTGCTGGTATGAGTAGGGAAGCGGAAAAAAGACAGAATGTGGAAGATCCTGTTTCATCTGGAAACAGACCCAACTTAAAGAAGGCTGCTGATGAACTCGGCCCTCGTGGAACTTCAAAAGAGGCTCAGAAATCTGCGATTTCCAATGCAAAAGGCATGGATTTGAGAAAGGTGGTAAATGAGATGGAAGCTGATCCACTGGACTTGGCCCTTAAATCTCTGAAACCGCAGTCATTACCCCTGGCAAAACCAGGGGCCATTGTTCCCAAAAGACAAGTCATTCAACTTTGTGCACCTGTCACTAAGAAATCCGATCGTTGGCAAAGGCAAGAAGCCGGATTCAAAAGATTCAGACCACCAAAGCTTGAAGATTGGTTTAGAAAGATTTTGCAAATGGACTACTATGCCATAGTGGGATTGGCGTCAACAAATAAAGATGAGAATCAGAATGTTGGAAAATTTAGGGAAGTTCCTGTGCGCTTTAGTTCACCTGAGCAATATATTCAGATTTTTCAGCCCTTGGTTTTGGAGGAGTTTAAAGCACAGCTACAAAGTTCATTCCAGGAGATATCATCACTGGAAGAGATATATTATGGTGTTCTTTCAGTGTTGTCGATTGAAAGGGTTGACGATTTTCATTTTGTTCGTTTTATGCAAGATGAAAACGATGGATCCAACTCGAAAAGTTTCTCTGAAAATGACTTGGTTTTGTTCACGAAAGAGCATCCAGAAAACAGCAATGTCGCTGTTAATATGATGGGAAAGGTAAGTGGTATATTGCTTTACTTGCATGTGATTGATAAAGTAGATACAGGAATGTATATGCTTGACAACCATAAATATTACGTAGTTACTCGACCTAATATATTCAGGGTGCTGGTTTGGAGCTTCAGTGGAATTTGATTTACGTAGGTTTAATATAAGATAGAGGGTTATTCCTAATGTTCTAATACTTTACATAGTTGTTGGATATATACTTTGTTATGAGATAGAATGACCAGGATAGAGAGATTACTTACCTTGTTGTTTCTTAGGTAGAAGGACGTGAATGGGATGACAAAAAACGGTCCAGCATTTTGAATGTACGGTTGTATCTTCAGAATTCATCTTCACGTCTTAATCAAGCTAGAAGGAATCTCTTGGAACGTAGCCAGTGGCATGCAAGTCGCATTCTCAACATTACATCCCAAATTCGCGAGTTTCAAGCTCTGTCGTCCATAAAGGATATTCCTGTACTCCCTCTGATCTTAAGTCCTATGAATGATTCTAATTATGATTCCGAAGTTAAAAGATCAGATCTGCGTTCACTACCACATTCTCTACAGCAAATACTTAAATCATCTTTCAATGAGAGTCAACTTCAGGCTATTTGTGTTGCTATTGGCTCATCCAATTTGATGAAAGCTTTTGACATTTCACTTATCCAGGGTCCTCCAGGTTAGTCATTTTATCTCCTTGTCAATAAAGCTAATAATATCTATTATATGCTCTGGGAGAATGATTAACATTTTACACTAATTGATTGTTGATGTTGGACTTTAATGAATGTAAAGAAAATTTGTTTGCTCTACAGGGACTGGCAAGACGCGCACTATTGTTGCCATTATTAGTGGCTTGCTTGCATCCGCCTCACATAAAGCTAGTGACAGGGGAAATTCTGAACCAGATCATAGTTCTTCAACCTCTAGGCAGAGAATGAATCCGAATGTCGCTGTTGCAAGGGCATGGCAAGATGCAGCTCTGGCTAAACAGCTAAATGATGACGGCGAAACGAATAGAAAGATAGCAGAAAAGAATGGTAGAGGAAGGGTGCTGATCTGTGCTCAGTCAAATGCTGCAGTTGATGAATTAGTTTCAAGAATATCCAGTTTAGGCATATATGGCAGGGATGGGAAGATGTTCAAACCTTATCTTGTGAGGGTTGGAAATGCAAAAACTGTTCATTCAAATTCAATGCCCTTCTTTCTTGATACCCTTGTTGATCAGCGTTTGGCAGAGGAGAGAATGCGGATAAACGAATCTAAGAGTAATAAGGGTGCAGATTCTTCTGCATTACTGCGCTCTAATTTAGAAAAAATCGTTGATCAGATCACACATTTTGAAGCTAAGCGTGCAAACATAAACCAGGAAAGTTTAGACGCCAAAGATAAGCCGGAGAATGAACACCACAACAAAGATGATGATGGCAAGCCAATGTCCGATGCGGAGCTAGGAATAAGATTGCGAAGGTTATATGAGCAAAAGAGAAAAATTTACAAAGATCTTAGTGCTGTTCAGGCTCAAGAGAGAAAAGCCAACTATGAAATGAGAGCATTGAAACATAAGTTGCGGAAGTCCATTCTTAAAGAAGCTCAAATAGTCGTTACAACTTTAAGTGGTTGTGGAGGAGACCTGTACAGTGTGTGTGCTGAATCTTTATCAGCCCATAAATTTGGTAGTCCTTCTGAAGATAATTTATTTGATGCAGTAGTGATTGACGAAGCAGCTCAGGTAAATATTCAACATGCTTGATTGTTTGGCAAAGGTCTTCTCGTCACAACTCATAAATTCTTTGCTTTTGTTGCTTTACAGGCCCTGGAGCCTGCTACGTTGATTCCTCTACAACTGTTAAAGTCAAGAGGAACAAAATGTATAATGGTGAGAATCGTTCACTTGCATCTCAGAATGTTCTATCAAATCTGCAGTTTTATTTAATAACATTGCCGATTATTACAGGTTGGAGACCCAAAGCAGCTTCCAGCAACTGTGCTCTCTAACGTTGCAAGTAAATTTTTGTATGAATGCAGCATGTTTGAACGTCTGCAAAGGGCTGGGTACCCTATCCTTATGCTTACCCAGCAGGTACACATTTATTAGAATTTTCTGGCCTTCAGATTTAATTTGGAAGTTTTTCCTTCACATTATGTTCTCTTTTTTTGTGTTAATAAAATGATGGAAAGTTTGTTTTTAATTATAAAATTATATCTGTTTCTGGAAGTTGAGCTAACGTGTTCTCTGCTAACAGTATAGGATGCATCCAGAAATTTGTCGATTCCCGTCTATGCATTTCTACGACAATAAGTTACTAAATGGTGTTGACATGTCAAGTAAATCAGCACCGTTTCACGAGAGCCATCATCTTGGACCATATGTTTTCTATGATATTGTTGATGGCCAAGAGCAGCGAAGTGGCGATTCTAGCTCCGTATGCAATGAACAAGAAGCTGAAGCTGCTGTTCAACTGCTTAGATTTTTCAAGAAGAGGTCATTAATCATCTTAAGCTATCTATTCACACATGTTTTGGAGAGTTATATGATATTACTTTCCTCACTGGCTAGCTTGATGCTTACAGGTACCCCTCCGAATTTGTTGCTGGAAGAATTGGCATTATAACCCCTTACAAACGTCAGCTTGCCGTTTTGCGTTCGCGTTTCACTGGTGCATTTGGGGCTCAAGTAACAGCAGATATGGAAATGAATACTGTGGATGGCTTTCAAGGGAGAGAAGTGGACATATTAGTGTTATCCACTGTAAGAGCTACACATTCTGCTCCTGATGGGGTCAATCAAAGTCGGATTGGTTTTGTTGCAGATGTTAGACGCATGAATGTTGCTCTCACTAGAGCCAAACTCTCCCTTTGGGTTTTGGGTAACACACGTACCTTGCAAAGAGACCATAACTGGGGTGCTCTTGTGAAAGATGCAAAAGAAAGAGAAGTCATCATACCAGTTAAGCGACCGTACAACTACATGTTTGGTGAAAATGTGATGGAACAAAACCATTCTGAGAATCTTCCAAAGAATTTTCCTAAGCCTGAGAAACAGCATTCACGCCGCAAAGAGCAGAGAGCAGAGACATCTTCTGACAGAAAAATGAGGAAATCTGATGGAGATGTTGTGCCTATCTCATCAAAAGGATCAGAGAGCAAGCACAGCAGACGAAATGCCAAAGAAGAAGCTTCTTCTCAAAGGGAAAAACTAGTTGCAAGCTGTGAGAAAGTAGCATCCGAAGAGACTCTGAAACGGAGCCATGAAAAGAAAGAAAAAATGAAAGGCAGAGAGAAAAGCAGTAATCCAGAGAATACAGATGCTAATAGTTGGAAGAACGGAAATTCAGATGAGTGGAAGAAATCTAAGAAAGCTTCATCAAAGGTTGACAATAGCAAGAGGGCAAATCCCACTGATGAAATTGGACAGAAAGATAGACAAATAAACAAAGGCAATGCTTCTAATCAAGGAGGTGTTGAAGATATGATATCCAAACGAAAGCAACAGCGTGAAGCTGTTGCTGCCATTCTCAATTCGTCTCTGATTCCTTCACATAAGCCCAAACCTCCAAAGCGACCATTGTCCCCAGGTTCAACCGCTGGCAGTCATACAAGACCGCCTAAGGCGATCAAAGGTAAGATTTCATTGCATATCTAAGCTCTTTATGTTTTGCTTCAGAAGCTGATGTGCAATTGTAAATTAGTAATGTCTTAATACTGAATTACACTCTTCTTATTTGCAGAGTCGACCAAGAACAACAGTAAACAAAGATAACAAACAAACAACTGATTTCACAAAGGTTATTTCCCACAATCGTGAACCAGTTGCTAATATCCGGTTTCATGGGTAAGTTTTATAGATTCCTCTGGCATCATTCATCATAGATTCTCTCATGTACTAACTCTGAAACTAGCACTGGGAGGAAATTTTGGCTAACTTTTAGTGTTGGCAACTCCAATTGCAAAATTTTGTGTAAAGTTGCCTGCTAAGAAATTTTATTTTGCTGTATATATTATCTTTTATTTAGTAAAAGTAGTATACATGCCATTGGTTTTCTTTGTTTTAGAGCAAAATTAATTGGGATAATTTTCTAATGAGATTATTTGTTCCAACAGTACAAAAATTGAAGTCGCTGATACTCAAATTTCGCTAACACAACACCGAAAAGAAAACTCATAAGAAACCAAATCAATCTAGAATTATCCTTTCTAACATTTCAAGAGGCAGATGAAGGATCAGTCCCGCTCTTAACGGCGGACCAAATTTGACCAATGCCTCTGGTAACGTGAGGCCAAACGGCGTTAATTCCGTTAAGTGTCGCACCAGAAGCTAACCCTAACACGAAAGTCTCAACGTATCCAGGTTTCGTCTCCAGCTTCGCGTCGACGACGGCAAGCCTTCCATTAATGGCGTCGATTTTCCTCGCGTCGGTTACAAGCTTATCCTTGTTCGAGGCGTTTCTGGAAGACGAAACGACTCGGACGAGCGCGTTTTGTAGGTCTTCGATGACCTTAATCGAAGCTTCTGCTGGTTCTAGCCCTCGTTTCTGGTAGTGAGAGATTAGTTCCGTCGGAGTTGGGAATTTCTTCGATTTCTGCTTTTGTTCTGCTTTGGTTTCCTCCGCCGCGTTTGGTGTCGCAGGTTGCTTCATCTTCTTCTTCGCCGGGTAAACAAAGTACAGAATTTGAATCTCTTATCTGGGAAATTTTCCAAAGTACAGCTCCTGACGGAAGATAATTATTTGATTTTATTTATATTTTTAAAAATCAACTTTTTTCTTCGTGGACCGTCTGTTGGGCTTGGGCTCACGAATACTACTATGAAATTAGTAATTAAATTATTAGTATTTCGTATATTTTTGGGTGGCGATTTGTGATGACGTGTCAGCGACTCATTGGATCAGGTTTGTCCAATTAACAAAAAGAGTATATTTCTCAAGTCTTTGGATTTACGGTGACAAGAGTGAGAGAGTGGAGAACGCTTCTTCGGCTAGGACAAGCTTCGGTTTTCTTCTGATCATCCTCTGAAACCGTAATTTGTCTTCACTGTTTCTCCGATTTTGGGTTTTCTTACTCACAATTCGGAAACACGTATCTGGTATTTTGCCTACAATTTCGCTAATTCTCCGTCGTTTCTTAACGCATTACGTTTTCGTTTAGATCATGCTAGTGAGAATTTAGATCTGATTGGTTTATCGATAAATGTTGGTGTTTTCGATAAGTCTAGCTAAAGCTTACAGTAGAATTTCATATTGTCCGATTGATACAGAGAGCTTTCCCGGGGCTTAATCCTTGTCAGTTTTATTTCAGAAACTGTTATTATGCTGAAAACTATATATGGGAAGTGTTTCTCTCGAAGCCAATACCGTGAAGTGTGAAGAAGCAGTGGGATCAAGATATAGTCAGACTTAGTGGGTTACGATTAGTTCTCTCTTGTTATGCTGTGGTAAACCTTTGGAGGGTAATTTGTAGCGTAACAAGATTCAGCGTCCAAGTTCTGGGGCTGACCTGCCCCGTAGCACTGATTTTATACCTCTTCCCATTCTTCGGAGGGCAAATTCTTTACAAAATATGATGATGGATGAAGATGTTGAGCAGGCCAGTCTGATGTCTTACACTGACAAGCCAAGGACGTTCCCGGATATGCGTAGTAAAACCTACAGTCCATTGGTTAGGATATAATACTCTTCTCTATCGAGCATGTCTTTCTTATGCTATTGCTTGCATCAAAATACCATCATATGTATAAAAGTATGTGTTGGTGTTATAACTAGTTTTATTTCTATTTCTTTTAGTATCTTAATAATGAGTTGCTTTGTGCAGATAATCCGGATTCTGAGGAATTTAAATGTTCGTGCCCTTTCTGTTCTTCTGCTTTTGAGCTTTGGAGGGATCTTTTACATGGGAGCACGTACTTCTCCCATCATTGTGTTCGTCTTTGTCGTATGCATCATCAGTTTCATGTTGTCAGTATACCTGACCAAGTGGGTATTAGCCAAAGATGAAGGACCTCCAGAGATGGTTCAGGTAATTTCACACAAGTTTAATTTTTTTTATTCGTGATTTTGACTTTTTGTCTTCTTTGTACTCAGTTGCATTTTCAGTTCTGTGCTATGAGCTTATTCTTTTCTGTCTAGATATCAGATGCTATACGTGATGGAGCTGAAGGATTTTTCAAAACGCAGTATGGTACTATATCCAAGATGGCGTTCTTGCTAGCTTTTGTGATTCTTTGCATATATTTGTTCCGTAACTTAACCCCCCAGCAAGAGGCTTCTGGTTTAGGAAGGTGATGATACACGATCTTCTACAGGATCTTTTGTGCTGTTATAAATAACACTCAATGTATAACTTTGTGCTTCAGGACAATGTCTGCATACATTACTGTTGCTGCATTTCTTTTGGGCGCACTATGCTCAGGTATTGCTGGATATGTTGGAATGTGGGTGTCAGTTCGTGCTAATGTACGAGTTTCCAGTGCTGCTAGACGATCCGCAAGGGAAGCATTGCAGGTCTGTTCTTTTAGTATTAATAGGAATTTTTTTGTACACATGGCCAAATACTAAGTGATGGATTTAATTCAGATAGCTGTTCGTGCTGGTGGATTCTCAGCTCTGGTTGTTGTTGGTATGGCTGTGATTGGTATTGCCATCCTGTATTCTACATTTTATGTATGGTTGGACGTGGATTCACCAGGCTTAATGAAGGTTACTGATCGTAAGTCCTGGGTTCCTGTTCTCTGAATATCTTTCTTTTATGTTTGGCAATTCTATAGTAACTAGCTATATTCTATGCATCCGTGTGCTGAGTTCAGAAGATTTTGTTTATTTTTAGAGGCTCAAATTTAATCACAAACAGTATCTTCTTAATTATATCATATACCAAGTTCGCATCGTACATATATGGGTTTCAGGGAATCCGTTTTGCTGAATTTCGACAAATGACCATTTGCTCAAGAAGCAATAGCATGTGTTGAGTCTTCATCTCTAGAATCTGAATGCAAACATTTTTTGTGTTGTTCTCAAATGTTTAACGTTTGCAAACCCGAAATTGCATTTGCATGGAGAATATTGGAGTGATTGTTTATTGTAGTGTTACTTTTTAGCTTAATTGATTTGAATTTCACCTTTTTCGTACAGTGCCTCTTCTTCTTGTGGGATATGGTTTTGGTGCATCATTTGTTGCCTTATTTGCTCAGTTGGGTGGTGGAATATATACTAAGGGAGCTGATGTTGGGGCAGATTTGGTCGGGAAAGTTGAGCAGGGTATTCCTGAAGATGACCCACGGAATCCTGCAGTTATTGCTGATTTGGTATATAGTTCTTTTCATATTCCAATCCTTTGTGTATGAGTTTTTCGGGCCTGGAAAACCTTTTGTCATCAATGAAGCTGAAAATATTCACTTTGTTCATCATTGAAGCTTAAATCTCATCTTCTTGCAGGTTGGAGACAATGTTGGGGACTGCGCTGCTCGAGGTGCTGATTTATTTGAAAGTATAGCTGCAGAAATCATCAGTGCAATGATACTTGGGGGTACAATGGCTCAGAAGTGCAAAATTGAAGGTTTGTGGGGCAGCTCTGTTTTATTTTAAAGAGTTAAGACTGTTAGTATTTTTGCAATAAAATTGCATGGCTAGTTCTACTGTGGTCAAACTAGCAGAAAGTGTTTAAGAGTCACATATAGTAGTCCTTCTGTGACTAATATTCACCTTTATTCATGCTTCATGATTTTTCATTTCTTACTCAACCTTTTCGTTTATCATGCAGATCCATCTGGTTTTATTCTATTTCCTCTAGTTGTTCACTCGTTTGACTTGGTAATATCATCAATTGGTATTCTATCGATCAAGGGAACTCGCAATGCTACTGTGAAATCTCCAGTAGAGGATCCAATGGTTGTGCTTCAGAAAGGATATTCGCTGACTATTATATTAGCTGTTTTAACATTTGGCGCGGTAATGTCATCTACATATGTCATTGATTATTTTGTTCATTCTATGGCTGTTGTCTGTTGACCAGTAGCTTTTTGATGTTATTTTCAGTTTTATCGATAGTTAACTTTACACACACATGCACATAAGGGCACATCTAAGCAAGTGAAGTTCTTGTTAGTGCTGTAATTTCGATGGAATTCTCTGACACCATTACCTCTCTTTTTGTAGTCGACTCGTTGGCTGCTATACACTGAACAAGCTCCATATGCTTGGTTGAATTTCTTCATGTGTGGCTTGGTTGGCATTATCACAGCCTATGTCTTTGTCTGGATATCCAGATATTATACTGACTATAAGTATGAGCCTGTTCGGACGTTGGCTCTTGCTAGCTCCACTGGTCATGGAACCAATATAATTGCTGGGGTCAGCTTGGGTCTAGAGTCCACGGCTCTTCCTGTTTTAGTTATAAGTGTAGCTATCATTTCTGCTTTTTGGTTGGGAAATACCTCGGGATTAATGGATGAAAAGGGAAACCCCACTGGAGGTCTATTTGGAACAGCTGTAGCTACAATGGGAATGCTGAGCACTGCAGCTTATGTTCTTACAATGGACATGTTTGGCCCCATAGCTGATAATGCAGGTGGCATTGTTGAGATGAGCCAGCAGGTATGTATCATATGAGCGGTTAGAATTATTCCTATGTTGTATCTTTAATTTTCAAGCCTCTATAAAAATGTTTGTCTCTTGCAGCCAGAAAGTGTCCGTGAGATCACCGATGTTCTTGATGCTGTTGGGAATACCACAAAGGCAACAACAAAAGGGTTTGCTATTGGATCTGCTGCCCTTGCATCATTCCTTCTTTTTAGTGCCTATATGGATGAGGTTTCAGCGTTTGCTAATGTGTCTTTCAAAGAGGTACGTATATTATGTCTCTTGGCTGTATTCTGTTTCCTCTTTTTCGATTCCATTATATGGCACCTCGCATACTCATCCTCATTCTCGTCCTGACATCTAAACAGGTTGATATTGCGATCCCAGAAGTCTTCATCGGTGGGTTATTAGGTGCCATGCTTATATTCCTGTTTAGCGCTTGGGCTTGTGCAGCAGTTGGTCGAACTGCACAGGAGGTTGTCAATGAAGTAAGAAGACAGTTCATTGAGAGGCCTGGCATAATGGTAAATATAATTCCTTTGGAGCCCGTTCCCTTTTCTTCTTGTTTTTTCCATCGGTGTCTTTTTGAACTTTATGTAACAGGACTACAAGGAGAAGCCAGATTATGGTCGATGTGTTGCCATTGTCGCATCTTCAGCTTTGAGGGAAATGATAAAACCAGGAGCTTTGGCTATAATATCACCCATTGCAGTTGGTGAGTCAGTAAAATGTTGGTTAATCCGTGAAACGAGAAAGAAACAGACATGATGAACCAACCCTCTCTGTTTGGTGTCCTCAGGTTTTGTGTTCCGGATCTTGGGATACTACACAGGACAACCTCTGCTAGGAGCTAAAGTAGTAGCTGCAATGCTAATGTTTGCAACGGTGTGTGGTATCTTAATGGCTCTTTTCTTAAATACAGCAGGAGGTGCTTGGGACAATGCAAAGAAATACATTGAGACAGGAGCTCTAGGAGGCAAAGGAAGTGATTCTCATAAAGCTGCAGTAACTGGTGATACGTAAGCAATTTTTCATTTTCCTTGTACATCCTCTTCTTCGTAGTCTCTTCCTCATTGGTCATTTCCTTTGACTTTTATAGTGAAGTCAAATGTGTATTCTAATGAGAAATCAATTTTTATTTTTAATGGCAAGTGTGGGAGACCCTTTCAAGGACACAGCAGGACCGTCGATTCACGTTCTCATCAAAATGTTGGCGACTATCACGCTTGTCATGGCTCCAATCTTCCTCTGATAAAAGACATCTTATCCTTTTTGCACATATATAGAGTGAGTGAATGAGTGAGGTAGGTTTATGAATTTATGCAACATGGTTTAATGGTTTTTGTTTGTTCTCGCCTCTGCATTAAGTATGGTAGTTTTGTCTTAAATCAATGATCCTAATTCCTAAGCACTTCTCAGTGACATGTTACATTTTAAACTACAAATTTAGTCATTTTTTTCAACAAGGTTATACAGATTTACACAAAACTAGACACCAAGAGAACACATCAGCACCTCACCATTTTACCCAAGAAAGACAAAATATAACCACTTTAAACACTACCTAGTAGGCTATCATCTAATCAAGATATTAGTGACTAGTGAGCATCCACCATTACTCCCATGTACCGCGAAGTAACGGAGTAGCTTCAACATCGTCCCCGAAAGTCTTCAAAAGATCGCATGTCGATTCGTCACTGTCACTGTCACCCTCAGGCTCCAACTCCATCCCTAACTCTTCCTCTATATCGTTGGAAGCAGAGATCAGTAACAACTCACATCCTTCATAATTCAGGAAATCAGGCGGGTCGGCTGGACCAAACCGGGTATGACCTAAATGAGCTTGAAGATGGGCCGGGAACTGGGCCTTCCTCTTTCTCTGCAGCCCACCAAACCCTGACCTACCTCCTCCTTGCTCTGGATTTCGTATTTGGATCAAGAAGGATCCTTCTGGCTCAATGTTCATCGACTCTTGTGGCTCGTGTGCTCTGGTCTGCAAATCCGATGGGAATTCGAGTTTGTAGACAAGATGTGTGTGGTGCTTTCTTGTCGGACTAGTTTTATGTCGGAGAATTCTGTATATTCCTTCTCCGACAGCTCTCGCCGGCGGTTTGTGTCTATGTCCTCGAGTCTTGGTCTCATACTCTTCTGCAAAAAACAAATCAAAATCACAAACTTCACCAAATAATTTTACAAATTCACGAAATTCTTACCTCCTTTGAGAGCAGTTTTAACATCTTCAACACTGGTCGTCACCATCTCCACGAAACCCCAAAAAGGTTGCGATTTCTTGGTCGGATCTGGAAGACTTTTCTTACCCATCACAATGAATCGTAGCAGAAGCTGTTCCTCGATGTTCACTTTCTACGAAAAGAACCAGATTATAATCCTGTAATAAGAGCTGAATCCGTAGTGTTTGGTTCTTCTTCTACTTACCTCGACGCCGTGTCCTCCTTCACCTTGGTTCTTGGCGCCGGAGGAACTACTACTCGCGTCTCCGTCACCTGAATCTTTATCGGAACCTTCTTTACCTGAAAGAGGGTCTTGTTTCTCCTCGGTGGGATTCTCACCGGACTCAGGACGCATCACTATGTATAACCTTTGAACATCGTCCATACTGTGAGCTTCATCTTTGTTAACCTTTGGCCTATAAAAGAAGAATATTTCTCCTCTTTCCTGATTAACAAGTGACTGAGCTCTCATCAAGAAACAGAGAGAAAGAAAGTCTTTAACTCAAATACATGAACAAAGAACAGAGAAAGGTAATAAATTAAACCTGAATCTCAACTTGAGGATCTGGTCTCGTCTTAACTTCTTTACCTTGTCCCATTGTTGCAAAATTCTCCTACCTTGAGATTACTACTTCTCTTTTTTTTTAAAAGACTTGTTTTTGGTTTTAACACTTAACATCGTCAGAACATTCCCACGTTGTTCTTTACTTTGAGTTACGTGTCGACTAACATGTAATTCTTAGTCAAAAGGTTAAAATCTTTAAAATATAATTTCATATTTTCTCCAGCAGAATGTGCATTGGAAATTCATATTTCCTCGTAATATACATATTGTTTCTTTAATAGAAAATACAAAACTTTTATACACAAATCCGACTCTCTAATAAATCATAACCACCTTTCTTCTTCAGCTCAAATAAGCAACTCATTTTCTGAATAAATTGCGCTTGGCTTGCTTTCTACTCAAGTTATCTCCTGCAAATCAAATCTCAGTCATGAGTGTTTTTCTCAATAAACTTGTTACCTAAGATGAAACAAGAGAGTGATATCTTTACCAAATTCTTCAAAACTATGGGTTTGATATAGAAGATCCTGTATTCGATATTAAAGGAGCACTCCTACCTTCCTGTAATACCCACAATAACATTAACATCATAGAGACTAGAGATTGACATCTAATCTGATGTCACTGTCTTCGAATTAAAAACTCTTACGTACCGATGTATAAGAGACTTGACTAGGATACGAAGATCGTCCTTGTCCAGCATAAAACACAGACTCAAGACTCTCTTCACCAATCTCTCTAAGTCTATTAAGCTCAGGCATCACTTCTTTACCAAGATCAGGCCTATCTTTTCTTCTCAACTCAGCACATTGTAGTGATAACTTCGCAAGAGACAAAGCTTCCTCTAATGGCCAATCTGGTACTGCAGGATCAAGCATATCTTTCAATGTCCCTTCTTCTATCGCTTGTTCCACATAATAAGCCAAACCCATCGGCTGTTTCGCCGTCAAAAGCTGCAGAAGCATGATTCCTAGAGAATAAACATCTGATTTTACCCCCAACATTCCGGTTTGTTGATACTCTGGGTCGATGTAACAGAACGTTCCTGCAGCTGATGTTACTCTGTACTGAGTCACGTTTTCAGCTACCGCGGGGACGAGTCTTGCAAGCCCGACATCGCTGATCTTGCTGACGTAATTGTGGTCGAGAAGAACGTTTCCTGGCTTCAAGTCTCTGTGGACAATTGGTTCTGGTTTGGTCTGGTGGAGGAAGAGGAGACCCGTAGCGATCTCAGCAGCGATTCTGAAACGCAATTGCCATGAAATCGGGGGCGTGTTTCCGCGTCTGAAAAGGCGGTCATCTAAGCTTCCTTTGGCCATGTATTCGTAGACGAGAATACCGTATTCTGGACAAGCTCCCAAGAGAAGCACCATGTTTGGATGCCTTATGCAGCTTAGTACTTCAACCTGAGCGTCAAGACACATCAAGTTTCAAAGATTTTCATTCAACAACCTTTTTCTTGTAACACAAGTAAACACTAGGGGAAACAGAGTAAATGGAGAAAAAATTGTAGAGAAGATAGTAATTTTGTTACCTCTTTGTGAAACTGTGATCTTCCTTGAGCAGCGTCAGGGCGTAAAACCTTAACAGCAACACTTGTGTGATCAAGATGACCTCTAAACACAGGTCCATACCCTCCTTCTCCAACTTTTCTTGACTCTGCGAAGTTCGCTGTACCTTCTTCGATCTCTTGAACAGTATATTTTCTGTATCGAACAATGCTATGTCGAGAGAAAGAATCGCTTTCTTTCAATACCTTCATCTCTGCGTGTACCCTCCTCTTTGCTTCCACTTCAGCAAGCCTGTTTGCAGCTTCAGCAGCTTCCAAGGCTGTTTTGGCTTTTGCTCTCTCGTTTTCAACCATTGACATTGCTGTTTCCTCTGTCATCTTTAATTCCTCCAATCGTCTTTCCTCTTCTGTCCTCAGCTTTTGCAGCTCTGTCGCCTAAACCAGATTTTAACCAATTTATGAATCAATCTTGCTTGAGATAAAGAACAACATGGAAATATATAATAATTACCTCGTGCCTTGCGGTTAAAGCTTCTCTGCAAGCTGAACTATACATATCCATAGTTTGTTTCAGCTCTAAACGCAGTCTCTTCATTTGAGCTTCTACATCATCCTGCAACAAAACAAACATTTTCATGGAATGTAACAACAAATTGAATTAAAGACCGATAAAAAGAGAAAACATGGTTTGATTTCAACAACTTATACCAAGCTCTGAGATGAAAATGAACAAGAAGTTCTTCCACTTTCATCAGAAACCGAAGAAGAACCATTGAGATAACTCAAATCTGTAAACTTGATTCCTAATCTATGTGACCCAATGCTCTGCTCTGAGCTCGTTGACATTCTTGAGGTTCTTGCTGATTCTGGTAAGTCGTAGGTGAAGGAAGATCGGTCTACACTCGGCCTCCCGGAGCTGATGAAGGAAAGGTCGGATTCTTGTTGAGAAGCACTGATAAATGAGAACTCGGACTCTGAATCTGAGAAATCCCCCACTAATTTCATATGTCCATGTGGCGGTTTCGGAAGCCCTGATCTACAAAAAATCAAAAACAAGGTTTAGGAAATTGTTGAAGCAGTTAGATTCTGATATTTTCAATTGTTTTAACTAACAGAATAATACCTGGCACCATCTGAATCAACTGATCTTCGTCCCCTAGGCAAGGCCGGTGTGTTAGCTGTTGAAAACAAGGGAGACGGAAGAGTTAAGAATTAATGCGTTTGAGATGCTTGAAACGCAAGCAACAATATTTCCTCTCAAGGTTAAAACTCTGACCTGTTTTATGTTTTCTCTCAAGGGCAATAGTTTCATGATTATCTACTTCGCTGAGAACTGATGGATGGTAAGGAGCAGGACGCGAGGCGTTTCGTAACGAAGAGATTTTGCCTTTGGAAATGACGTAAACATTGCAGAAATCTGGAGCTGCCTTTGACACACTCGTTGGTAAATCCGTTTTGAATCTCCTGTTGATGATTCATAATTGGAAAAAGAAACCCTAATTTTGGTTAATACTTCTTCTACACTCAACCAATCAAGCAAAACCCTAATCAGTTTAATTACCTCATAAAGCTATTCCGTGATGGAGCACCAAGAACTAAATTCTCAATCGCAGAGACCGTAACATATTCGACTATCGCTTTGACTTTGTCTACATCTTCAAGCACAACGTCAAGACAATGAATCTGCATGCAGATATCCAAAAAAGAAAAGCTTCAAACTTTGATCTATTTAAACAAAAGTTAAATTTGTTCTAATTGATATGTATTATTACCTCTTTGCGGCTGCAGAAACAGTGGAAGGATACAAAGAGATCTTTCGTTTGTTTCTCCATTTGCTGCTTATGTGTTATTCCTTCTTCAATGTCTGCATGAAACACAAAAGCGAAAAATCATTGAGCAAAAAAAAAGGACCAATAAAATGTCAAACTAAAGAGAAAAAAATATATTATTGAGAATAATGTGGGGTAAATTAACCTAAAGAAGATTGAGATTTGGGAAGGACATGAATAAGAGCAAGAGTTTGGCCACGAGTAGCAAGATTCTCCAATGTCCATTTAATAGCATTTTGACTACTTTTGTCTTTGTCTATTGCAATCGCCACAGAACCACTTCTTGTTCCTTTATTTGACGCGTCCGCTTTCGGTAGCCACATTCTTCTTCTTCTTCTTCTTCTTCTTCTTTTTGCGAAAGTAAAATAAAAGAAATGGAGAAATTTACTTACTTTTCCTTAGTAAGTGTTATATTTGGAGGAAACATTTTAAAAAAAGATATAAAGAAAATTAGATAATGTAATAGGTGAGAGATTTTCTAAACTAGTTTTTTTTTATCTGATGGATGATGCTATTTGAAGGTTCTATATTTGGATGAAACTCTAATTTCGGAGGTTATAACTCAAACCACACAAAGTAATAAGGTTTTTTGGTAGAAACTTATCTGATTTCTATTAAATTTGTGGAAACTAGAAAAGTGTTAAACTAGATTAGCTACAAGAAAACATATTTCTATTTACTGCTCTTTTCAGTACCTTTAAAATGGAAGGTGCAACAACAACCAGATGAACGGTAGTAATTAAAAAGTATACATATTAATATGAAAAAGCACATTAAGATAAGATTTCCGTGACAAAAAATAAGCAAATAACTTTTAATACTTTTTCATGTAGAAGTAAATGATATATATAGCTCTTCTTTTACATCATTAACACCAATTATTTATTTTTGGTATTATAGTTATGTTTCGACAATAGTTCACAAAGAAACTGAAAAAGAACCAAGGACCACTTAGATCAGTCTTTTTTTTATCTTTACTATGATGCTTTCCTCTTCTTTTTTTTTTTGTGTTGAATTTCATAATTATGTATATATACCTTTTTGATCATTTCCCAATCATAAAAATTTCGACTGGAGATAATGACTACTTTTCCTGGAAAGTTCTGAATTAAGAAGTAAATTTATTCACACAAAAAAAAAGTAAATTTAATTCTATTTCACTAAAAATAAAACAGATTTTTTTTTTTTTGAACATCAAAAAAAAAATTTCTAATTTACGCTCCTTTGTCCCCGAGACTACAAGAAACAAATCAAATCGCACCAATAGCGCGTTGAGCGCGTGAGACCAAAACGCATGGACTAACACCCACGATATTGGGCTTTTTTGCGTAATTTTGAAATTGAGATGGCCGAGAGCGCGTGGTTGGGCCTTCTAACAACACTTTTTATTTTTTCCTATTTGGGCTTTCATTTTCTGTACAAAAGGAAATTGCATACGTTACTTTCGCATTTCCATAGAAAAAGGGATACACTTTACAAAGAACATTTATTTCTACACTGACATAGTGACATTAGCTAAATAAATAGTTTTGGTTTATAATTTTTTTTTTTTTGGTACAATATTTTAAGCAGTTTATAGGCAAACTCTTAAGAAGTTTCTGCTTTGTTTTGACGAGTGTCCTGCAAATTTCAACTAAAATAATATTTGGATTCACTGAATATTTATTTTGGCTCGACTTATCCGGAAAAAAAGTTTCCATATGGATCATATTACTATTTTTCGATTGGAGATAATAATATGACTATTAAAATGTAAACTTTATTTGTGTTTATGGACTATAGTACATGTAGTGGGAAGGTGCTTTTATGGAGATTCCTCAACTTTGCTACCATTCTTTTTTATTTATTTATTTGTATATTTTTAACTTTAATTGGTAACAACATTTATTGTTGCTCATTTATGCTATTTGGCTTTTAAGCCTTCAAGATCAATCATATTTTCAGATTTTTATATAAAAAAAGCTATCTCCTTTTATATTCCAACATCCATAACGTGAAAACAAACAATCAAACACACATCATTATCATTTTATTTTTTTACAAAAAGCCTAATAATAATCATCAAAAACTTTTGAATTTACTTGAATGGTTTCAAAAGTTTCTAGGAAGATAAAGGTTGAAGCTTTAAAGTTTACTCTGTTTTTTTGGGTAGAACAACTCGTGCAATGGGGGCTGTGTTGAAAGTGACAAATAGCTAAAAATTTCTCATGCATTTATTGAGTCTCTCTTTGGACCCGATCCCATTCAACTCATCTTCACACATGTCTCAAGCTCTCTCTCTTTCTCTCTTTTCTCTCTCTTCTTTCTCTGATCACAAGGTTATTTGTCTGAATCTCATTCTATTGAGTCATTATTGACCTCTGGAGAGATCCAGACTAAGTTTTGAAACCGACCAAAAGTCGAATTCATCATTGATCATACAATGTCTGGAGACTCTCTGCTCACATCTAAACAGTAATGTTTCATTCCTTTTCTCCAGTTTCTTTTCTTGGCTGGTTATTGATTCTTCTCCCTCTCGGTTTCTTCCTAATTCGTTTACTGATGTGTTTTGCAGAGGAGGTTTTTTGTCCAGATTCTCACAGGTTCTGATTCCTCAATGAAAGATATTCCATTACCTTGTTCCTCAAGCTGTCAATTCACTTGAAACTTACTTTCTTTTGACTCTGTTTTCTCTGAAAAGTATAGCCAAAGAATGTTACTAAAGAGTTCAACGGTTGTGATTCCCCCAAGAGCAGCAAATTTCACCTCTACAGATTTGAACTCGAGCACGATGTGAGTTTCGCTCACCTCTCTTTTAACCATATCGATAAATCTGTAAAAATTTGTTAAAGCTCACACTTGTCTGACACAGGTGCAGCGGTTAAAAGATCAACTGCAGAAAGAGATTGCACTGCGCGCTCTATTGCTCAAAGCTTCAGATCAAAGCCATAAGATTGAGCTGTCTCACGCATCTTCTCTTCCGCATAGCGTATGTTTCTCCAAATTGTCTTAAGTTCTACGCTTGTAATGTTCAGGGATATAAGCTTGAACCTTATGAATGTTCCTAAGAAAACCCGTCTGCAGGTTCAAGAACTTCTCTCCAACATAGCAGCTATGGAAGCTGCGGTCTCTAAGCTCGAACAAGAGATCATGTCTCTGCATTTCTTGCTGATTCAAGAACGAAATGAGAGAAAACTTGCCGAGTACAACCTCACTCATTCGCTATCTCCACCTGTATGTTAAATAAATTCTTCTGTATGTTAAATATTTGTCTGCTGCGATTGGCTCTGATTATAAAATTGTTGCCCAGAACGCTTTAGATTTGGTTAGACTTTCCGAGAAGAACGAAACTTTACGCAGTAAAGATCACAGAGCACAACCTAGAAGCAAACTGGCAAAGTCCTTGCAAAGTTTTGATAATGCTAATGAACTATCCAAGGAGATGATCAGATGTATGAGAAACATATTTGTGTCTCTAGGAGAGACATCCGCAGGATCCAAATCCTCACAAGAGACTACCAGTGTTTCTTCTCGTGAGAATCCTCCATCATCATCAACATCGTGGTGGTCTCCTTCAGAACACTCACGGATCTCCAGGTGGGCACAGAGTCCACGGATCGATATTCAGAAGAACTCAGATGTTTTAGCAACAGAGAGCAATGCATTTGATCCATATACAGTCCAAGGAAAGCTGAGCTGGGCTGACATCGGGAGTTACAGATCTGCAACTGAAGTGGCTTCAATGTCTGTTGAGGAGAAAAGGCTCGCATATGCTTCAGATGAGTTATGGAGATTCAGGTATTAAACACACAGTTCAAGCAACTTCTGAGATTCAGTTATGGTCGTTGGAACTTGACAAACTTTCATGTGGTATTTTCATTACAGGAACCTCGTCGAAAGACTTGCCAGAGTAAATCCAACAGAACTAAGCCACAATGAGAAGCTCGCCTTCTGGATCAACATACACAATGCCATGATCATGCATGTAATAATGTCTTTTGGAATTTCCCTAAACTTAGATTTGCAGATACAAAACTTACAATGTCCTGATTGTCTGATTCAGGCATACTTAGCTTACGGCGTACCAAAAACTGATTTAAAGCTCTTCTCCTTGATGCAAAAGGTTTGATCTCCACACACAGAACTACTTAACTCTTCTTGGTTTGGTTCGGACAGAGGTTAATAGAAGTCTCTGATTTGGAGATTCTATCAGGCTGCTTATACAGTTGGTGGACATTCATACAACGCAGTAACGATCGAATACATGACTCTAAAGATGAGCCCTCCTCTGCATCGTCCTCAAATTGTACTAAACTCATCTTAAACTTTTTTAGTTTCTGCAACTTCTTCACTTTCTACTCTATAACTCTTACCTAAACCTGGATATTCAGGCTCTGCTTCTCTCCATTCTCAAGCTGAAAGTATCAGATGAACAGAGACAAGCGGGGATAAGTACACCTGAACCTCTAGTGTCATTTGCTCTCAGCTGCGGAATGCACTCATCTCCTGCGGTAATCTGTCCATATCTATCTGCATTCTACATCAGATTCTTGAACCGATTTTGCCAATTTCTCACATAAATCGTTTGCAGGTGAGGATATACACAGCCGAGAACGTAGGAGAAGAACTGGAAGAAGCTCAGAAAGATTATATCCAGGCGTCAGTGGGAGTGAGCCCCAGGGGGAAGTTGATTGTGCCCCAAATGCTTCACTGTTTTGCCAAGAAATCTGTCGATGACTGCAAGGTTGCTCTGTGGATTTCACGTCATTTGCCTCCTCGCCAAGCTGCATTTGTTGAGCAGTGTATTCACCGGCGACAACGGTGGGGTTTTCTGGGTTCATCTAGTAGCAAATGCGGTGTAGTTCCCTTTGATTCACGGTTCCGGTATTTGTTTCTTCCGTAGCAAGGCATTGATATGCAATGATGTGATTAAAGCAAATACTGTTCCGATCCTAGGGTTTAGGTCTATAATTACTATTTAGGTGATTCAATCTTCTTTTCTAAAACTAATAAACAAATCAAAGGATATAGATCTGCTAAACGAAATAAGAAGAAGAAATACATTCTCTCAAATTGCAAAAGTATAGTAGTATCACCAGGGTACATGTTATTCAGAAAAATAACTAAATATTATGTGTTCATAAGAAGGACGAGATGAAACTAACTAGGCATTGATGGATGAAATGTCTACTTTGCGAGATGCTTGGACCATGTTCTTGTTTCCAGGGAAGGACTTGCGGGAGACGTCCACGAGTGCTTTGAAGCTGTAAGGTTCATGCATAGATAACTCAGAGAGGACTTTGCGGTTCAGCTGGATGTTCTCCTTCATCAGTCCATGGATGAAATTACCGTAGTTCACCTGTAACAAGTTTTAGATGTTAGGATTCCAATCAAACATGGCATTTCCATGTTCTTCACAAGAAACAGAGTATTATAATAGCATATGTTTGAAAGAGATAAACAAAATTAAGCAACAAGACTAGAAGTGAACAGAAGTCACAAAGTGAGGACAAAACAAAAGTGTTACAAAGCTGAAACGAGGTAACCGAGTTAGATAAATATGATTGTCTACTTGTATTAGGAATTAATCATGGTTTGGTTTCAGTTATTGACAGGAAATGTATTTGTCATATTACCAACACGAAATGATTCACTTCTTTAAGCATCTTTGAGCTCTAAGGTAAACATTCACATCTTTAATCTGAAGAAAACAAGCTATCTAAAATGCACTTAATGCAACGATTCAATCTAAACCATTCGCTTCTAGTTATACCCAACAAGTTCTATTTCTATCACAATGTAGATGCAAACACAGAGTGCCACTGAATAAGAAAAATCTCTAGAACACAGCAAACAAATTAAAACTAAAATGTAATCCATCAAGTTCTGTTTGAAAGATCAAACTACAACTTGTTATAATAGCTACCAGACTCGGGAGGAATCAAGCACCCAATTTAACATAACAAAACCCTAAATCCCAAGGTCCATCCTAAAAGAAACTCATCATGGAATTCGATATAAACCAACGATTATCTCATCATTCCTAAACAAATGATAATTTTATCGAATCAATGCATTTAGCAGTGAATCAGGCAAGAATTCGGGGGAAAAACGTACACCGTGCTGACGAGAACCAGCGTTGATGCGCTCGATCCAGAGACCCCTCATCTCACGTTTCTTGTTGCGCCTATCTCTGTAAGAGTACTGCAGCGCTTTCTCAACTCTTTCTCTCGCAATTCTTATGCAATTCTTCGCTCTTCCTCTGAAACCCTTCGCTAGCTTGAAGATCTCCTTCTTGTTCATCTTTTCTCCTTTCTTCTTCCTCCTCCTCTCTATTCTTCGTCCTTCTCTCACTACTACTACTACTGTGACACCATTTCCTTCTTCTAACGCCGCCGCTGTGTTTCCCCTTCTGTTTCAATTCCGGGTCGTTCGGGTCGGGTTGCGGACAAATCCGGTCATAATTAAAACCCATTCGCCACCTAATGGGCCTTTATTATTTAATATCACAAACTAGATAAAGCCCATTACCCGTCCATTAACGCCCAACAGTAGACACCTGTTGCCACGTCATGAAGAGACGTTAACACGTGTCACTTACGCTTCATTTTCCCGGGAAAGAAACAAAAACAAAAACCTTAATTATTTTCCCGGAAACAGAGTTTAAGTGGCTTTGCTCTGTTCTTCTCGACCCATCATCACACAGAAAAACCCAAAAGAGAAAGACTTTTTTACCTGTCAAAATCTTCTAGTAACAAATGGAAAATCATCACCGAACCTCCGCCACAAAATCCGACGGCGAAGCAGTCTCAGACGATGTGGGCCAGGGGAAGCTATATTCTCCAAACCACGCGATCAAAATCGCTCCAAAATCCGACGAAAACGTGGGCCAAGGGAACCTCTACTCTCCTGACCACGCGATCAAAATCGCTAAGAACCCTAATTCTGTGGATTCATCATCAGAGGAAGAAGAAGGAGAGAAGCAGAGGAAGACGATGATGTTGGGGCTGAAGAATCTTGCATCTGTTAAGGATAAAGTATTAGAGAAACTAGCGGCTGCTTCGGTTCCATCGGAGTCGCTTGAAAACGCTAAACAGTTTTTGGAAGGTGCGATTAAGGATTTCGCTGGAGCGGCGCAGGGTATGACGAAAGACGCCTTGCACCGGATTAAAACTCATCTCGCTGTTATTGTTCCGTCTGTTTCTCCTGCCGTCACCGGAAAGGTTTGGTTTTAATACAATTGGTCCGCCCGATAAACTAATTTGGAATTTCTTTTGTCTCATTTGTGAATTTTCTTTGGACGTGGAGCAGATAGTGGACGATGCTGAGAAAGAAGCCACTAACGGAGAGGAAGAAGATGAGAGCAAGTCAAAAGAAAGCTCCGGAGACGAAGTCGCCGAAAAGTTGCCGTATGTGTCGCCGACGTCTTCATTTTTCGGCTCTCTCGCCAAACCTTTCTCGAAGCTTTGATGGTTTTTGGGTCTTATTACGCCTAGGCTACGTGATTATCTGAGATAAATAAGACAAAATCTGAGATCATCAGAAATTTCGTGTTTACTTAAAAGTTAAAATGATGAAGATGTATTGGTCATTTTATAATGAGTTTGGTGTAATGGAATACAGACTTTCACACCCCTTTTATGAGTTAGGCCTTGGATTGTTTGTATTAGCACAGAAATTTAGAGTTGAATATAAGAAATAAATGTTAATGGACATAAAGAGATCAAAGAGATTCTTGTATGTACAAGTTATACATGTACGTATGTATATATGTATGGAATCTGAGCTTGAGATGAGTACACTAGACAAATTGGAATCAATGATTCTACTTCTCATGTGTTCTTCTCAAGTACAGATAAAGCCGGAGTCAGATAGTTGTTCGCCTTGTCTGGCAAATGAGCCACCTGAGAGAGACAAACACTATCAGATGATACAATGATGAAGATGTGACTTATATTGCAAGTGGATTACTCTTTACCAGCTCATAGAGCTCTATTCCTTGCTCAGCGACATATTCATGGCAAACCTGCAAAAACCAAATGGAAGAAATTTGAGAGATCCATGTGATTTCTTCTTTATAGATCAAAGATTGAATCTTTTTTAGTATTTGCTCTTGAAATGGGTAAAAGATTGAATCTGTCTCAGTTCTTTCTGTATAAACTGGAACTCACATCAAAGCTTTTGTTTCTAGCGGTTGAATCATGCAGTGCCTTGACACATATATCAGCCACATCCGCGCAACTAATGCCCTGAAATTGAAAGAAAAATTGCGCATTGGGAAGTTATAAGTAAGCTCCATCAGAGAATCTTTTGCTAGGTGGCTTGAGTTTTTTTGTTCGTGAATGAAATAACCTGAGAAATTCTGTTTCCTTGATCAAATATCAGAGCTCGTTGCCCGCCTGGTTCCTCCTATGTCAGAAAATTTGAATTCAAAGCCATATACATACACATTGGTTGTAACTCAAAGAACAGTACCTTCAAGGGGCCGGGACGAATGATGGTGTATCCAAGGCCTGATCTCCTCAAAGAATCTTCACCAGCCTAGCAAATTTTTAGCGGACATCAAGGGAGAGGGAAAAATAGATGTGAAAAGATGGAACCTACTGGCACAAAAGCCCTGACGATCTGTAGCCTCGAAAGATTCAGAAGTTATTATAATGTGTAAGACAAAATAGACTTACCCTCTTGGCTTTCAACACTTGCTCCCTTCTGTTAGGTTCTACTCCCGAACCAGTACACGATACCAGAATAAAGTCTGTTTCTTGACCCGCCTGCAGACAAAAATGCGGAAAGTTGATATAGTATCTGTTTTTTTCGTTCTTTCGGGTGATGATCAGAAAGGGGACATTAAGTTGGAGTACTTACAGGCAAAGCTTTTATGTACTCGAATACAAGGCTAAAACTTCTCAGATCTTGTTGCGCAGCAGCAAGTCCATCAACAGGTCTCTGAAAGAGGAAAAACCCCAAGAGATTGCTAACTCAGACACCAACGAATGAAAGTTTTCGATTAATGATCATACAGATCAATCCCCCCAAAAAAACTGCTGAAGCGTTGAAAAGAGTAAGCAAACCTGTCTTTTAGGCTCAAAGCGTATTGTCAATGTGTGAACAAGAAATGGATCTAGCGGTGGATCTTCTGGGTTAACCGGACGAAAAGCTGAAAATGGCACCCTTACCTGCCCAAGGAACCAAAGTTTTAGACAGAAAAATAACGGAAAAGGGGTCAGACTAATGAGCAAGACCGATGATGCTTTTCATACCCGACAAAAACCTGCTTTGGTACTGATCCTTGCGAAATACTGTTTGCTCTGAGACATATCTGATGATGGACCAGCTTCAAGGATTACAACATAGGATCTTCCATTCCCACCAACAGAAAGAACTAAGCCTTCATACCTATTGATATAAAAGAATAGGCATACAAAGGAAGCTAAGGCTAGGTAGATGGTTTCAGGAGGGATTAGAAATTTCATTAATACTACTCGTAGGTTATCCCCTTTCTCCAAATTTCTATGATCGATTCATTTCACAGAACAAGCTGAGAGTAAGGATGGTTGATAGGAAATCGCACAATACCTGTCAAGAGTGGTGCCCAGTGGAAGTGAAAGTTTCTTCGACAACTCAACATATCCTCCTCGGGTGAAAACATAACCTGCATTTGAAACCTGATTAAACCACTATAGCTGAAAAAATACATCAAAAGGAAAAAACTTTCGCATTGCCATATTCTCAGAAGAGATAAATGTGTACCTGAAAACTCAGCTCTCTCAGTTTCTGTGAACTCGAACTTAGCATCCATCCCACCATCATATTTGGAAGCAGTTGTGTCCTGAAAGTAAGTTCCTTGACGAATTTCCCAACCATCGAGTGACTCAGCCGACTTGAACTTAGCTATTAGAAGCTTGCTTTTGCTGCTTTTACCCGCTCTTAATTGCGCTAGTCTGTTATTGTAATCCTGCAAATGCTCAAACAACACACAGGAATAACTACTCTCTGCTCAACAAAACAAGATACCAAATCAACCATGGTTTAGTCATGGACAAATCTTACTATACCTGAAAAGCCTTGGTGAGGTTATAAACACCCAAATGATCAACCCGGCTAAGGTCTGCAGTAATCGTAGACCGAGCAGTCGCACAGTAGATGATCTTGTTGCAGCTTTCGACAGCGGATTTGAGCGTTGACGGCTCGCCCACATCTCCAACCACAATATCCACTGATCTTGGCAACATACTCATCACTTCCTCATCTTGTTTCCTCACCAGTGCCTAAACAGTAACCTCAGTCTCTTAAAAAACTCTAAAGCATTTACATAAACTTTATATTATACTATAAATCAGCATTTATTGAATATAAACGAACCTTGACGGTGTAGCCACGGAGCATGAGTTTACGGACAACGATACGGCCGATTCGGCTAGTGGCTCCAACGACTAAAACGGTAACGTTTTGAGCGCCGGGGACAGCGAACTCACACATAGGTCCTTCTCTAATGAGAAGACTATCAAGAGTCTCCTGCTCATCGGGTCGGGTCGTCCTCGACATCTGACCTAATCCAGAGAATTTCCGCCACACCTCGTCGAAAATCTGCCGCGATCGCCGTCCTAACCCCACAGGATTCACATCGTCCAATTTCAGAGTAGGCGGAGACGGTGGTGATTGAGCGGTCGGCGGCGGAGAAACGTCGAGCTTCTTGGCGACCGTCTCTTCGCTTTCCTTAGTAGTTGTGGTTCCGGGTCGGGTCTTAGTCTTCTTTTTGTCGGAGGGTGGAGATGGAGACGGAGAAGAAGAAGATTGAGCCCTAGGGATTACGATTTGGGAGCGATCATGGAATCTGTGAATTCTGGTGTTGATGCTGAAACTGTTGCCAAAATTGGAGCTTAGAAACCTCGCATCAGTGGCCGCCATGTTACTGCCAACAATACTACCTACCATTTTTTTGAAACTCTGCTTCTGCAACAAAACCAGAGCTCAATTTTGAAAAATATAAGTATATCAAACAATTTGGATAAATTATACTAAATGGTTACAATTGTTTTGTTATGTGAATCTTGGAATCTTATATGCATGCTAGACTGTCATTGAGAAGACAGACTCTTTCTTGGTCGAAATTGGAAATGGATAACGAAAGTGAGGCTTTTCAAGTTTTTTTGTCGTTTGAGAAAATATAATTACAAGAAAAAGAAATGGTTGGATCGGAGGATTTTGACATTTCGGGATGAAAGAAAGAACAAGGAGACTGAGGAGTGAAGAAGACCACAGAATTTGGTTTGTGTGTTTTGGACAGTGATATGACTTATGAGCCAATTAACTTGCCACGTACACTCTCGCTTTTCCTCTTCTTTTTTTTTTAATAAGAAAAAACCCGAAAATTTCAATCCAATTTCCAAGTATATAGTAATTCCATAAAATTTCATATATGTATATTTCAATTTGAGTTAAGAAAACTGTTTAGAGATTATTTTTTTGATTATGTTTTTTTATTTTAATTTATTGGAAACTAAAGCTTTTTTTTTTTTTTTTGATAAAGGAAACTAAAGCAATAAGACTGAACACCAACAAGATCAGAAGAAATACACAAACCTGTATTTGATATTTATGAATGTTTGGTATCATAAAATATAAAGTGGATACACAAATTTCCAAGACTTTCTCAATAAGATACAATAAATATGCATATGTTATCAGTTGGATCTAATAGTAACAGTAGAATGTGTAGCGAATATGCATATTGCTATTATTAATTAGAGCTAACAATAACATTTGCATTACAAAACTACACAAATTTAGCAGGTCGTGATAACGTTTACCTTATGAAACCAGAACCTAAATCAATTAAACTATATAAAACTGTTGATACAAGTTCATCCAAAAATGTAAGAGAAGGAAGCATCCTATGATACACACTTCATCTTACTTATCTAGCAAGTTATCTACTTTTATGTATGTATATATATATTACATTCCTGCCACACCCCCAAAGGGATAAGGCATTTTACAAAATGTACTACAAATAGAAAACGAAGAGGAAGAAGACACAGTAAGCAGACACAGAGTGTATGTCTATATAACCAAAGAATCACCAGCCAGATCAAGCCACTGAACTAATCCAAGACTCTGGTCTCATTTCTTCCTTTTAGCAACCTTACCCAGAGCATAAGTTAGCATCTACGAGGATTCTTCTGCTTCAATTGGCACTTAAGCTGAGAAACTCTTCAAGTCACTCAAGAGCTAGGTTCCCCCCCAAGTTATTCATCATCATCACTCTACGACTTGTTGTGACTGTTAAATATGAATCCATCTAAATTAAAACCGTTATAGGGTTGTTTCATGTCTTCACTAGCTGCTGTTATTCACTATTTCTTCATCTTCTCCAAGTGGAGATCATAAACACCAGCTTCTTTTATCTTCTTAACCTTCGGAAGAAGATTACCTTCCACTTCTGCTTCGATCCTAAATGAAATTAGTATTTACAAATTAATCAACCGGAGGTTCCAGCGACTTCTGCGGCTCTCTGTCTCATCATCTCCATGACGGCAGCTCTGCGTCGTGAATCTGATTGCTGTTGTAACCTTCTCAGATGTTCCTTTAGGTCCCTGAATAAACAGATTTACAATGATCAATACAAATCATGCGGATCATTTGCTTTAAAAAGCTTTGCCATATGTTATGCCATGGTCCTAATATATCCAAGGATGTCGTTTGCTATTGAAATTCTCAGATGTGGCATGAGAAAAACCATGACTCCAGGAAGAAAAAGATAAAGTTTCCATTTTTAAGTTTTTACTTGTTGATGAGAAGGCATATAGTGAATGATCCCCGCAAAGAAATCGATTGCAAAATGTTAGACAGGGACAGAAGTTAAACAGATTACCCGCATCGAGGTACATCACACTTGGATTCCTTGCAGGCCCGAGCGTGGAGTTGCAAGAGATACCACATTTTCTTGCATAGAACACAACCTCCTGAGGCACGTATTTTGCAGCGGAGACCATGTCGGAATAGCCCCTTCACTTTGCGGCAATTGGGATATTGACAAAGTGGAGAACGGCATTGCGACGCATGCACCAGAAGATCGAGCATTTTTCTGAGCTGCATATTTTAGATAAATGAAAATTTTAGCATTTCGACACATTTTGGGAGCTATATGACCTAACAAAGCCCATCCATTTTCTCAATTCAGAAGAAACCTAAAGCAAGAGAAGAAGAGGCAGCTTTTTCAAGAGGATCTACCATGAGCAACAAAAAAAAAACTGAATCTTACAATACCTGCAAGACCCGCAATTGCCTAGCTTCTTTATTCTGAGCGTTTTGCTCAGCTAGAGATGGATGATTTGTTAACTTATGAGGATGATTAATACAACCCTCTTTATTGTAACAAGCATTGCACACATCATAGTCTGGGCAAACTTCACAACGCCAGCCTTGACCACTTTCAATATCGAGGTGACATGCGTTACATGTTGTCACAAAGGCAGGAGCAGTTGGATTATGCAGATGATAAAGCACCATCATGGAAGAATGTTTTGCCCGCCTCAGTGTATCATACTGATAATGGTTCCCTTGACATAGACTCAGGAATGCTTGCCTTGTATCAAAAAATTCACTTTCAAGTATCTCATCTCTGTCCTTAGTATCCGTAGGAATATCGGCGATCTCAACCTACAATATCAAACACATTATCTTGTGTGATACAATAAAATACAGAAACGCATGAGACTAAATGACAGAACCTCTTCTCAGTTCCTGACCCAAAACAAGCCAATGCAACTTACAGGAAAAAGTTTATGTTTATCTTTGTGATTAACAGGATGTCTTTCTCTGTCTTCTCGTTTCTGTTCAGCCTCATAACATCTGAAAGGTAGAAGAATAACGTTTTAGAGATTGCAATACCCAATCAGGAATAGCACACAAGGTTTATCAATAAATTTCTTCCACAAAGATAACCACCAACGCTTCCAAGTTGTACAAACCAATTCACAATAACAAAAGCGCCAAAACGAGCAAAAAAAATAAACACCAGAAAAGAAAGGACAATTCTTACCCATCACATAACTGGAAATCTTTGCATTGGCTGCAAACCCAACGATTTCCAGTTACCATCAGTGAACAGCAATGCGTGCAACAATGCTGCAAGTGAACCATGATAAAATCCTCCTTCATTGGATGAATGGTCTCACCAAGCTAAAAACAAACATAAATAATATTAACACGAACACAAAACTAAAAAAAAAAAAACGGAATTACTTGAGCTGATATGCAGGATAGGAAATGTGATAGAAAGAATTGACTACTTTATGCATTAGCAGCAGATCTTTGGAAGCATTCCCAGAGAGATCCGATTGGCCAGATGCTTTAAGAGCCCTTTTTGTGATGGGTTTCTTGAGTATTCCTTTCTTATTTCCCTTTCTACCATCATCTTCTTGACTCATTTGGTATATGATATCCTCTGCTGCACCTGGCCAGTAGTCACCATCGAAGTACGGGAGCCTAGCTGCTGTAACCTTAGCTCTACATTCACCAGTTTGCAAGAAAAAATGGTCATATAGATTTGTAGTTTCCGCAACAATTCCTTCCTTTGCAGCTTTTCTCAACATTGCTAAGTACCTGTGTAGACCAGGAGCAATTGGAGAATAAAGGATTTTTCCTACGAAAATTGTATGAAGAAAATCACCAAAGACAATAAGACTGACCATTCCCGTAGTTTATCGGACTTTGGTGTTTTCTGAATTTCTGGATGGCAATATAGGATATAATCCTCGCCCTTCAGTGGTGGACAAGCCCATATGTAGCAGCTCGTGAAACCACGCAATTTGCAGTATTCCAGGTAACCAATCTGAAAAAAGCATCAAGGTATACCCTTAAATCATCCATGTAATGTAGAAGACCACATAAACCTAGGTTGAGAAAACCAGAACTTACAAGAATTTCGTGGTAAACGAAAGTACGCAGAGCCTCTCCATTAGCAGATTTAATATCAGGTCTAAAGTACTTAACAGAATCCAAATACGAGAGATAAACACGGCGTTGATTAGGATTTGAACATTCGGATCCAAACTCTTGGACATACATCCCAAACAAGCATACTTCTACACCTTCTATCTTCTGGAACAACAGAACCACCTGATAGATATAATGTGGAGCACGAAAAATATTATTTCAAGAGAGGAATCCTGAAAATGTTAAATGTGGTCATGAAGCAAATACAATGACGGTGTGCGTCGATCATTTTTACCTTGGACTTGTATGGAAATTCTGTCGGAAAATTATCCTCCCGAAAAATTTCAAGAAATCGAGATTTGACTTCCAGCTTCTTGTCAACAGATGAAACAACTCTAACCACAAGGGATTCAGCAGTTGGAATCTGTTAGTGCCAGGAAAAGAAAAATTAAACAATGAGTGACCAACCAGTAAGCTTCAATCTATTGTTTCCAGTGAAGTAGCACTTCAGTAAACAATAGAAGATAGGACTCAATGCTAAATCACATGAGACTTTAAAACCTTGTGTTCCACCGCCAGATTACCTCATCATAACTTGTTCCTTGAACCCTGGCTCTCTCAGTCCTTTCCTGCTTCAGCCTTTTAAACAACCGCTGCTCTATATGGTCACTGAGAATTGTTCTTGGCAGATCTTTCGCTCCAAGAACAGCACTCTGAAGTAAAGGCTTTCTCTCATTTTGCTCCACCTCAATTATATAGCAATTTGGGCAGGTATACTCAGCTTGCCCCCCATCATTCCTCCGCCCATTAAATAGAGCACATATTTGATGCTGCCAGGCCTCACATTTATCACATTGGACCCACTGCAAAAAACATGGCACGCAATAGCCAAACTCAGAAAAACCTACAAAACGGGAGGCAAATGACAATACCACTCTACTGAGTGGAGTCTTACCCATTCTTCAGTCTCTTCATCGTTTTTCTTTTTCTCGAGTTTTTCCTTTGGTATTGACTTCCCTTCAGCGAGAATACTGTCTCCTCGGGATTCATTATAACAGGGAATACAGAAGTAATGACGAGTTTCACCACCTCCAACAGTATAGTACATCGCATTCCTCTTGATTCGAGCACCACAAGGAGTACAATAAATAGGTGGTGGCTCAAATGTAAGCTTCTCCACCGCACATAACTGGCAGGAATTCTCACTCATCGAATTCTCCATTGCCTGATTCTTTTCTGCTTTGGCTTTACTCTGCACACACATAAAAATTAAATGACAAGGTATTCATCAACAATTACACAGCTAGAGATTAATCTTTAAAAAATAACAACGGTAAAACCAATCCAGAAAAGAGAAAATACAATGTTAGATATATGAATATACTAGCTTTTCCGTCAACTTTTTAGTAAATAAAATAGCAAACCTGGCCAACCCACTGACGAAGACCACGAATATGCTCTCTCACTTGTTCGGGAGTGAACAATTCAGTTAAAGAAACACCCTTTATCTTTGGTTTTCCAGATTTTGATGTAAGTTCAGGAGACTCCACCAGATCTTCTTTCTTCGGCCGTCCAGGCTCTTTCTCCGTTTTGATGTTTTCTTGCTTTGGCGAGTCACCAGATAAACCATGTTTACCTGGTTCACTGACAGGCTTAGGCTTGGGAACATTTTCAAAAGGTTCACTTTTCGTTTCTTTGATGCCGAATCCTGCTTGAACAGAAATATCAGGAATTTCCACTTTCACTTCCAAGATCTCTGACTTCAACGGCCTATGATCCTTTCTTTCAGCATCCTGAGAAAATTCTGCCTCTGTTGTAGAAACAATGGAGCTTTTACAACTTTCAGTCTTAGGGACCACTGGTTGAAAAGACTGCTCCACCTTCAACCGCTTTAATGAAGGTTGCAAATTATCTAAAGTATCAGCACAACGAGGGGTACCAGAAACCGCTCCACCATTAGCGCGTAGTGAATCATCTGATACTACAGATCTATTCACTGAACTGACAGCACTGCTTTCGTTTTTTAAACGGGCCAGGGCGCGCACATTAGCTTGTTGCTGATAGGTCTTCACTGGCACACAGACGGGGCACCGTGGATCCTTGCAGTTTTTATAGTGGCCAATCAATGCCTTTGTGTGACGACAGCGGGGATACAAACACTGAGGATCAGCACAGTTGTCCATGTGACTCCATAGTTTCTGAACCGTTACGCAATTTTGATCTTGGCACTTCCCTCCTGGTGGTTTGCAACTCCGTGCATGACGTAGAAACAAGAGCCATCTCTGTTGATTTTTGAACTTGGGATCGTGACTTACATTTCCATATCTACATGTGGTACCAATAGAATTTTGCAAATTATGGGATTCCAATATAGTAGAAGTATGATTTTGACCAATAACAGACCCTTCAGTCAAATTATTAGGTTGAGCGTCATCCATTCCGGTAATTCTTTGACGGAAATCCTCCTGAATGTGCTTTTCACTTGAAATAGCATTAGACATTTGAGTATTTTCCTGAGACTTGGAAGGCCACTGACCTCGTGGATTGGATTCTGATTTTACTCCAACAGCAAGATTGCTAAAACTGTTGCCAGAATCAGAACCTATATTCTGCGGGTGCAGCATTTGCTGAATCTGTTGGCTATTTTGAGGGAGTGGTGTGCATATATCACTCTGACTTTTGACTGGGAGAAGCTGAGCGTCTGCATGGCAGTCTTCTCCAGAGTTCTGATATTGATTCTGGAGCTGAGAAAGCTGGAATCGTTCAGATGCTTGGGAGTGCGTAGCCTGACTCTTGTTCTCCATTCCAGGTTCATGTTTCACCTTCGTAATCATGTCTGAATCCACTTGAGTTTTCCCCAAGCCATCATTGCTTATTAATCTATGTTGCTGCAGAGTCTGCTGCTTCAATTTCCTTTGATTGAGAAATTGCTGCTGCTGCTGTTGAATCTGATTTGGTTGTTGCTGAAATCGATTAGGCGGTTGCTGAAATTGTTGTTGATGTGACTGCAGATAATGAGGAAAGAAGATTGAAAGTCCGAATACTCAAAGTGATAGTGTTTAATTGGTCTACATTGTTGCATGCAAAATGAAATTGACTGATTGCTCACCAGAGAAGAGCTAACTCTGGACACAGGCTGTAAACTTGCTGTATTGATATTCTGAGCATTTGTCCTCGTCCCAGCCGATGTTATAGCTCCATCGAAGGGGTCAGGATTTGTTGTGCTATAACCTTCCCCTGAAATATGAAACGTGCTTTCACTATGCTGACTGGTATATGTACTAGTCATTCACAAACGTCAAACCCCAAATGACCATACATATGAAATGAGATAATCCGGACAGAAGGAAAAAGAGAGAAGTTACCCTGCTGTAATTTTTTGGACGCATTAGTGTAAGATGAACCTGAGTCTACACTTTTTTCGTTCGCTCCAACACCACCATTTACAGAGCTATTGGCCACACCAGATGGCTTTGATTGCATGTCGGGTCTAAGGCCAGCATCCATCTGGTTGGGCAACATGTGACTAATTTGACCACCAGTATGTTGCCTTTGTTGCTGTTGCTGAGACTGAGGTATAATTGTGGGCTCAGCAGAAAATCCACCACTGTTGTTATTAGTAACACTTTTAACGAACCCAGGTGTAGGAATCATATGGCCAGTACTTCTTTGAGAACCCATGGATGTCATGCTCCCTCCAGAACCAAGAGAAAAGTTTCTCGATGAGTGCTGGTATCCATTAGACATATTACCTGCAAACAAGATTTTAAGGTGTCAGAGAAACATGAGATGAAAATTTCCAGGAAAAAGTACCTATGATCACTTTAATGAAAGAACCTCCATGCATGCCACCAGCAATTAGAGGGTTTCCAGTGTTCACAGCTGTGCTTGTGATGTTGGTGTTGCCAACTATTGTAGCATCAACAGAAGATGTAACCATCAAATTAGGATTACCCGCATTCTGTGATAATCCTGGAGTAGGTATCATCGTTCCAACCGAAGAAGAATTAGCATGTCGCTGATTGTAGTTATTCATCTGTCTGCCTTTTATTAGGCTTGTAATCCGAGATTCAAGGGTTGTCCGGTTCATGTAATCCTCCTGTAGTACATGTTGGAAAGTGTCCCAAATGAAAAGAAAGAATTTAAGTAAGGCCATGAGTCAAGAATCTGGATCTAGAGGCAACATGTAAAAAAAGCATCAGCCAATCTAGTTGGAATACCCAGTAAGCCAAATTCTATGCTAAGTACCACTTAATTAAGTAATTTTCTTTTAGATACGCAGAAATATTTTGAGATACCTTTGTGATAGCCATCTTAAACAGCCCCTCTTCTAAACGTCTAGCAACATCCATATACTTTGCCTTTGATGCAGCATCAGCAGGAGATGGTTGCCGTTGTTGTAACATGTTAAATCTGGAAAGAATGGAAGACCAAGAAGGGTCAGTTAGAAATAGTCACCGATGCACTAACAATCAAGACATTTCAAGAAGCAGAAACACTAAAATATCTAGCTGAAATTGAAGGCTTACACAAGAGTTTGCATATACTGTCGAAGTTTCATAATATCGTGATCCATGGCACCAACGATATTACGTGCAGGCCTTACACCAGTAGCAGTAGCAGTACCAGTAGCAGCACCAGCAACACCAGTACCACCAACTACATTCTGCATTTGAGAGTTTCCATTATTCTGCGGGATTGTCCCTTGGTTTGGAACCTGCCCAGAGAGTTGTCCCGAAATGTGAGCATTCATGTTATCGCTTAAATCTTCGTCGCCTTCTCCTAATTCGTCTTGCAAATAGCACTAACAGGCACTGCATAACTCTTCTGTCCCCGAGAAGCCAAAAGATCGAAAGTTCATCTCCTGCTCTTAATTATTCTTTAGGTGATCTCAGTGTAGCAACTCGGAACATACAATACACCTAGCACCGTCAAGTGTCCTGCAAAATAAACTATTACTCTTTTAAAATTATAGTGACCTGATTGCGATTCAGTTGAACTAGAAATCATAGACTATGATCAAAGCAACTAAGCCCAATAGCAAAACCAACACAATTGTAAGAGTTACGAAAGCAGACAACAAGAGGAGCAATAACCTTGAAATTGAGAGTCACAAAGAAGCAAACTTCAGCCGCAAAGAGAGCAGAACCCAGCATAAAAATTCTCCCCCAAAAACGTTACTAAAGATTACGATGATCGAATCTTCAAAACGGAGCAATAAAGTCGCTGAACAGCCGATGTCGCACGTGTGAACTCACACAAGCCAGGAGAAAAAAAAAATACGCAGGAGAAAAATTAGGATCAAACACAAGTACGTAGACAAATCCCAGAAAGAGATTCCTCCAAAAACTAGCAGACGAGAGTATTGAATTATCGACAAATTTTTCGAAACCAGACAAGTCGAAGTTCTTCGAATTGGGGTTTTTTCGGGCGCTCACTCGATTTGGGGATTTTGATTTTTTTTTCCCTTTTTAGGGATTTTTGGTTTTGATTTTGTAAGTAAGAAAAGACACATTAAATAAGACTTACCTTATGTTACTTATGTCTGAATACGAATCATTAAGGAACCTGTCAAAGTTAATTGGGGAAACCAAGGTCGAAGAAAATCCAACAGCCAAGGAGAAGTGTCGGAGATACATGCGCTCCTATCCGTCCGATCAAATTTCCAATAATTTAAATCTTCACCCTTGTAGTTTTTGCTCTGTTTAATTTCGCAACTACTTTTTTCTGTACCGATTACCAAGAGTAAATAATAAACCATTCAAATTCATACATGTTCCAAGCCTAACCGGAAACAAATCATAACCGGTTTTACCATTCGTACGTAAGATCTAACAAGTAGCAATGCAGAAGCTGTAGTAGTGTATTGTATGTTATCATCTTTTCCTTGTAACATAAGCAATGAAAACGTTTCCAAACAAGTCGGAAAAAGACGTTTCTCTCATAATCTTCAGGGCTCAAGGGCAAGGCTCACCGACTTGAGATTCTCAGCAATCTCTGTCTCGTACTGATCTCTGTTCCCATTGTCCTGCTCCAAACCAAAAAAAAATATGGAACATCACAAAGTTCTGAATGCTTTTATCATATGACATTTCGAATTATACGCCTCTCAATATAAGCTCGTGGATAATTAATTATTATAGGTCTTGGATGTATGTACCATTGTGGGTTCAGCAGAGACTCCTGGAGTAGCATGTTGCTGATTGTAGTTATTCGATTGCCTGCCTATTATTAAGCTTTTCAAGCGAGATTCGAGGGTTGACGGGTTCAAGTATTCCTCCTGTAAGTTTTAAAGTTAAGTAAGTGTCAGAAACGAAAATATATATAAGTAAGGACATAAAGCAAACAAGCTGGATCCAGTGACAACATGTCAGAAAGCATCAACCAGTCTTGTTTAGTTGGAACTCATCAGTAAATCAAATCCTAAATGCATATAATTAAACGAGTAAATATATCTGATATACCTTTGTCATAGCCATTTTAAAAAGTAGCTCCTCTAAGCGTTTAGCAACAGCATCTAAACACTTGGCCTTTGATGCATCATCAGTCGGAAGTGGATTTTTCTTCTCTAACAGGACGAAGCTGGAAAGATTGGAAGATCGAGGGTTTAAAGGTATACACGCAGAGGGAAACAACTATAACCACCAATGTGACAAGACTCTGGAATCCAAATAAGTAATTAACATTGCAGAAGCAGAAACACTAATAGATGATATTGGTTCTAAGAAACAAAGCAGATATGCAGGAATACAAAGCCAAAAGCAGTAATAAGTTAGAGCATTCCCACCATTCCAGACACGTTAACTCAATCCATAGTACAGCAGCAACTAACAGAGAAAGAAAGAAAGAAAGTACAAGAGGAACGACTGAACGAGTGAATGTGAAAAATTGAAGGCTTACATAGCATCTCGCATGGACCGGCGAATTTGGAAAACATCATTGTCCATGGGAGCAAGTGTAACGTGAAAGCCCTAAAGCAACACCAATTAACCAGCATAATCATAATCAATAGTACAACCAAGGATAGGCAAAACCTAAGTGTACTCCGATATAACCTAGGACTTCAAATCCAACCTTAAAATTGATACACAAAGAAGCAATCTTTCAACCGCAAAGATCAGAGCCCAGAGAGAAAGATTCTTCCTTACGAGATCACTGACACGAAAACTTTACCTGTGATTACGATCCTCGATTCTCCAGACCGCAGAAGAGCGTTGCAGTAAAGTCGAATGAGCAGACGAAGTCGCACTCGCGTGGCCAAACTCACGCAAGCCAGGAGTAGAACTGAAATGGGAAATCTCTGAAAGTGATCCTGAAACCAACAAGTAAAAGAAGATGGGAAAGCAAATTTTAGACGAAATTCCAAATGGGGTAAGTTTCTGAGCTGGAGTTTCTTCCAATTAGGATATATGCATGTTCATGCCAGTTCTGTAAATTACAACTTTATCCATGGTGTTCTCTGTTTTTACTCTTTTTTTTTTTGTTCTCTTCGGATATTAGCAATTCTTTGTTTCACTGACTAACCGACCGACAGTGAGAGTGATAACAGTAACACCATTGAATCACATTTTCCAAGTTCTTGGTATGGTATAAACCATTTACCGCACCGTCCAGCTACAACCGGAAACAAACCCAAGTTTGATTTTGCCATCGGTATATGAACTCAAGCAATACAGATTACAATAACAGTGCAAAAGCTGAAGCATCTTTATTTGTAACAGAAGCAAACGTTTCCTGAAGAATTAGGCAAAAGGCATATTCGGATCAATATTCAGCGGTAGAGGCTCTCCGACCTCAGATTCTCTGCAATCTCTGTCTCCCACCTATCTCCATTCTCAAGAAGCTTCTCTTTGTCATACAGAAGTTCCTGCACACCAAAAAAGAATCAGAACGCCATTTAGCGAATAATACACATATTAACTTTTAAGATCATGGGCAATCTTATGTCTTTATGAAGTGTTTATACAGACCTCATGTGTCTCGGTTGCAAACTCAAAGTTTGGTCCTTCAACGATTGCATCAACAGGGCAAGCTTCTTGGCAGAAACCACAGTAGATGCACTTTGTCATGTCGATATCATACCTGTACAGCTCCAAACCATCACTACACTACGCGAAATGTATAGAAGAACCAGAGAGACAAGACAGTATTAAAATGAAAGCATATGGTTAATAAATGGGAACTTAGAGGGTGACCTAGTGGTTCTGCGGCTTCCATCTTCCCGCTCCTCTGCCTCTATTGTGATTGCTTGAGCTGGACATACCTGATGAGAAAAAAGACCAGCATCCATGAAAAATCACAATTTCTGTCAATATTGTGCTATGTTACGAATTCTCGAGTAGCATAGACTTCAATAACTCACAGCTTCGCAGAGTTTGCAGGCAATGCAGCGTTCTTCCCCAGTTGGATACCTTCGAAGAGCGTGTTCACCACGGAAGCGAGGGCTCAATGGACCCTTCTCAAAAGGATAATTGATCTGCACACATGATAGAACTTCAGAATCACAATATGTTTCTTTCAACCTAATAACTTAAGTCAAAGAAGACTGTCACTCACTGTAACTTTTGGATCAAAGAAGTACTTGAGGGTCAGCGACAACCCCCTGACCATTTCAGTGAGAAATAGAGTGTTCATGCTCCGTTCAAAGACTGTAAAAGTAAGAAATGTCAGGAATCGCTAACGCTCGCAGAAGGAAGAAACCAGAAATGAAAGCTATGAGAATGGAAAGGTTGAAAAGTGTCTGGATAAAATAGCTTACCAGTACTCCAGTCCTTGGAGATCTCTTTCGCAAGCTGCTCAGCTTCTTCATCATCTGCATATTACAAGTGGCAAAGCATTAGTAACATATCTGCCTGAAAAGTCATAGCCTAATTAACCCAAACAACAGCAAAACAATTATACCTTTGTTGCTTCCATAAGATATAGCACGGGACTGTAGCCCACAGAGATGAGATCCCTGTAAACCTTGCCCTGAAAAAGCCTATCAACGAAGACAAGGTAGATGTTAAATGCGAGAAGAGTTCCATAGCATACCCACCAAAAGAAGCTAGTGAAAGTGAAAGTAAAAGTTAACAACCAAGACGCTCTCAGGTAAAGTATTTGTATTTACAGAGATTGAGATAACAACATTTAGGCGACACATTCTACCTTCAAGGAAGAGTATTACAGGAAAAATGAAGCTTCACGATTGAATGAGAAAATTTCCCCTATCTGCTACACGTAGAGTCAACTATAACAATAAACTAAATCCCTAAATCTTCAAATTCGAAGGAAGACACACAAAAAATAAGCCAGAAATTGAACAGATTCATTCCAGTTCCGATTGATGTTCAATTCCAAATTCTACCAACGCAATACAAAGAGATGCATAGAGGAACAATACCAATTAGTGATTTCAAAAATCCTAGCAGCAATTCCACATTTCTAGGAACACAAGCGATATAAAATGGAAAATTTTGAAGAGCCAACGAGATTCTTACGAGTTGTCGAGCTCGGAGAGCACTGAACGACCTGCGAGCCAGTAAAGAAGCCATCGATAGAACTCCGAATATCAAATTTGGGTCTTTCTTCGTCGATGTGCCTGATTTGAGAGGAGAAATCCGATTAGCTGAAAAGCTTAATCAAGCAAAAGAAGCATTGAACAAGAGATAGACCAACAAAAAGCATAAAATTCCATCCGAACCTTAAACACGATACTCAAAGAAGTAATCTTCTGCACGAACCCAGAGAAAGTTCGATCTCACAAGAACATTGACACGAATCCTTTGCTAGTGATTTACGATCATCGGAATAAGAGGAGCAACAAAATTCGATCAAATCACAAATTGACCCTTCTGGTTAACTACTAACTCAGCTAATAACCGGTAAATAAAACCGGTTTTATTTGGTATGACAGCCAATTCCATTAAAGTTTCACACATTCCAGGTTCTCAAGACGTGGACCAAACCAGACCATTGCTGAAAAAGTTAATATCTGACCAATGGTCACTAACCGGACCTAAAGTTCACAGAATAACCGATTACTGGTAACCGAGATTGTTGAAGTAACCGGGGAAAACCAAAGAATACACAAAATTTAGAGGAGATACACAAAATGTTTGGTAACACTTTCACCACCATTGGTGAGAGAACTAACGGGGAAAACTTTTTACAAGAAAGAAGAAGAAATTAGTTGAGGCTTTATAGAGAGATGTTATGGTGCTATGTAGAAAGTGTTCCCACAGTTAATGTGGGCTTGGTTTAGAGGATTCCATCTATCAAATACAATCCGACCGCCTCGACCAATTCTTCCTCTTCCGCTTCTTGCATCTGATGGAGGGATGATTCCCGCAGCAGCCATTTTATCGGGGACCAGTGGTTTTGTGAACAGCATAACTGGCTCATTAGGATTCTACACAGAAACAACAAAAAACAGTGAATGTAATTCTTTTTTTTTCTTGTCACCAGAATGTAGTTTATTAATAATCTCAAATGTTCCAAATACAGAGGATCTAAAGAATTACCAGTTTGTGGAGCCAACCGAGTCTTCTCGCCTCTTGCTTTATGCGCCCAGCTTGAGCTCGAGCGAGATTTGAGTCGGTGAAACGAGGATGAGGGGTAAAGGAAGGCCTTGTACATGTTTGGGTGGTGGTAGGGTCATCGGAGTCCATGAATTCATCTTCGCTTGAGCCAAATCTGTAAGATGTAGAGAGTGGAAACCCAGCCAGCGCCAAACTATCTTCCAAAAGCTCGGTTTCATTCTGCAAAACATATCAAAAACACCCAAAACATCAGGTTGGAGGTCGAAATGCACAACTCTTTCTGGTTACAAAAGGACACTGGATGCAGGTTGTAGATGAGTACCTTATATTTGAGTTGGATTCTCTGAAGGCTAACCTCACTCGCCATGAAATCCCTCTTTTTCTCTTCTCTCTATAAAGTTAAAACATGTTTTTAATCAAGTTAATACCTACGGAGCATGCAGGTTTCTCTTAATATATCAATAAAATCACATTCGAATCACAAAATACAGATGTCATTTAGATGACCTTAATAAGAGCTTCTAGAATGGTCTTTGCTTGGTCAAGATTGCGCCTGACCTAATAATAACATATCCCAGAACAGAAAAGAAGAACATGTTTGAGAATCCAAGAAAGACTATGAGAAGCTGACAGATTCAGGTCTTCCCTTACCTGTCGAAGCTTTTCAAATGACTGTGCATTGTTTTCTCTCCGCTGCATCTGAAATGAGGTAAACTCTTGTTAGTAAGTTATGGTGCTTTTTTCATACTCACACATTTAGTAAGATAAGGAAATTAATAAACCACAGACAACAAGATAGCCTACCCTTCTTGTGTGTAGTCTATGAGCTTTCTCCCGTGGCCTAAACACATTGTACGGATTGGTATCATTGACCGGTGGTGGAGGCTGTTCCAAACAAAAAAATCAAGATTATCTAATTTTTCAGAATAATTTCATTTCTTCCATTTGTACGATTGAGACCAGTCCAAATGATGATATACCTGTAAACGCCGCAAGATAGGCTTCTGCCATCTTTCACGCTAAGAGGATACAAAACTCTTAAGTTAGTTAGTGTTATAAGCGTATGCCCAAAGAGCCATCAACAACTTCTCATAAAAAAATCTCAACTATCATCAAACTACACAACAACTATATCCTAAAACTCTCAATGGTTTATCTCATACCTTATTTTTCCAATAACTGTATATAGCCTGGAAAACTCCATATTTGATGGGCAAAGATTGCAACGCCTGTTAAAAAATGGAAATAACACAATAAGAACAATTTAAATGTAATGCACTGCCTCGGAGTAATAACTCTAGAAGAACACATTCCTCTAGAGGAGGCAATATAATCATTAATACTAGATCTATGCTCCTGCTACAGTTTTAGGCAGTGAGGAAAAGTATAATGCCATCCTTCGGAAAAATGTCCCCGTTGAAAGATGCTTCACTACGATGAGAACTGGCCAATCAACCATCATCATTTTTTTTTCTCTTTTTGAGTTCCATTCATAACCAAATATAAATCAAAATTAGAAAACAAAAGAAAATAAGTGTATACCTCACTAGCAGCATCAAGCTGCAAAAGCACTGGAACTGGCAAACCAAGGGTAGGAGTAATAACTCCAGCTCTTTCCCGCGCCTTATGATCCAATACCTCGAGCTTAAATATAATGATCTCAAGCCTGTATCAAGTAATTTAGCAAAGTTACAGGCAGAAGGTTTTGTTTTGAAACAAGAGAAAAGTTGAGCACTATCTCAACTCGATATTAGGGGAATATCAGATATAACCAATTCTACTTACAGTTTCCACTTGATCACATGGTTTTTGAAGTATTGGCAAAACTCAATCAATTTTAATATGCAAAATAAACTGAAGGCACCAGAAAAGAGAGAATAATAATTTGGATTCTAGAGCTAATAGAATCATCTACCACACAACAAAACTCATAGGAATCTGGATAAGCCAATCTATCTCGATGGTTACATATGGAAAGCATGTTATATATGGTACAAAGCAACAGAAAACAAAAGCTAAATGGGAATTTGTAATCTAAAAAAAACAATTAACAAAATCTAAATAGGAGGAAGGAAACTTTACAATTCAGGTGAGAGAATCATTGTCTCCTTATTATACTCATAAAGCCAGTCATCATCGTCATTGTCAAGATCATACTCCACAAATTCTCCAAGCTCAGCCCGAGCTGCAAAACAGATTTTCATTCTCCATGTTAAAAAGATAATAATGTTGAAGAGAATTTTAGGGAAATAGGTTTACCTCCTCTAGCGCGTAAATACGAGGCAGGCTGATTAAAAGTCCTAGAGTAGTCTCTTTCATATGTATCAACAACAAGATACTGAGGTGTTGGTATTTCTGAAACCAGTTTCTTACTAGGCACTGGAGGCTGCACCTGATCATGCGAATACAAGAAACTTTTAATCATAACTCTAGAACTTCACATCCAAACCGATTCACCGAGAGAAACAAAAAAAAGAACTTCACCTCATTGTCAACAACCTCTACGGCCGATATACGGAGCAACTGAGAATTTCTAGTAATGGAAGAAGGATTCTCTTCATCTTCAAAGTCTTTAAAGGACTTTAAAATTGGAAGCTTCTTGTGTATGTCCAATGGACGGGGGCGAAAAGATAGCCTACTCATTTCACTATCTTGCTTCCTCTCTACTAAACAATATCTATATCACTATTAGAGTAGGAATACCTCATCAACGCTTTCTCTACAATGAGACAGGAAGAAAGTAGAGCCTGCAAATGGAAAGAAACAACAGAAACCGCACAGAATCAAAATCCCAGAACCCTAAACTCGTAAATGTGAACAATTTCAGTGTAACATAGGGCAAATCAACGAATGAGATGTGATATACTTACAAGGCGAGTTTTCTAGGGTTTCTTCTCTTCCGGACGAATCGTACCGGCTTATCAAAAATGGGGATTAGTTCTCTTTTTCGAGCTCACACAGGTTCCGAGAAACGTTGAAACTCGAGGAAGATAGAAGCTTTATAAATGTCCGAAAGCGAATTGCAAATCGCACTCGAGTCTCGACAGTTGAATTAATGGAGGGCGAGATTCACTAATCTCGATTAACAGACAAGGACAGAGGAGGGAAAATATTTGGTAATAAGCTTCGGTTATATATGAGACCAATGCAACAACAAAACATAAAAACATCAACTTTCAAGCATTACTCGAGATTGGATCATGATGGATCTAATTCAAATGTTTCTCCAGAAATTTTAATTGTAATAAACTTTTAGATTTCTGGTTAACCGGTCTTCTTTGTAGCTTTCACGTTACATAGTTTTGGGGTTTCTCAGAGAAAAACCATAACATCACAGTACACAAGATACACAGATTCTATTTACAGAGAAGGGATCCAACAGGTGATCAACCAACATAAGGTTTCAAGCTCCCATGTTCCTTTCTTCTTCATTAGCACCTTAAAGGTTGTTTCCTTTTTAGGCTATTCGTTCATATCTTCGTCCATTTTCCATTCTCAGAAAGAACAAGCCATTAAGTCTTTGTTGTTGATCTTGCCATTGTTGTTGATGTCTTCTTGGGTCAAGTCGATGTTCTTCGGGATTGTTTCTTGGTTAACTTGAAAGGACTCCAGCTTTTTCTGCGTTTTGATGTTTCACAGAAGAGACCGGAAGCTAGAGCTTGTTGAAGCCATAACTCAAATTCTTCCTCATCCTCGTCCATCATCTCCACATCAAGATCCCACGGGAACCTGCTCGAGTTTGATCTCTGGGTTGCCTTTTCTAATCCGACCATGTTCACATGGAAACTTGGCCTATGTGTGTTTGGTCTACACGCCATTCCCTTCAATGGAAATGAAGTATACATTTCATCATGTTCACATGCAGTAACACAAAAGTCTTAAAGTTCTCTTAAATCTCTTGGTGCAAAAAAACCTTTCGATTCTTGAGCCATCTTAGTCTAGCTTATTCTGAACGGAGAGTTATAGCATTGGTTACTGGTAAAGAATGAGAATATACCAACCTGACAAATAGCCCATTCTGAGACATCAAAGACTTTGCCCTCCGCGCAAACAAAAGCTCGTGGTATTTCAATCTACAGGACATATATAAAACGATTAGTTAATCATTACCAATAAACAAAAGTAGGACGAAAGAACTGAAAGCCAAACCTTATGTGCTTTCTCGAATACCAGAGTCCCTTTGTGTTCAACCCATCCGTCACCATCTTTGGCTTGATGATACTGACCACACTCCTATAATTTTAATGGAAGCAATAACCATTCAACAAATTAGATGTTCTGAGAAGGAACTTGAAGTCAAAAATGTTCTGTAAGGAGAAGTGTAAGTTAGCTAACCTGACACCATCTGGCCTTTGCCTTACTCCTGTTGGTACATACCCAAATGTGTGAATTCCCGCATTTCGTACAGTGTATGCGCCTTGACTCTTCTGATCGATAATCAGCACTATTCTGAAGAAATCAGAAAAAAATTTCATCAACTTTTATAAGAAAACAATAGAACAACACATGACGCATTCAAATTCTCACACATCTACTAACCTGATGCGAATGCGCGGACTGACAGACACTCCTGGTTCTACATTCTTCCTTCTTTAACAGCTCATCATAATCTCTTCTTTTAACAGAATCGGCAAGAACCTGCAAATTCAACCTACCATGTCTCAATATTCAAAATAGAAATAAATATCACCAAGCTGAATATTACCAAGCATGAATCCATCTTTCAACAATTACCTCGTAAGCACTTTGAAGTTTCTTGAATGATTCACTTGCCAAAGGACTTCCCATATTCTTATCTGGATGAACCAGCATTGCCTAAAAAAAGGAAAACACAGCACATAAAATTAGAACCAACTTAATTCACCAGAGAGATAGCTAACAAGCCAAGAAAACAGACCTTCTTTCTATACTCTTTCTTAAGCAATGCAGCATCGATCTTTTTAAACAGAGGGAGCCCTAATGCTTCGTAGTGATTCAAACTATCAAGAATTCTTTTCATCTCATCAGCTGAATCTGTTTCTATTTTGACTACCTTAACACTAGAAATCTCCTTCATGTTACTGACAACAGTTGACGGTGATGCTGGCTTAGTGGACGACTTATCTTCATGAACCTTTTTCTCCGGTTCTTCAACAGGAACAGAAGAATACTCAAACTCTCCTGGAAACTGTTCCTCTATTACAGTTTCAGGTTTCGTCGGCTCCTCCGCTTGTGTTTTTTCACTAACAGTATCACACCATTGAAGAAGACAAATAAATATATCGTTGGACAAGAATGCAAGATTCATCGAGAGAATAACTCCAGGCCATCCAAGTCTGGCTTTGACACAGTACATAGCGTACATCGTCGCCATAAGAACCACCACCCGCGCATGATTCAAAGAGAACAAATAACCTGATTCAAACAACAACAGACATTAACACTAGATGAACGCTTCATTTGCTTTAACCACAATGGAAAAGAGACAAAAATAAGACTTTCTGGAAAAGAAAACTGACACTCACCTCCAACTATAAATAATGTTCCGGTGATCCAAAAATTAGCGTACATCCACAAAATCAAAATTCCAAATAGTCCTACAATGAAAATCCCAGGAGTGCGACCTAAGTACAAGACAACAGCACCAGCAGCTGCCTGCGATGGTAAATCAATAGGTGAGACTCAACGCAATTATGCATAACTCAATACCACCTGACAAGTGAAACACAACAACCAAATTTCCAAGTTAAATGTAAACTGTAACGAAAATCTCAAAACCATTTGTCGGAAATAACTTCTAAGATAAAAATCTTCAAGATAGTTTTCAATATTAGTTTTCCCTCATACAACCAAGGCAAATATCATATCTGCCTGGCACTCAATCTCACCACAACCAAAAATTTACACTAATAAAAAAATCTAGAACGCAGAATCAAGAATTCAGAAAAAGGTGTCTAGAGGCCTTACCATACCGAGGAGTACATAAACCAAGCAAGATATTGAAGTTAGGCTAAGGAAGCAACTCCACATTATGAGGAGCAAAGCTGCTGAACCAAATTTAGCACTGGACTGAAAACCCCTCAAAATGCAGTCTTTCCAATAAACAAACGATAAACTAAGTAACCCTAATAGCTTCCCACATCCACTGCACACTAGTGGCCAGTGACGCTCTGCCAAAGCTTCTGTCTTTTCCCCAAAACATCGTGTTGCAGCACAAACCCAAGAGCACAAATGTTTCTGAGACTGCAACCATTTCCAACCTTGCTTAACCAATCCTATATCCTCCATAACTAGATAAAATAATCAACCCCTATATTCTTCCTCCAAAGCTCAGGCAAATTGATAGCAGTAAGGAGAATAGTACTGAAGAGCTTGGAATCTCGAGAAAACTAGCTTCTCAGCCATTGTTTTGAGCTGATAATAAGATCACTATAAATTACAAAAAGGTTCGTAGCTTATTCAATTGATCTTCCCCAGAAATTAAGAAAGAGATAGATGATACAACAAGGGATTAGCAGAAGCAAGGAGGTAAAAAACTGCATATCCGGCTTTAAGCTTATTCGTTCAACGCATATCCCTTCACATACAAGTTTTCCCAGTAAAGAAGAAACATACAAAAAGAAAAGCAATCTTCAGAATATCCGAATCAAACAGAATCTTCCAATTTCTGCTTCAGTAAACACAAAACCCTAAATTACCGAACAACAATCCAGTCTAGTACAACATAGCCTCAAATTCAGATCCGAGAAACTTAATCAATCGCGGAATCTTCCAGCGGAGCAACGCAGACCCAGAAAAGAAAATAACTTCGTTAGAGCATCACACCGCACCGACAAGCATTTCACCGCTTTGGTATGTAGAGTAGAGAGAGAGAGAGTGAAGAAAAAGGAAGAAGCAATGAGCTTTAGTTAAAGTAAATTGGTTACAGTAACGATAAGCTCGGGAAACATGAAATCCCAAAAAGAGCTCATGGAAAAAAAGAGAGAAACTTTTAAAAGATTCAAAAAAGTTCTTGGAGGAGAGAAAGAGAGAACACGGTGGCGTATAGAGACAGAGATTAGAGACGAAGGCAACACTAAAATATTTTAACCTTTAGTTCCTTTACTTCTAGTTCTTAGCGAATCATCCTTTTCGAATTGGATTAAGTGACCATAATTATTAATTTACCGGAATTTTCTGGGTCCGACAGCCTAACAGAACCGGATCTCATGTGGTCGCTGACTTTCTTAAAACCGTTAGACCGGAATTGGTTTAACCTCCCGGTTTAAGCTCATTCAAGGCAAGGCAAGTGATGCTAAACACAGAGATTTTCAGAACCTGCTACATCAATTTGCTTGATGGTATCATCTATATTCAACTTCAATCTATCAATATATTTACATACATACACTCAAATCTCTCTGTTTGCAACTGAAGACGACTTGAACAACAGCAAGGCAGAGACGCCTTTTCTGCAGACACCACTATCAATTCAAAAATCTAACAGAAAAACCTCTGTTTGAAACCAAAGAAGAAGAAAAAGAAAACATCAAACACTTTTTCCCATTTACATCTCAAAAACAGAAAACAAAAAACAAAATATTTAAAAAGGGATAACTTTTTTGTCTTTCTAGATGGTACTGCTGAATGTATTACCAGCATTGGCTGATGAAGCCCCTGATGAGTAAGCATTTGAGTGATCTCTAGATGAGGCATTAGACGAAGAAGAAGGGTTTGTGTAGTTTTGTCTGTTCACTTGCTCTGACTTTGTTGCCACAGGTCCTCTCACTTTCATATCCATGAAATCAGAAATCAAGCCCGGTCTGCTTATTTTCCTGTAGTCTATATCCTTTTCCCCTGTTAGCAACCTCACCACTGTGGACATACTTGGTCTTAGCTTAGGACTGTCTTGTGTGCACAAAAGACCGATTTTTAGGTACCGACAAGCTTCCTCTGCATCAAAGACTCCATTTAAACCTGAATCAACAAGATCCACAAGCTCATTCCGCTCATAAAGTTCCCAAGCCTGTTGAAATGTAAAGAGAGGTTATCTTTCCAAAACAAGAGCTTAAAGACGGGTAAGATTGATCATGCAGATTAGTCTGGCTAAACATACGGTAAATGCAAGACTGACCAATTCTGATGAGTAGCAAGACTTACCCTTTCCAGAAGATATTGATATTCCGTGGGTAATCGGGTGTTTTTGTTACTTCTTCCACTGACTATCTCCATCAGAAGGACTCCAAAGCTGTATATATCCGCTTTCCGCGTCAACTGTCCCCTAACAGCATACTCTGGTGCTAAATAACCACTGCCCAAAAACAGATGTGAACACATATTAAGACCTGCAATTTCCAGTGGGAAATAAGAAAAAAAGGGGAAAAGAAATATATGGAACTCACATTGTACCAGCGACACGAGTGCTGACATGAGTCATGTTAGGTGGCATAAGCCTAGCGAGTCCAAAATCAGAAATCTTGGGGGATAAATATTTGTCGAGTAGAATGTTGCTTGCTTTGATATCTCTATGGATTATGTGTGGCCGTACTTCTTCATGAAGAAAGGCAAGACCTTTAGCAACCCCAACACAAATATTGGCCCGACTACTCCAATCAAACTGTATCCCACTCCGAGTGTAGCCCCCAGCTGAAAAACTTTCATTCAGTTAGGAAATAACATTACAAAGCCAGAGAAGCTGACACTTACAGAGTAAGAAACTAAGAGAATCACCTAGCAGGGTCTTATCAAGACTATTGTTCTCAAGGAAATTGTAAACAAGAATCCTGTGATTCCCCTCCACGCAGCATCCATACAACTTCACCAAATTCTCATGCTGTATTTCTGATATCACATTGATCTCAGTCAAGAATTCTTTTACACCTTGTCTTGACTCAGCCGAGAGGACTTTGATAGCCGCCAGCTTTCCATCTTTAAGACAGCCCTAGACATCGAAATATTTGTTCCCAAAATTTTAAAAAGATGAAGAGAGAATGTGAAAAAGAAGTTTAAGCAACTGAGTTTTCTCATTTACCTTGTACACAGAACCAAACCCTCCTTCTCCAATTTTATTTTCAGCACTGAAATCATCAGTGGCCTGACGTATCTCTCTGTATTTGTATATCTTTACATTGTCTATCGCTGCGATTTCTGTTAGCATATTACACACTTAAATTAGAGAAAACCAGCAACATGACTATACAGAATTAACATTCCAAACTCAAATTAGTTATCCCTCTATTTTAAAAAAACTAGATAATGTATCAGTACCTCCATCAACTTCTGTAGCTTCTCCTCTCCTGTGACATGAGAACCAGGAGCAACCCATCAATGTAAGACAGACCTCTGACCTGTTTATGCCATTAAACAGAAGCAATTCAGAGATTAGACTTGTAACTAGTAAAACAGCCATAGATCCATTTCAATTACTACACAAATCCTCAATAGAATCTCTGCCCAACTCAGAAACCCTAGTGGGGGACCAAAAATCTCAAAAATGAAAGCAACTAAAAAGCTATGAACTTGGAATTTGGGTTTGTCAAGATTCAGAAGAAAATCTAGAAAATACAAAAGTCACCAAGAAGAAAGCAAAAAAAAAAGAGAAACCCACCTCAGAAAACTCCTAAATTTGGAACAGCGATGAAGCTAGAATCGATAGAGAGAGAAAAAGATTAAGAAATCGCAGGTTAAAAACTTGCGACTTGGGTAGAGTTGGTATAAAAAGCAAGTGGCTTTACGCGATCAGAGTCGCTATCTCTCTCTCTATATCTGTGGCTTGCCGTGTGTGAGATCAGATTACGGATTTGTTGAAATGGAAGACTAGGACGAATGAATAAGGAAGGAAGACGGTCTTCTTATGGTGGCGGGTAAAAAGTCAATGGGTCAATCGTAATCACACGTCATCATTTTAATACGTTGCGACGACGACCAAATCTACTAACCCATCTCCTTTTTTCACTTTCTTTTTATTTATTTTCCTCGTGTTTTAATTATGAGATTCGACTTTTAATTATTGACTATTTCGTATTATTAACTTTAATATTCAGTCATGGGGCATTATTCTTCCTCTTTATGGGAATAATTTTTAGGCTTTCAATAAAGGTGAACCAATGATTTGCCTACTTGATTATAATATTGAAAATTGATGTTTTTCGAAATGTATTGTCAAAAAACAAATTCTAGCATCTTTTGTCAAAAAAATCCAATATGATTTTCTTTTTAACAATTATTTCAATATTTTATCCATATATATATATATATATATATATATATAGATTCCTCACAAAATTCAACGCAATTAATATGCCAAGTGAATAAAATAATTACAAAATAGTGAAATATTCGAACTACAAACACTATAATCTTACAACTTTTTTTAAGAAATATAAGTTATTATAAGATAATTATGAAAATTTACTGTCAATGATTTGTATACTAGCGATTAGTAATGTTATAGGCTTGTAGCACCAATGCACCATCCATCCACATTATAACCCCGAAATATTGCATGCTAAAAAAAAAATCATGAAACCTACTTGATGAGTTAAGGTTTATTTTTAACACGTTATAATGTGAAAACGTGTTTAACAAAAACAAAACGGAATCGCTTATTAAAATATGTGAAATTTCAATGATCCCTTTAAATAATAAATAAACTATAGCGTTAGATTGTGAAATCCATAATAAATGATATAAATATAGATATTTTAAAGCAATTTCGGTCAAAGGAAACCTTATCACATTTTCTTGTTGTACTTGTCCGTCACGAACGAGAAGGAAAAAATGGGACTCTGTTCACACTGCGAAAAATAGGTACCGGTAAAAGCAGAGTGCTTAATCTTAACCAATATGCATACAACTTCGACGTCAATTTTAACAGAATCACATTTCACACATTACCAAAGTTTTAAAAAGGATCACAAGAGAGGTTTTAAGCTTTAGGGTCAAAGTCTTCTAGCAATAATGGCGACATTCCTAGGTGAGATGGTGGGCTCAAAGATGGGAAGCATAACCACTTTTATGGAGTCTCCTTGTTCTTGGAGAAACATAAGTCTATCAAGCAAGATCAATGTCTCAAGCACCGGTCCTAATGCAGCTCGAATAGACCAGTAAGGCCCTATCAGTTCCTGCAGTTTTTTTTTTAGTTTGACAAGCATCCATCAATTTATGAGAATCTGAGACCAAAGAGAAACGAGAGAATTGAGGAATAGCTTACAGTGAATGCATCAGCTTCCTTCCATGTGGCATTCAGGTCGAGATCTCGAGGATGTTCTAGATTCAAGCGGGAAAATGCTGACAGGCAAAACTTCTCGAAAGAAGAACACATGTCGAAATTCGAGCTTGTCTGCCCCATGGGTTTCTTGTTATCAGTATCTGCAGTGAACTATAGATATAAGCAAAGTGCTCTTGGTCTCACTTATTATAGAATTTAATCCATCAAACTCCTGACCTTTCCTAGTTGTATCTACTGCTGCTGGAGTTTCAATGGATTTTCGTTGCTGTTGACGACGGAATGCCTTCCCTTGGCGCCCAATGGATGGACTTGTCGCCAAAATCTCTGGATAATGTTTTGACAGAACCTTCAAAGAGTCATTAGGTTTTTACTTGTTAGAGACAATCACTATAAGTTCAGATTCTATTAACAATAGTCACAGATTTTGGGAAAAACAAAGAAAAAGTCTATTAACCCACAGAACCAAAACCCATATTACCATTTGGAAAGCAGCACGAAAAGAATGCAACTCGAAATTCTGCAGACCAGCATCTTCTCCTAAGCTGCTCCATCTCTCAGCACTCTAATGAAACACATGTAATTTCTTTACACAGATAGATTACAGAGAAAAAACAACATGATTCAAAACAACAATGTTGTAACATCCAAAACAGATACAGTAGTGGACTGTACCTGACAAGCTAAATCACGGGCATTTTTGCCAAGGGAAAAGCCCAAGGATTTGAGACCAGCGCTCATCGGGTAGCCACATTTGGAACAAGAATCCTCACTACTTTTTTCAGATAATAAGTTGTAACAGCAGCCAATGCTCACTACCGCTTTAACTTCTTCGCACTCCATAAAAGTCCTGACGAAATTTTGCATATTGGTTAAGCTTTCACGGTCTAACACAGCAATCAGGAAGTGTGTTCAGAAGATAACAGAAATCGTGAATGAAACTGCAACAAGCATTCAAACTAACCTTAGCATTGTAACAGATAAATCCCCACATGCATGAAGGCCAGCTAGAACAAGTGAACACGATCTTGTTGCATCACTTGATGATTGTGATCTGCTTTGACCTTCATCCAATGAACTTCCATTAAAATCCATGTCATTTTTCTCCAGAGGAACATCGGTCAAGGCTTTCAACATCTCTGTGGATAATACACGGCATGTAATCGTCATTGGAACATCTGGGCACTTGTTTCCTGAACTAACAGAGAAGAGGTTAAGTAGCATCAACAAGTCTACAAGACCATAACTGTGCACCAAGATTTAGGAAAACAATGAGCGTCTCTTCAAGCTAAAAATGAAAAGAGACATCTGATACACTGTAAAAGTTTTAAATAAAATTATAATGTGTTAACCCCCTTACCCAGATTTACGCATCTGTGCTGCAAAATGCTTTCTGATTCGTGCTGCACGTGCATCTGTTACCTTTCCATGATGAGAGGAAGAATCGATTGCAACCACTGAGTGCTTATATTGGAAAGAGAGAACCTGCGCTAGATAACCCTGAACAAAACATTTGCCAATGATGTTATTTAACACACTTAAGGAAAACAATATACTACAAAGTTACTAAAACTTTGATCTGGAAGCAAAAATCATCAGTCGAAACATTCCTTAAAAAACAGAAAGAGAATTCAGCAATGCAGACGAGAAAAAGAACCATGCAATTAAGAGTGATAGTAAAACAAGAAAAAGGGATTGAAGATACCTGGCCAGCACCGACATCAACAACAGTAGGAGCTCCAACACTCTTAACAACTGAGCTAACAACAGAGGAAAGAACTTCAACCTGCATGATGCCTTAAAAACTTACAGATCCATTCAAATGAAGTGGCCAGTAGAAGGTACATTTGACAATTATGTTTAAACCAAAACATGGGTTTTTAGTTTTTACTAAGAAACATTTCTATAAATGCTATGAGGTGTTGGTGATCATCAATTTCATGTTTTACATGTGAAGTGGCAAATGACTTTGCCGGATTTTTATGGTAAGAAGACTTGAACAGCTACAAAAAAAATGCATACTCTCTTTTCAATTTAAGCTTCTTGGATTGGGATTAGTCAGCAGAGGCATACTACTGAACTTCCTACCAAAAGTAGACATCACTGAAAGATATGAATTGCACCTCGAGATAGTGAAGATAACAATGTACCTCATGTTTTTTCTTAAGATTCATACCCTGTGAAAGAACAGTGCTAAGCGGAACCATATCTACATCTGCGAGTATCTGCCAAAAGTAGAAAATGATTAAGCTTTATTTAGTCTATAACGAGAATCTAAAATACCATCCTGATACAGCAGAAACAGGTATAGACACATTCCACCATTCATACACTCCCAGAGGAAGTTAACATGGAGAAACCCCTACCGCATTTACAACTAAAAGAATGTAAAATGTAGAAAAGAGAGAATACAGTACCGCCTGTAAATCCGCTTGCTCTCTAGGAAACGATAGAGACCTCAACGTGTGAACAAATTCCTTGAGTGAAGCAGGCCAGTGATCCTAAAAATCAAATCCAATAACACAAACTTATACAGACGCATATCAATACTACATAATTAATTATCTCTTTTTCAAACATAAGTAAAAATGTAACCTTTTAATCAAATTTATCAATCATGAAGACGAGAGCAGAACTTTACCTGGACACCACCGGAGGGAATAAGAAGAATATTTTCCGGCTTCTCATCCTTTAAGCAACTCATCCATTCCTCATCAACAGCTTCCCATTGCTTATCCTGAAAAACAAACCCATCAAATCAACTCATAACCCAACTGGAAGCTGAATTTCAGATTGTTTCCTATTATCGACCATACCTTGAAGAAATTGACAACATGAGCATTGATTAGGAAAGAAAATGGTTGAAGAAAATCGATAATGGCGATGATCCATTCTAGGGTTTCGGCTCTTGTGTTGCAAGAATACTTATTGCTCTTCATTTTCCCGATGACCTGAGTAGTAGCAACGATTCTAGTTTCCGCCGCCAAAAGCCGACCAAACACTTGCTTAACCGTCAAAAATGTTTTGTAAATGTACCTCCTAACTTTTAAATTTATTCAATCTAGCCCACATTTATTTATTTTGTAACAAATACACCCTTTTTGTCACGTGACCGAGTCTTCAAGAGACTTTCTCTCATTCTCTCTTGTTAACACTCTACTTCACCAAATACAATTATCACAAAAATGATAACAATACACAGTCAATCTTTTAAACCATTTTCCAAACACAGAATGTAGCAGATAACAAATACTAGTATTCATGATATTTAAACTAAACATCTGTTTACATTAATCCAATATATAAACTGTCTACTACTTTCACTTAAAGCAACCATTGCTACTCCCTCCATGGATGAGTAGACCCAAATTTTAGTTACTGATTATTTTCTTGTTCTTCTTCGTCTACTTCTTCACCGTTTTCATAGTCGTCAACCTCTACTACGACTTGAGGGAAGCTTCTAAATTCGCTACACATGTTATGACCAAATATGATAACATAAAAGGTCCTCTGGCGGTCGTAGATGAAGTTCAAATGCTTGCCATCTTCGAGATTGTTATCTTTTACAAAATTCTCCCAACCAAGTGTAAGAAACACGTTCTCTCCTCTTTTCTTCACTCTAACCGTCCAAGATCTCCCACTGTAGTCTAGGAGGTCCACCGTTATTGGCAATGGAGCAGGGAAGTGTTCCTCGAATCCTAAGGGAATTGCCTAATCAAACATTTAAAAAAAACAACTCTCAGGAGACAATTGCAGCAACCTAGAAACAAGGGACTCTAGAGTCTTGCTATATTTCAGTCCCAAAGAAATGTTTGGTTTCAGCAACTAGAAAGAACAACACACATAGTTTCATTCTAAATCCTAGCAAGTTTCAATAAAGTCTATAACTTTTGGAATCTAAGGGCTTTAGCTACTTTGATCAAATCTACCAGATGTATATATCTTTAACAAAGAGCCCAAGAGTCAAGAAGATTTAGTTGAGTGATTCAATTAAGAAAGTTAACATCTTTTAACGAAACAGAGCAAAACCCATCAATGAGCAAAACAAGTGGATCTGATACACAACAAGCAAATGAGAGCTTACTGCCTTTTTGCTGATTTGAAGCTAACATTTAAAGGACCTAAGTTCTTAGCTCCATGGAGATATCAACTAAAGCATTTTACCCTAAAACCATAAGTCTCCTAACCACATATTATAAGTTGTTGAAATAAGAAAATCAAAAGAGGAAAGAAAGAGACATTCTCACCAATGATTTAGATGACTTTTGTGAGATGAAAGGCTTAAAAAATCGAACCTCACCAGTGTCAGCCATGGAAAAGAGAGTGAGAGCAAATGTAGCTACAATCAAAATGAAAAGTAAAAAGAAATGAAAGAGAGTGTGTGTGGGATAAAGGAAAGAGAGAAACTTTAAAACAACTCTTTTGTAATGCAGAAACAGAGAGTCAGAGAGAGCTTTTCTCTGTAAATAAAAAAAAGATGGAAATGGGGAATTGATGTCATGGTCAAACAACTTGCCACCTTTTGACCGGTCACACTGCTTTTCTATTCTACTAAGGGCCACACCATACAAGAAGTACAAAACCAATATTGAACTCTTCTTATTACTATTGGGCCAAATGATAGAGCCCAATAGCGAGATGATTCAAAGCCTCTCGAGCTAGAAGAAACTCGAAACCCTAGAGTTCTCTCCACTATTTAAGACCTCAAATCTTTCGATGTATGACAGCAGAATTCTTCGAAATAGCATCGGCTCTAGAAATTTCAATGTTAAATTTTTTGCAAAGCTCCATTGTTTTTCTAGGGATAAATTGAGAAGTTCTTTGTCGATCTATTCGATTATCGTGTTATTTTTCTTATAGATTCAACGTCGATTTATTTTTTTATGCTCTATTTTATTTTTTTCAAAAGAAAGTATTGAAAAAGAGGAGAGAGCGATGATAATGATGATGAAAGATGATTTCCATAGAACAATCCAACTCTGACCATCATTGATGATCTTACCATCATGCACTACCATCTGAATCTCGCTCTCCCTTTTATCCCTTTTTTTTTTTTCATGAAATCGTTAATTTTCTTTCTCAGAAACTGATTTGGTCGGATTTTTAGTTTTGTCTCAATTTGCCTTATTCTATTGGAGAAAAAACCTTATAGGTTCTGATTATTTCATACAAATGTTCTGATTAATTATGTTTTTGAAGAGATTTGCTTTTACCCCAAAAAAAATGTGATTTGTTATTTTTTCTATTCGTTTGCTGTTCATAAGCCATAGTGAATTTCACACATCTATAGATAGATATTCAATAGCAAAAATTTGACATGAAATAAGGAAAAGTAAATCCCTCGGAAATCAATTATCGACATGGACGAAATTAATCAAAATGATGTTGAAAACTTTATAGTTAAGATCTGTAAAATAACAGAACAAATCCTCATTGAATTATTTGGTCGGATTACATTTGCTGGTAGTTAGTCCAAAAACGATGATTTTTGCAACGAGATCACCCATTGAATTATTCACTTTTGCAAATCATAAGAAATATTCATACTTTTGATTTGAGAGGATGACTTTTCTAATTTGAGGACGACTTTCAGAAGAGGATATCCGATATTTCATAGTATTGGGCCTAATAAGTTAGCCGATGACCAATTTTCTTTAATTTCAGTCTAAAGCCCCATTAAATAAAACCTCCAACCTAATGACCAAATTTTATTTAATTTCAGTCTAAAGCCCATTAAGTATAACCTTCAACCTAATGACCAAATTTTCTATAATTTCAGTCTAAAGCCCATTAAGTATAACCTTCAACCTAATGACCAAATTTTCTATAATTTCAGTCTAAAGCCCATTAAGTATAACCTTCAACCTAATGACCTAATTTTCTTTAATTTCAGTCTAAAGCCCATTAAGTATAACCTTCAACCTAATGGCCTAATAACGTGTGCTTTCTCTTTTCCCATCTGTGGATAGGCCCAAAGCCTGCTTCTCTGATTTACCTTTTTTTATTTTATAGGTTTGCTTTTTACGAGAACCCACAACGGCTAGTTTATTCTCCGGGATCAGACGTCTCATCATCGTGGCTGTTCACGTGCTTTTTTCCCGGCAACATGAAATTAAAATTTGTTTTAATCTGACCCCAAGGTTTTGAGAATTATCAATTTCAACCCAGTGTTTCGACATCCTCCATAAATATCCACGTTTATAACTTTAACAACTTTACACGAAGAAAGAAAATAAATCCAAAGGCTTTGATCTTAAGTTGTGAACTGTTTAATAAGGATTGGACATATAGTTCTATTTTAAATTTATGGGGTGATAATTAAGATTTGGAAAACTAGGGTATGCAATGAATTAAAAAATACAGAAGCGGTAAATACAAAAAAATAAAATAATAACAAAAGTACCCCTGTGAAGATCAGAATCAATTTGAAGAGTAATTTAAAATAATTAGGGATTTTTCTACCTAATACGTAAATTGGCAACTAGCCGTTACGATCTCTCTATCTCTCTCTCTTTTAAAAATTCAAAAGAGAACTTAAAGCATTCATAATCTTGCAGATTCTTGCATATTTTCTTTCCTTTAACGAACGCAAAAGATCTGAGATTTGTTAAATAATTCATTCTGATTACCGAAGTAATTTTCAATCATGGCTTCTTCTCCTGCAAAGAACAAGATCTCTGTTTCTCCTTCTTCTCTTTTGTCTTCCTCTTCTCCTTCAATGCCTTCCAGACCAAACCCTAAACTCAGAAACTCGGAGACCGGAGATCTGATGCGTCGCAGTTTCCGAGGCAACCCATTTCCGGCAGATCCGTCCCGGAGAAACTCAATCGGTAGAGAATGCAGCAATCGTGTTGAGTTTGGAGATAAAGAGAATCAGAACGACAAGGATCAAATCTCTAATGTCGTCAAAGTTCCAACAAAAGGTTCCAAGCACTTCATGTCACCGACAATTTCAGCCGTTTCCAAGATCAATCCATCGCCGAGGAAGAAGATCTTGTCTGATAAAAACGAAGTGTCTCGGTCCTTTGACAAAACCCATCATCACGTTCAGGTAAAGTCTTCTGTCTCATTTTCTGATGTGGTTAGCATCATTGGGGAAGATAAAGATCAAGAGGAGACTTGCATCGATGAAAAGAAGCAGCTTCACGAAGAGGAATCACATGACACTACTGTCACTGATTTCGATGAGATTCTTCAGAACAAGAGTAATGATGATTCAAGCTTCAAGATCAGTCCTCTTCCTCCTTCTGTTCCATACACATTCCCTGTGTTTGAGTCTCATGAAGTGGATCCTTTGGTGGCGCCTTATGATCCAAAGAAAAATTACCTGTCACCGAGGCCTCAGTTTCTTCATTACAAGCCAAATCCAAGAATTGACCATCACTTTGATGAGTGCAAGCAGCTTGAGGAGCTTTTTATCTCTGAAAGCTCTTCTTCTGACACTGATTTGTCTGCAGAGGAAAGCCAACAAGATGAGGAAGTTGCTTCTCAGGAAGGTGTAGTTACAGTAGAAGAAGACGCAGAGGAAATTCTGGATGTGGATGGTGAAGAGCGTTTGGAAGCAGCAGTGAGTGATGATGAAGAAGAAGAAGAAGTAGTTGGTGAAAGCATTGAAGAAGAAGAAACTCATCAGATTTCAAAACAGTCTCGTTTCAAGACATCCAAGTTGTTTGGTTGGATTTTTGCTCTTGGTGTGGCGTATCTGTTGGTGGTTTCTTCAACAACTTTTTCTCAACCAAGCTTCATTAAGGACTCACCTTTCTATCAGTCTCACATCTCATCAGAAATCATAATGTCTGCAAGCGAGAACTTTGAGCAGTTGGGTGCAAAGCTGAGGATGTGGGCAGAATCGTCACTTGTATATCTTGATAAGCTGATCTCAAGTCTACGAGAAGAAGAGGGATATGTTCCTTTTCAATTTCATAACTTGACAGATGTTTTGGAAGACAAAAGATTGTCTGATACTATTTTCCAGCCAACTAGTGGTGAAATCAGTGTTGCTGGGTTCATAGTGGATAGCCAAGACTGGAGCTTAGAGATGGATATAGAAGAAGAGTCTGTTGGTCATCAGGAACCTGAAGAAGAACCGGAGAACAGCGGTGAAATCAGTCTTGAACCTGTCTACGAAGAGGGTGATAATGAAGGAGAAGAGGTAAACTCAGAAATTGTTGATGAATTTGATGAGCAGGCTGAGATCAAGATAGCCACAGATACAGAGGTGAATGGAGGTGAAGAATATTCAGAATCTCTTTCTGAAGAAGGAAATGGTGGCCAAGAAACCGATGCTGTTGAAGGGCAGGGAGAATATGAAGAAAATGACCAGAAGAACATCGAGGAAAGTCATGAATCTGAAACTGGATTTGCCCAAAATGATGAGAAGAACATGGAAGAAGCTGATTCCGACGCACACCAGCTTGATGATGTGGAGTCTGCTGCAATCAGTGGTCACCAGCAAGAACAAACAAAAGTAGCCAATGTTGAAACTGTACCAGAAGAAGAAGGTGTTGGGGAAATTGCTGGAAGTAGCCGCAGTGTTTCAGAAGAAGCTACAGATTTTGAACATGATGGTAATGATTTAGAAGAAGAAGAGAGTGGGTTTGCTGAAGTTGTTAATGATGCAGGCTCGGAGAAGATTTTATTGAGTAACCAGAAGAAAGTGATAGTCTTGTTTTCGACTATGATGATTCTACTTGCAGCAGTAGCAGCTGGTTTCTTATTAACCAAGAAGAAGACAAAACCTGTGATGTTGCAACATGAAGATGGTGAACCAACAACAATCTCTGCAACTAAAGTTGTTGAGCATGTGCCAGTAGAGAATCTGATAAAAGAAAGGCTTTCTTCACTGAATTTCAAGGAGGAAGAAGAAGAAGTTGGTGATGACAGAAAAAGAGAGGTATCATCATTCCCTACTGAGATGAGTTTCAGTTTCAGTAAGAACAAATCATTACACAGCTGCAGCAACAACAGAGATGATCTTAAAGATTATCAAAGCGGAGGGGAAGGCAAGAAGAGTAATGATAGCTGCGAATCCATGGCTTCCTCTGCATCAGAATACTCCATAGGCTCTGTATCATATGGAAGTTTCACAACATACGAGAAGATACAAACGAGAAGTGGTCACAAAGAGAAAGAGATGATAACACCTGTGAGACGTTCAAGCAGGATCAGGAACCATCAACATTCTGGACAATGAATTAGAATTAGCTTTTGACTTTATGATCTACTGATTTGTAGGAAGCTTTTCCATCTCACTGAAGCTTGATTAGTATGTTGCTTTCTTGTTGCTGATCTTTGCTTTTTAGGTTTGATTCTCTCCTTTAAAGTTTCTGGCTTTACGATTTGTTTAAGACATTGTACTCCAACATTAGCATATGATGATGAGCCTTTCTTTCTCCAACATTGTACTCCAACATTAATATGTAATATTGTTCATCTTATCTGAATTCTCTCTTAATTGTGTGTTGCAAACGATGGATAATTTTCAAACACCATGATCTTAAAACGTCATGCAAGAAGAATAGGACAAATGTGGCGTTGTAAGTGTTTTATGTGATAAATTAGATTAGTTTACACAGGTATGATTAAACCTTAATGGCTTAGGTGTCCTTCAGTGACGAGATTCAATCTAAGATTCTTTGTTTTTGAGATTGCTCATAAGTTTGGACCAAGCCAACAACAATATCAACAAATTATGGGACAAAACATGAAGACAACAAGAGAACTCATAGCCAATCATTTACTACCCCAATATCAGTATAAGAAACCCATGATGCAGAGACAAAAGAGAATGACTCAAAATACAAGTGAAAAAGATTTTGGTTCCGAGTAAAAAATCGAAACCGTTGTGATAATAACTGTCATCTTCATTGCCTATATTATCGGTAAAACAAGCTTTAGACCTTCTCTGTACACTCCAACTCCAACGTCTCCTCCTTCGTTTAATCATTCATGTCGCAAAACCAAAACCAAAAAAAAAACAAAAAAGAAGATAGAAAAGAACCACCCTCAAAAGAAAAACATCAGTGGACCAAAAAGTTGGAGATTACGACTAATCTCTCAGTTGCTAACTTCTTCTGCTCCATGTGGGACTTAAGTTTTTATCGAATATCATCAAGCTATGACTGATTCGGTTTTCTGGCTACCAAGCTTCAAGAATTCCACAAGTATTCTCTTTTGCTCATCGCTAATGTGCGGGAAACTAGCTCGTAGAAGCTCGATAGGCATTTCCCTGACAATGGCTTGTGCAGCAGCTTCAGACATCTCTGTGGCAAAGTGTGGTGGCAATTGCGAATTCAGGTTCTGCATTATACTGTCGTACTTGCTTATGCAGTGTTTCATCATTAAGTTGAAGAACTCATCAAAGGAAGCACGCCACAAATTCATGCCTGCGTTGTTGTAATTATTAGCACGGAGAAGCTCGGTAGCTCTATCGAGTGCAGATTTGAGTATAATGGTAGCTTCGTCTCCGACAGGACTACCCAAAGGACGAAGCGGTGGTTGCTCAGAAGAACAAGAAACTGCTGCTACACACAGGCTTACGGGTCCAAGATCCATGGTCTGAATGCATAAAGCGACAACTTTTGCAAGTTTGATTGTGGTTTTTGTGGTTTCAGTATCTGATGATCGCACTCCAAACAAAGACCTTAAGTGTCTAAAAATAGCCATGCAAACAATTCGCATTGGATCGCTGCCAGGGAAAAGAAGCTGGAGGTACCTTGTAAGTAGCTTCCGGCCCTTTCGAAGGGAGGTAATTCTTAGAAAGACAAGATCCTGAAATGCAAGCCCACTGTTTTGCCCGTTCTTACCAAGTGGGTCAACAAGCTGCAGTGACACTGCAAGCCCATCCAACAGAGCTTGCCGCTTTTGCCTCAACTGGTTTCCACCATCTTGGAGTTGATTGAACTCTAAGAACCGGTCAATATCATCTACCTCAAGGAAGAGGTAGAGACCTTCCTCAATAATCACCCTAGCTGCAAGCATTGGCTCTTGTTCAAGGGGCTTGTCTGTATCTTTTTGCTCTAGATTACCAGATTTTGTTGAATTTGGAGGATCCATTTCAAGCAGAGGCCGAGGCCTGCGGATCGAAGAGAAAGGAACTCTACCAAGAGCATCAACCTGAAGAAATGCGTGGGGCTCGTTGTTCGTACGGGCACGAGATGGAAGGTCTCTCAAATGATTTGGACAGAAATGATGCTTCAATTTTGCACCGGCAGATTTCTTAGCAAGACGTGCCTGGTGGTAATAATCATCTACATAAGGATCATTGCTATGGGTAGCCACAAGTTGCATTCTTAGGATGTTCTCTATTTCAACAGCTGTCATATATTTCGACCGGAAAGGAGGCCATGCATTATTTCTCCTCTGAAGTCCATCATCAAAACCCTGTTGAAGAAAGCGCATGTTCTGTCTGTTCCCCTGACCCGATCCTGGTCTTGCTTCCCTCAGATCACCAAACCCAAGCATTGCATCATAACTGTCCGAGGACGCTGACCGAGAAAGGTTGGAATTAAATAGTTTAGACTGCATTCCTGACAAATGCCCGTGGGGCTGCATCGGATGTACTAACCTATTCTGAGGAACCAGCATCTGAGGCATCCGCTGCTGTTGAGGCATCAAACCGTTTTTATGAGGTAACTGCTGTTGTGGTAACATGTTGTTCATGATCCCAGAACTATCCCCAGGAAACATATTTGGGCCATTCATCCATTGAGCTGGGGGGCGATTGTTCACAGGAAGAGAAGGTCGAAACTGTGGCAAGTTTCCAGTGATTTGCGGTGACCCATGATGCATGCCAACCAACTGAGGATGAGAACTTGGAAATGGAGAGAGATTTGGCGATCCGATATGAGACCCATCAGAATGAAATTGTGTATTTTGTTGTCCTAAATGCTGATCTGGCACAAGAACCGGTTCACTGGAAAATTGTTGCTGATGCTGGTATGGGCGCTGTTGATGCTGTAGTTCAGGATATGATGTTGCTCTGTGCAGGTTTCTTTGCTCAACAAGATTCGGAGTAGGAAAAGGCTGTGACGGCCTCCTTTTGTCATCTTGGATCGCCTCAGAGTCTAGTTTCTGCTGGCCATACCAATTTGGCAACTCCTCTCCATGGTTCCACCTATCACCAACATAATCTGGAAACAAAGATGAATGATAAAGGGGTTAATTACTGATTCAGTGAACTATAAATAAAAGAGCGTGTTAGATACCCAAACAACCCTAAAATGAGTCAGTAGAATGGGCTACAAACTTATCGCACCATAAAATCTTTAAGGTAAGACACAACTAAATAGATCATACACACAATAACATGATAAAACAAATATCTTCTAAATTCACCATAGAGAAACTGTGACACAAGGACTACAGACAGTAAGCGAAAAGCAAAAATTCCATTATAGTGTAAAGAGTTTTGAGATAGAATTCAGTGAACATAAGAACTCACACTGTCTTGATCCATTATTACCAGCTATGGGAACCGTGCTCCTATATCCTTCAGAGTCCCTATTCAACTGTAACAGGAAAATATAAAAAGCTTCAGGTTATATAAGCTTCAATAAAACCTTCTCCAGTTCGAAGCATAAATCAACCGATCCTGGAGCGAGCACAAGGAAAGAAAAATACACGACATGAGAGTAAGACCATTTGAGCTGACCTTTGAAAATGTACTAGCAAGATCATCAGCGTCGGACAGAGTTCTAGAAACATGAACCTGCATATATTGGGGAGAATCATAAGACACACGAGCAGATAAATCCATGATATAAAAACTCCCCTGTCTAAGCACATGGAAGAGACAGAGATTGTGATGGAACAAACCTCGTCCTTATGAAAGGCAAAGTCTTCTTCTATTCCAGCGACAGGTAATTCTTCTTCTTCTTCATCTTCCAATCCACCAAGCTCGACCTCCTCAACAACATCGTTCCCAAAAAAGGCATATTGAGATGCATCAAAGAGACCTGCACCAATGAAATAGTCAATCACCCAAAGGCCAAAACTGTTGAGAGGTAACAAAAGAATATATATAAGTGGAGAAAATAGAACCAAACCTGTAGAATTATTTCCAATCTGCTTAAGATCCATTTATGCGGAAGCTTGTTTAACACTACTCCCACGACCAAGACCGTTCGTAAAATCTCTCTAACTTAGCTCAAATTCATAATTCAAATAATCCGCAAAGGACCTCAATTAGTCTTTAACCCCTACTACTTAGCTTTCTTGATAAAAACTCGGAATCGATTGAAAATTTAAAAAAAAAAAGGAGCCAGATCAGACAAAAACAAGAGTTGCCCGGAGAAAACCAAAGCCTAGAAGAATTCAAAGCTCTACGGACGACGAAGAAGAAGAGCCCTAGATGAGAAGATAGCGAGAGATTGGAGAATTTTGTGATTGAGGCAATGATAATTGTTTCTGACAAAATTTGAAAAAATACTATAAAAGAAAATCAAACAATTTTTGTTGTTTTAAGAAAATAAGGAGGAGGAGGAGGTGGTGGTGGTGTGGGGTTGGGCGGTTGCCAGCTTTTATGTTGAAAAGGAGGTAATTGACAAGGATTTTCAGATTTTCTTCTTCTTCCTTTATTTTATTTATGCCTATATTAATTAATATTCTACTTATATTTTTTTCGTTACATTAACCGACCATGATCTTTTTCTATATGAGGAACTATAGAAAGTGGTTTCTAATTGATTTTAATTAGATGGTGTATGCAATCGATTAAAACATTTTATAATAAGTTGTTGAGTTTATAAACTTCTCAAAAACAATTTAAATTAAAATCCCTTAATTCCAAAAGCAAGCAAATAAAAAAAAAAACCTGCCACGTGTCATCTTTCGGGTTATTTTGTTGGTTGGTAAATCTGTAGTCCGCGAAAAAAAAAAAATTCACAGTCCGTCGCTCTCCTCTAATCTTTTTTATCCGCTAGGGTTTTGAAGCAAGGTTTCTCGCGATTTTCTCGAGTATCGCCCATGGCGAAACCAAGTCGTGGCCGTCGCTCCCCTTCCGTGTCTGGCTCATCATCTCGTTCCAGTTCCAGATCTCGTTCCCGCTCCGGTTCTAGTCCCTCCAGGTCTCTTTCCCGCTCCCGCTCCCCTTCTAGATCGCTCTCTTCATCCTCATCTCCTTCCCGGAGCGTCAGTTCTGGGAGTCGCAGCCCTCCTCCTCGTGGAAAGAGGTTAGGGTTTCTTTCAAACAGTTACCAATTTTCGAATTGGATTTGTGTAATTCGGCTTTTATTCATCTTGGTTCTTCGTGGGAATTAACTAACTTCTTCAGCTAGAATTTGACTTGATGTTCTGATATATCTTCTTGTGCAGTCCTGCTGGACCTGCTAGGCGAGGTCGCTCTCCTCCTCCTTCACAATCTAAAGGAGCATCTTCACCTTCTAAGTAATATCTGACTCGTTACACATATATTACAGTGTTTATGCTTTCGTCAATTTTACTGACTTTATAATCTATTATGCTTTCAGGAAAGCTGTTCAAGAATCTCTTGTTCTTTATGTTGATTCTCTTAGCAGGAATGTGAATGAAGGCCATCTCAAAGAAATATTTGGTATGTTGCTTTCTCTTTTCTGTGTTTCTTCTGCTTCTTCTAACTTTTTTACATGATGACTGAGTACACCTGTGCTCTAATGTCATCAGTAGTATATACGTCATTACGATCATCACTGGTATTTTGTCTTGCTTGTGTTGGCTAAATCTTTAAGTCTTATAACACATGGCGTGTTTTTCATGTTATTAGGCAACTTTGGTGAAGTTATACACGTCGAAATTGCAATAGATCGATCTGTAAGTTGCTATTTCATTACCCTGTTGTTTACTTGCATCACTTGTTGAAATCTGCTCATAACTCCTTTGAATATTAACAGGTTAATCTTCCAAAAGGACATGCTTATGTTGAGTTCAAGGCAAGAGCTGATGCTGAGAAAGCGCAGCTGTTCATGGATGGTGTATGTCTCTTTCCAAATATGAAATGCACTGTACTTGACATGTTGGCCAAGAAGATTTATGCATGTGTTTTTTTTGTTTACTGAACGCAGGGCCAAATTGATGGAAAGGTTGTTAAAGCAACGTTCACACTACCGCCTCGTCAGAAAGTATCTTCACCCCCTAAACCTGTCTCAACTGCACCAAAAAGAGATGCTCCAAAATCTGATAATGCTGGTGCTGACACTGAGAAAGATGGGCCCAGGCGCCCAAGAGAGAGTATGTCTATGTTTTATATTTTGGTTATTTGTTATTGTTGTAGTCTATGCTTTATGTTGTGTTATTTATTATCATCAATATGTGCTTAGCATCTCCTCAACGGAAAACAGGACTTTCTCCGAGAAGGCGATCACCTCTACCTAGGAGAGGCTTATCACCTAGGAGATTTCCTGATTCTCCCCATCGCCGGAGGCCGGGCTCTCCTATCCGTCGTCGCGGTGATACACCTCCCAGGCGTAGGCCAGCATCACCATCTAGAGGCCGTTCTCCATCTTCTCCGCCTCCAAGACGAAACAGATCTCCTCCAAGGTTAGTTGTGGCACCATCTGTTTTGTCTGGTGTTTTCAGAATCGAAAGCTCACCTTCTATCTGTCAGCAGGGGGTCCCCTAGAAGAATCCGTGGCAGTCCTGTTCGAAGACGGTCTCCTCCTCCTCTAAGACGAAGGTATGTGTATTTGGTACCCGAATTACACCCTTAGTAATTGTATGTTAGGAATTACAGCTTTATAGAATATAGTGTTCAATAAATTAGACCTGGAAAACTGTGTCAGTTTTACAGATGTTTTGTATTGGGCTTGTTTCAGGTCTCCACCTCCAAGGAGACTACGCAGTCCTCCCAGAAGATCTCCAATCCGCAGGCGTAGCCGATCCCCAATTCGTAGGCCTGGTCGTTCTCGTTCAAGGTCCATCTCACCCCGCAGGTATGTTTTAACTCATTTAAAATTTTGATAGGGTTATCCTTGGTATCTCCTGGGCTTTATTTTGTTGCAGATGCATAGCTAAGATAGTATTTGTAATGAATGATATTAATTCATAACAAGTTTGTTAGTCTTTCATAATTCATGAGTGTATCCCAAGATCCTACTCTGTCTTATCCTTATATGTAGGTTTGTGACATACCAGCTCCTAGCGACGTTGATACCAAATATGATTAAGTTGTAGACCAATGTGGAGTTTGTTAATGATGTAATTTTGTCTTTAACTGTAAGCAGGGGACGAGGTCCAGCTGGGAGACGTGGGAGGTCATCTTCTTACTCTAGTTCGCCAAGTCCCAGAAGGGTAAGGGCTTCTTGCAGATCCCTGTTTAGCTATAAAAATGTTGATGCCTTGGTGTGTTATATGTGTTTTGACCTTCTATCCTGTGCATTATTAAACTTTTACAGATTCCTAGGAAGGTTTCAAGGAGCCGCAGTCCTAGGAGGTAACACTTTCTATTGTCTTAAAATGGAAACACTTTAGTCTGTCGAATGCATTAGCTGAAGAAGTTCCACTCTTGAGTTATGTGTAGAGTAAAGTTTAGGTTACTCCAGTTCCTAATAAAAGACATACCTTAAACATCTGGAACCTACACTTTCTTAGAAGTTGATGAGTTTGGTGCTGAAACAAAGACAATAGAATTGTTGTGTGGATATTTTTTGTGTTGAAGTCTACTAAAAGAAAATGGGTTGTTGGGTATGTTTAGGCCACTGAGAGGAAAAAGAAGCAGCAGTAACAGCAGCAGCAGCAGTTCACCGCCACCACCACCTCCACCTCGCAAAACATAAGATGATAAAAAGTGTTCAAAAAAAAAAACTTGAGTCTTCATGTAGCTCTCTTTCTCCATCCTTATCTTTATCATCTGTCTCGGCCTCTTTTCTTATAACAGATAAAATGTTTACCAGTGACCAAATGAGAGTTGTGGCTTTTGTAGTGTTTGGATGTTTTAATCTTCTTGTGTGGATCTCCCCATTAGATGCAATGATATTTGACTCTAATATGTTCAGTCTTCTCGAAGAATAGCTCCTTCACCTTTTTTTTTTTTTTTTCCCAATAAAAGAGAGAGAAATCCATACAAAGACTGGTGATCCAAACTTCAGTCACCGGTCTATGTAAAGTAAAATAAATTAAAATTGTTGAATGTAAGATGTCATAGAAACATCTCTCAGCTGAACAACAAGAATTTTGCATCAAGCCAGTTTTTGCAATATGCTATATGCATGCATCTCAACGACAGTGCAAAAACTTTTATTTAAAACGAAAAACAGAGTTTTCAAGATCGTCTACTTCACAGTACATACCACTCAAAAGAAGAAAAAATCCTTAAACTTGATTATGAATGGGTATAACTAAGAATCTTAAGGAGTTACAAAGCTAACAACTTTACGGTACTCTGCAAGTGCCCATATGGGGAAGATGTTTCTGTAGGTAACATAGTTCAGAAAACAGTTCTTCATGAACACTCCTGTCATTTCCTGCACAATAGAGCAACAACAACTATGTTTTAATAATCTAAATATACACACCATTATGTATTGAATGTTTGGAAGAGAGTGAGTACCTGTTGAGGATAATCTCCATTTTTTAATTGTGAATTGATGATTAGTTTCGCAGCACGGTGAAGAGGCATTGGATCTCTCTCAGCTTGTCCCGTGTGAATCAGACCCATCATTGCCCAGGCAGTTTGCACCAAGTTTGATCTTTCTCCTTCTAACGCTACGTATCTCTGCATTTCCAAGATGATTTAAGAGTTTCGAGTTTTCAGACTTAAGCATTGAATTGATAACAGAGACATTACCTTTTCAGAGCAAGACAGATAGCTTTCTCCCCAACCTCCATTGTTGTTTTGTTTCGTCAGAAGGAAACGAACACCTTCACGCATAGCCAAAGAATTGTCATATGTTTTACCAGCTACTGCTAAACCTTCAAGAGCAAACCATGTTGCATATGTATAGCAAACTCCCCAACTTCCATACCTGTCAATTGAAAACAAAACACTTGTTACCTATCCTGCAGAACATGTGCCTTGGATATATACGCTTGACCGTACCATGAACCATCTGCCTCTTGTGTGCTTTCTATAAAATTCAACGCTTTTTCAATGGTCACATCGATCTCTTTGGTCCTGTGATCTGGGTATAGTTTTTTGAACATGACCAATGCTTGGATGACCGATGATGTACATTCAACGTACTCACGCTCGACTACAAGATCAGCCAGAATCTCTGTGGGGTTGAACAACTGGAATACATTGTTAAGAGGGTTAATTAGCTAGGGTGTGTCTAACGATAAAACTATTTTAATTAAGTCTTTGTAATAAAGTTGAAAAAATTGGTCATACTTCTAACCATCCATATCCACGGGCGGGTTCCCATGCCGTCATACCTCCATTTTCACTCTACAACAAATCAATAGACAATAGTCACAAAAATTTGACTTGGTTAGTACATTAACTTTTTGTAAACATGCTTCTTATGGATTATAGTATCTTACCTGATAAGATAGTAAAAGGTTCACGGAATCATATAGTTGCTCAGGATCCATTTTTGGGCCAACAACGTCAGGTGGCATCATTGAGAGCAATAGACAAGACTATGAAACCAAGAAGATATGAGTTAATCTCTTTAGAAACAGCAGCTAAGATGTTTTTGTTTTGATGATTGATATTAATTGATTACTTTTAACGCTTCAGCTGAACAATCTGAAACTTGCCATCCCTGATCTCGATCAGAAAAAGTCCATCCTCCTTTAGAAATGTGGCGGTGCATCTTCTTGAAATCGCCCGAAGGGTTTTCTCTAATCTGATCAAAGTAGTTTGATTTAGTAAAAACACAACTAACTCTATATATAGAGCACTGTATATAATGCAGATTGCAGAGGGTAAAGTACCTGAGATTTCTTAATGAAATCATGTCCTTTCATGAGTACATTGGGGATTTCGCTGGAGAGATTACATGCAATTATAGCTTGAATTGCAAGTGTTGTGTCCCATAGTTGACTTCCAAAACTCTGCACAAATGTTTGCTACTCAAGGAATCGTGTATACATATATAGACTAAAAGATTTGCAAAGTCCGTCAATACCTGCACTTTCATCCCATCTTCAGCAATCCACAGGTAATCTGGAACTCTAGCGAGATGCTTCTTGAAATATTCCCCGTTTGGATCTTCAGTCCAACAAGCAAGCATGCACATTGCCTGGAAATAAACATGCATATATAATATGATTCTGTTTTTATCCAATTTTTTTGTCATATCTTATCGAATTACTCAAGTGTTTCACCTTCTCAGCACACCCAATGTTGATATAACAGCTATTTTCATCTTCATAATGTATGTATTTCATCACTACCCCAAGAGCTTTTTCTCTCACAAGCTTGTTCAGTGGCCAATGTGTTAGGAAAGGCTCCGCGAACATGTGAAGGCTGTCCCATACCAAATCTTGAACTGAAGGATGGGGATAATAAATGTCTTCCTACAAGAAACAAAATAAGAATATTGTTGCAAATAAATTTTACCAACAAACGAGAAACATCAAGAGAAAGAAAAAAAAAAAGCAAGCGTTGAACTAACCTTTGCGTATAGACGTCGTGCTGTATTCCAATTGATTTCTTCATAAGCATGTAAGTAGAGTTCTCTCCGAAGTTGCAGAATAAGAGGTGTTATTGGACCAACAAATTTCTTCCCATAAAAGTAAGACGTAACCAAGTAAACCAGTCGGCAAAAGCACGTAGTTTTCCCTGTATTATTAGTATTATTTTTACTTCAAAACATCATATCACAGCTTTCAAAGCTAAGCCACAAAGTATATTACTCCAAAATGTTATGTAAGAAAAACAAACCAAGATGTATCGGAAGAAAAGAAGGTAGCAGCCACATCTCTGGAGGCATTGGGTTGGTTCCACTCCAATCATAGATTCCGAGTATCTATACTCACAAATTGAACGATGAATCTAACATAATTATTACCTATTCACATTTAACTTATGTTTTTTAAAATTTTACCGAAAGCCAAGATTTCCCCCAAGAAGGTATGTATGTCACACCACCACGATCAAGAATCCATTGCCGGGCTCGCTTGCACGCCTTATTTGGCCCTCCATCTGGACCTTCTCCAAGAATACGCAAACATATATAGTTCATCGCAGTGCAAAACATACCGCTCTTGCCTTCTATATGCAATCCCCATCCACCATCTTCATTCTAAAAAGCAAAGATAACACACATGCAGTTAGATCAAATCAAATGCTTCAAGATACTTTGGTATATATGCGCCCACCAAATAAGTGCAACATTGTACCTGGTAACAATAGATATATCGAAGCATCTCTTTACGATGCTCTTCAGTGAATATCTCCTCAAGGTGTCCTGTGATATAGAAACAAAACACCTGCGGAAAAACTTTCTTCATCAATCATCTCATTTCTGTCTTTGGTCCATGGCACAAACAACCTAAGCTATCGTTTAGAGTCACTTCTATATCATCTAGTTTTTGTTTTGGTATCTCAAATTTGAACCTATAATCTTTATCTTTTTGTCATTTGTTTTCTTATATATACTTTTTTTTGTGGTTTGTTAAAATTTTTTTGTTAATTTTGATTTATCTACTCTAATTTCAGTTTTCTATAATAATAGATAGAGTGGTAGTACATAAGTTATCATCTATTATGAAAACGTAACGTAGAATGTTCCATAAAAGCGTAATTCTAGTCCAAGGAACATTCTCCAGCATTAAAAAGTAAATCGATTGTGTCGGAAAAAAAGACTTACGATGGGAGGAACGTAGAAGAGTGGACCGGTGATTTCAGCCGGCCAGTGACCATCGCTGGCTTGCAACGCCGAGAAATAGTGAACGGATCTTCGTAATGCATTGGTCGTTGCTTCGTTCGTGATTTTCTCAGCATCGTCGACCTTCACTGGCGGGATTACTTGCTCGAATTTCTTCTCCTTGAGAAACTAAAATGTGTTTATATATGTAATCAAAACTCAGTCAACGCAGTACATACTAATCCAAGGACAACATAAATAAACCGGATAAGAAACAAATTTAAATGAAAACTAAAACTTGTATAATTAAAATTCCATCTAAAGATAACGAATCATGTCAAATTCACCAAAAAAAAAAAATCAAAATTTGTTTGTAGAAATAAGGAAAACATACTTGCATGCGCCATAAAAGATCACTGGAAGCTCTAACCCGATGGCGATTATCGTAGAAACTCTGGCGAGTCTCCTCGACGGCTACTCGCTCCTCCGACGTACCACCATTTGGATCAAACTCCCATATTTGCCGACCGGCGAAGTTGTTAGTGCTCATCAAATACGGATCATCTTCTCCATTTCCTTCTCCTGTCTTCAACTTCCACATTTTTCCACTTAAAACAACAAAAAAAAGGATGTCAGAGAGATAGTAATTACATCATCGTACTATTCTATGCATCTACTCGATAAAGGATGTCAGAGAGATTATTACATATATATGGTGCTTAGATATCTTTCTTCGATGAAGACTAGGGTAGCTTTGGAATGAATTGAATGATATTTTGAGGCATTTTATGTGCCTATATATATATACAAAGGTCACATGAGTTGATGCCGATAACTAATATTTGGGGGAGTTATTAAAATATGCCAAATCTTATTAAACTCAACTACTTTTTTTTTTTAAATGAAATGTCATAAAAAAAAAATCCTTGTGAATTTATACTACATGTTTTTTTAATGGGAAAATTATTAAAAATAAAGAACAGCAAAAATAGGAAGGGATAATTAGAATAGGCCAAATCTCATTAAATTAAATATAACTTAGTTTATTCTGAATGTCCAAAAAAAATCATTCTGAATTTAACTACATATTTTTCCATTAATGGATAAATCTATACAATAATAACAATATGTATGTAAGAATTCACTCTACGCCTGTTTCTTTATGATAACTCTTCATTATTTATATTAAAAGATATTGAATTACTAAAATATATTTTCAGTAAATATAAATTTATCTCATATAAATCCACGATAACAAACCGAACAAAACTTCTAACTTGGAACCAATAAGCAAAATATTTAGTTTTACACAGAAAGAAAGTATCATATACTATTATTTGGGAAGTACATCATAAGTTGTAACATTGAGAAGTGTAACAAATTACATTATAATGTCATTAGAAAAATGTAATCATAGACGAAATTAATCCACGTCATTAAGATTATGATCCACTTTTTAATCTCGCGGGTCAATGGGTCATCAAACATGTTTTCAAAAATTACCTAAACAATAATATATATCAACTAATTAGGTAATTGATTATTGAGAAAGATTTTGTAAACAATAATATCAACTAATTAGGTAAGTGATTATTGAGATAGATTTCGTAATCAATAAGATCAAATATTCAGTTAAATCTTCTAACTATGGAACGTTTTCGAACACAATATTTGATAATTGAATAGAAACAAAATATTTGGCATCAATAATTTTCTGTCATCACGAATCTTTAAAAACAATTTAAAATTTTGCTATCGAAATCAATATACTCGGAGAAAGAAAATATTTAAAATGTATTATTCTTAAAGATTTTGCTGAATTTTCTAAACAATATACTCGGAAAAACCTAATCTAACACAATATTACTCTTTAAAACATTCTAAATAGCGTAACTTACTTCATCTGATCCCCTCCGACCATAGTTAATTCATAAAGACTAAAGAGTAATAAATAAGGATAAATTAATTCATTTCATTAAGGATAAACAAGTCAAATACTAATTTATGTAATTTAATTAATTGTAACGGGTCAAAATAATATAAATTGTTCAATCGATAAAGAAAAAATTGTAACGTGTCAAAAATTCAAGCTTTCGTAATATATTTTTTTTAAAACAAAAATTCCGACTGAGTAACTGGTCATAATTTGAATATTTGTATTCAATTTCATAAATTTCTTTTTTTGAAATGTATAATTTTATATACAACAATAAACTTTTAAAATATTTAGTTTGGAACATTTAAAAATAGTTTTACTTGATATTTTTAAAGAATATCATTAATACTTAATATAACTAAAAGTTAGAAGTTATAAATACTCTAATTCTCTTTTTAAACAGATATATTTAAAATATTTATAATAAACGACGGATTAAATATAATGTATTATATAATGAAATGAGTTATCATCCTTATAACAATTTGAAATAATAGAGGTTACTTTATTATGAAAACATGTTTTATAAGTAAATATAATACAGAATTTAATCCAACTAAAAAAAAAATATTTGAACATAATATGACATAAATTCTTAAAACTTTATACTATAATATTTTTTACTTCAAAGAACAAAATTTACAATTTTATTGAATGAAAAAAAATTATACCCGTGATGTATCACGGGTTATGATTAGTACAAGTGTTAAGAACGAAAACAACGTTGTGGTTTGTTTTATAACTTTTTGCTACCCGTGAGGTGACTTGACAAATCTCAAACATGTTTAATGCATCAGTGTCCCCTCCTTCACAACCTCCAAAATGGGAGTACATGATACAAAACAATAATGCATCTTTGCATCAGAAAATGGGTCCAACTGACCCGACGCTTATGTGTTATCTTACTTGTGGCTCATGGGCTGCATTGGGCTTGACAAGGTTGTGTGGTTGAGACAAACTTGGGTGTTCCAAGTAAAGCTGCAAGCAGAGTGGCTCGCTGTTCAAAGACTTGACGGGAGTTATAACTGGTGGGTTCTGCCACTGCTTTGTGTCTGTTGGAATCCACAGCTCTCCTTCTTTGCTTGAACCCACTTGAGGAAGTGACCTTAGATAAGCCGTTACCTCCCATCTACAATCTGTTTTTATGAGTGGGAAAGGTCAAAAAGCTTTAAAACATAGAAAATATTGCTGCTATAAGAAGAGGGTATTTACTTTGGGGAAGAGGTTTGACAAGGGATTTTGAGACGGAAAGCTTGATTAAGAAGGACCTAAGCGCAAACTCCAGTTGACCCTCTTCTACTAAAGCAGCGGAAGACGGGTTAATCGTGAGCTTGAAGATGAACCTCTCTACAGGAACATTATCCTCGCTGAAAAATATGACTGCTACTCTCTCAACAAGACCCTGTTTCAGAAAACAACAACAGACATTGCTCATCATATAATACATAAAGAGAATTGGTCAAATTTGATCAGTGCATAAGAAATGCAGCATTCCCACATATACATGTTACACTTATAGCAGGACAAAAAAAAAAAAAAAAGAGAACCTTTTGAATAAAAGGAAGAAGCCCATATGCAGCAGAGTGAATATAGTCACGTAGCTCAGGATGTCTAGCTCTTTGCACCACCACATTCATATATCTCCGCCTTTCAAATGCCGCTTCACAAACCACAAATAATGATCAATCAATCAATCACTTGGAGATGCAAAATCAAGAACACAATTCGCTCTTTACTCACCAGTTGGGTAAAAACCTTTGAGGAATACAATCATTGTGATGGCTACTTCCATAAATTCCACCACTGTACGACCAACTTCTCCTGAATTACCCAAATTTACAAAGTTTCGAACTTTTGAGAATCCAGGCTACTAATATATCATTATGTTTATGAAACTGAGATTACAATTGAAAATCACAAATTTACCTGACTGAATATCATCCTTCAGATTCATTAGCGCCTCACAATCACAAAACGGAGACCTCCTAACTTCGCCGTCGATGCTGGCCTCGCCGTGAAAGTGAAATACTTCTTCTTCTTTCGCCGTCAAGATAATCGCGCATGTGACATACACGTGACCTTTTTTAGTTACTAGATGAATACCCACGCTACGCGTGGGTTTGTTTTAAAAGTTTTAAAAGTTGTTAATAACAAATTATTTTGATTGTTCTTGTTGCTAGTTAATCACCCGCTTTATGCCGCTGTTTTTTCCGTTTTTTTTTTATTTTGATTTAGTTAATGTTATATTTTGATAAATGTAATCTTTAATTATCTAATCATTTACTCATACAATGAACAACTACTCTTAGTATTAAAATACATTTTCAACCAACATACTCAACAATGCATCACTCACACAATCCGTAAACAATCTTTCCTAAACCAATTTTATAGATGGTAATGTTGGGATTATAGAACCTCCAAAATTTGATGACCTTACGTACTCTTCACCCTCAGTGTCATATATAGATCAAAAAATTAAGAGAAAAACTTACTCAAACCATTAGCTAATCCACTATACTATATATTATCCACTCATATTTTGAGTTAAGATTACAAAAATTAGGGAAAAAAACTTTGGAGTATATTAAACCAATAAAATAATTTCATGGAAAAAACCATAAAATAACAAAATAAATTAGTATTAGTAAAAATCAATATGTAAAATTAAATAATATATATAATTAAATAATAGATATATTATTAACTTGTGAAATAGATTTTCAAATTCATATGGGCCATCCCTCATGGGCTATTGTGTTTTTCCCATTTGACATTTATAATTAGAAGCTGATGTGTAAAAAATAAAAACTGACTCATATTAATGAAATGTTTTGATTGGATGGACAAAAAGCTGATGTGGCATCTCCAGAAGAGCCTAAAATGCTGACGTGGCGACCATATGGAGAGAGATAGCCTCCTTTCATATATATGATTTCAGAGACTTAATTGGGCCCAAGAAAAGAATTAATTAGACATGGGCTTGAAACTCATGGGCTTAGTTAATTCCTTCTTGGGCCCAATTACTTTTTCTCATTAGTGTGTATCTTCTATTTCTCCTCCGCCTCATCGGAAAATTTTTCCCGGAGCATATCGACGGAATCTGAGAGATCCCGGTAAGATTTCATTTTCAACGAATGTTTTTGATCTTGTTTTCTAAGATCGTTTTCATTTTCTCTCTTGGATTTTGCAAACTAGCTAGCTTCTCGTGGATCAGTAGAGTCTGATAAATTTATCACATGATTTTGAGCTCAACATAGTGCTAATTGTGATGAGAAGATTTTTAGGGACGATGGGGAAAAGAGGAAGGGCTTGTGTAGTGGTACTTGGAGATCTTGGTCGAAGTCCTCGGATGCAATATCACGCTCTTTCTCTTGCTCGTCAGGTTTTGTCTCATTTGTTTTGATGTTGCATTTGTTCAACTTCTAGTGATTTTGAATCTTGAGTTTATTTCGAAGTCCTTAGTTTATATAAAAAATTTTGGATCAATACACTAATTGTCACATAAAATTGCAGGCATCATTTCAAGTGGACATTGTTGCATATGGAGGTAAGGATTCCTAATTTAGGGTGTTTTCAGTGTTCTTGTGAATCACAATGCATATTGTTTAAATGTTTTTAAATTTATGATTAGGTTCTATACCCCATGAAGCTGTTCTAAATCACCCATCGATCCACATCCATACCATGGTATGCTACGATCAGATCCTCTATATAAAACTACTAGCAACTCTGTAGATTCGTGATCATCAGTTTCTTTTTTTTGGTGGGGGTTAAAACAGGCGCAGCCACGATTCCTTCAGCTCTTGCCAAAGATACTTTATCCTGTAACTCTCTTGCTCAAGGCATTTATTCAGTTTACAATGCTTCTCTGGTTTCTTTTTGTAAAAGTACCAGCGCCTGACATTTTCTTGGTCCAGGTAAAGTCTCTTTTGTTTTCACTTTGAAATATCACTTCTATCTATTTTCTTGCAAAAAATTTGCAGAAAAAGTTACACTTAGTTATTTCTGCAGAATCCTCCTTCCGTTCCAACCCTAATTGCTGTTAAGTGGGCGAGTTCATGGAGACGTGCAGCGTTTGTTGTAGATTGGCATAATTTTGGATATACATTGTTGGCATTGTCTTTAGGAAGAAACAATTTGTTTGTATCCTTATACCGCTGGTATGTATATTAACCAGTGGCTTGAGAATGGCTTTAACTATCAACGAAATTTCTTTTATCTCTTAAGGTGAAATAATATTCTTTGCATGATTTAGGTTTGAGAATCATTATGGAAAGATGGCAACAGGTTCACTATGTGTCACAAAAGCAATGCAACATGAACTGGATCAGAATTGGGGAGTGAGGTGAGATGAAAATTCTCATAGATAATAACCTGTTACATTTTGATTCTGAAGTAAAGAAAGTGATGTGATTCTGATTTCGCATGCAATAATGTTCTGAATTGGAAAAACAGAGCCCAAGTGTTATATGATCAGCCTCCTGAGTTTTTCCGTCCCGCTTTACTTGAAGAAAGGCATGAGGTTAGCTGGTCTTTTCTTCCTTTTTTATTATTTTAATCAATCACTTTCGCTCTGCGTAGAGTGCGGTATCTGAGAGTAATGTAACTTTTGGTTACTTCTTTAGTTGTTTTGCCGAGTGAGGAAGGATCTTTGCCATCCAATTGGTGTCTATGATATCATTAGTAGAGGTATCTCCCTTAAATATATAAGTCCAGGTTTTGATTTTCTTTTGAGCTTCTCCATTCGTTCTGATGCCAAATCTTTCAATTTAAATTTAGAGTTGGAAAACCAAGAGCTTAATGAAACCCTTTTTACTACCAAAATCAGTACTGGTATCTCGCTGAAGCAAAACAGACCAGCTCTTGTTGTGAGCAGTACAAGCTGGTGAGGACACATCATAATTCTTTGTTCAGTTTCACTCTTGTAGCATCATCCTTCCGTGAAATTGAATACTAGAACATAAAAATTTTTCAGGACCCCTGATGAAAATTTTGGTATCCTACTGGAAGCTGCAGTGATGTATGATCGGCGTGTGGCTGCAAGATCAAAAGGAAGTGAAACAGCTCTAATTTCAGAAGAGCAACACCTGTATCCCAATTTGTTGTTCATCATTACAGGTAAAGATGGTTTCGTTCTTGTTTAGAACATGATAATATTTCGCTGTTTCTATTTTTGATCATGAGCTACTTATACTGTCCATGAAGGTAAAGGACCTGAAAAGGAGATGTACGAGGAGAAAATCAAACGATTAAACCTCAGACATGTGGCATTCCGTACAATGTGGCTCGCAGCTGAAGATTACCCATTGCTTTTAGGTTCTGCAGATCTCGGTGTCTGCTTGCACACTTCCTCATCGGGTTTAGACCTTCCCATGAAGGTAAGTACATTGTTTTTAAAGCTCATATGTGCTAATAAGGTTAAGAAGACTTAAGATTTCCATTGTGTCAACTTGTTACCAATGTTAGGTTGTTGATATGTTTGGATGTGGCCTCCCAGTTTGCTCGGTTTCCTACTCATGGTAAAATAATCAGTGACTTTCATTACTTTCACGGACAAAGACTATAACTTTTAAACCTTCAACTGTCTTGAAGCATTCAAGAACTCGTTAAAGATGGGAAGAATGGACTTTTGTTTTCATCTTCATCAGAATTAGCAGATCAGTTATTGGTAACTAACTCGTCTTTCTTTTAAAGACACTATTTCACCAAATCTACAGCAGACAGCAGTAATGTTCATTGTGTTCTGTCTTTGTGAACAGATTCTCTTCAAGGGTTTTCCCGGGAACTGTGATGCCCTAATGTCGCTTCAAGCGGGTGCAATGGAGACTGGTTCTTCGGGTCGATGGGCTACAGAGTGGGAAGATTGTGCAAAACCTTTGATCACTCAGGCAAAATCCGTTGGCCCTCTCTGTATCTCACACACACACTTTTATTGGGCTATTTCTCATAAGATGTCTCACGTCTGATCTATGCAGGTCGTGTCTCAAATAGCAGATTCATGAAAGAGAAGACTCAAAATCGATGGGCTTGAGAGTTTCTCACAACTGCTTTTGTAGATCCAAATTTTTGTACACAATGATTACAAGATTGTCTCGAAATATTGACAAAATCTGATTCCGAAATGATTTGGCAGGAGTCTTTGTATGACTGAGTAAATGATATCAAAATCTCAATTAACCAAAAGTAAGGCCAAGAAAATTTTCTTAAAGGGCTCAAAGCAAATTCCACAGTTAATGCTTAAACAATTAAAAAACAAAAAACCAAAACTGAAGAAACCTGTGAATCCAAACCAGCTAGCTTTAAACAAAAGACTCTTCCTTCTTCGTGATGCTTAAATCCATTTCCACCTTTCGTTTTTCTCCTGTGCTTGCAAATTTGTACGGTCGAATAAAAATCCTTCTGAAATTTAGCAAAGAACTCACTTTGCCTTCGTCTTAGTTTTCTTGAGGAGGCTGGAAGTTCTGAACTCAGCATCGTCTCTAATGAAGCTCCACCAGAGAATGGTCAAGGGGATTGTGGCAGCGTGCCAGATCGAGTGAGCATCGAAGTAGCCTTCATATGGAGGAAAATCATATATCTCTAGAAGCATGGCTAATCCTCCAGCTATCACAACCACCCAAAGTTTCCAGTTAGAAGGATGGCTCGAGACAGCAGCCCATCTTGCCCATAGAAAAAGCTGAGTAACTCCCATTGCCACACACACAATCATGTTCCAACCTGTAAACAATATTCAAAACTAGTGAGCTCACCAAGACTGCGTAGAAAACATGTTGACTCTGTAAACAACATTCAAAACTGGTGAATTCACCAAAAATATTGACTAGATTTCAGACAATGGAAAGAGTTTGTGGGGTACCATAGTCGAGTTTGTAGAAGTTTATGTAGAGTATGTGGGTGGTTACAAAAGCTAGTATTGGAGCGGATACCATAACCCTTGTAGCCTCGACCCGAATATCAAAGGTTCGTAAAATGGCTAAGATGAGTGAGAATCCGAGAATGGCTACTGCGGATGAGTAGTCCAACCTCTCTGTGAGGTCAACATCCCTGAGAACCAAAGAGACAGATTACCAGAAAATCATATGAATATATGAAGCAGATTGTGGATAATAAAGTAATGTGTATATAATTTACCGGCTGTGGAAAACAGCACTCCAGAACCAAGAGTTCATGGACAGAAGACCGTAAATATGCCACAAACCGACGTATTCATAGTACGCTGTCTTATCTTGTTTCAGAGGCAATTTATAGTAGAGCGTGATGAAAAAGGAAAGCCAACCATGGAAATGCATAGCTAGGTTGAGCACAGAGAACGCAACAGAAGCAGGCTCCTAGCAAAGAACAAGGTAAGTCAAACTCCTATTATATGGAAACAACCAGAATCAAAAAAGTGATTGAAGAAAAATACACACCTGAATCCCAAGTACACGCTTGAAGGGCCATTTACCATGGTACTTGACCGGGGCTTGACCGAGAGTTTCCCGTTCTCTCTCTCTATTAACCATACACTGATAACGGCAATCACCTTGACAACCCCATTTTTTCCATTGTAAATACAGAGGTTCTTGTATGTACCATGGACCACCATCCGATGAAGAATTGCACTGAGGAAAGCAAAGTTGTCCAACACAACCGCTTATCTCACATTCTGAAACACATGTCCTGATACGAAATTGCGAGACATTCATAATGTCCACGAGTCAAAAATGCTGCTTACTTATGCGCTACTACTAAACCAAGTTCAAGCTAGAAACTGAAAGAACAAACAGTCTATCTTGAACATAAATTCTATGATTACAAAGTAAGCAAGATAAGTTGTGTATAAATCATAAAGAAACTGAAAATCATAATACCTGTAATCTGGATCGGCATCGCCAGCACTAGCATTTGAAATACTGAAAAGGCATGACAACAATAGAAACAGGGCTGTCCAGTAGTGGACTGCCATCTGAGAAGAAAGTTGAAGTGAAATCACTGAGTGATAATAACAATGCAAGCCTTAAAAAACAAAGAAAGATTGCTTAAAGGAGCTGCACATAAAAACTACGAATCAGACTATCAAAAAAAAGAAACTACGATTAAATAATCCTAAAGAAAGTGTTTATTACAGTGAAAGAAACTCTCACATATCAATAGAAATCCTTGTCTAATTGGAACTTGAAAGACTACAGAATCTCTTTGTTAACGATCGAATTTGCTGTTAAAAAAAACCCTCAAAAACCCAGATTCCTATACAATCTAATCCTATGATTTCCAGATTCGATCAGATTATCGAAAACTCAGTACGTAAATCAAATTCAGAGCCTAAACCCTTAGAGATCAACTAATTACGCAGGGATGACACAAATATGAGAAACCGATCACTTCTAATGTAGAGAGCAAGATAAATCAAGCAGATCAGATGAAATCCAGTACCTCCGAGTCTGCGCCTGAGAGTCTGAGTCTTCGCAACAATGTTAAAAGCTTCAAAGAATATTATTATCGCTGTAAATAGTGGAGATGACAAAAGAGAAGACCACGTGTCTTATTTATTTTAAATTAAACGACGTAGTTTTGCATTATTTCTTTTTCTTTCTAGCATTATCTGCTTTCCAAAATATGTCCCCAAAAAAAAACAAGAGTAACAAAACCTTCATTCGGATTTATCTGATCTCAATAATATAATTGTTACAAGTATTAGGAAAAATGGGATTTTGCAGACATTATATAAGTAAGAGAGGTTTTAGTATAGGTGAAAGGTGGTCCTATGGTTTCCTTCCAATGCTTTCTTGGAGCCTTTCCGATAGTTTCTCGTAGTGTCTTCTTTGCTGTTTGTTCACAGAAGGTGAGACTAAGGACAAGGCTTGCTCGAAATGAGTCATCTTAATGGTACACTGACTTGTATCTGTAATATCATAATCATCATCTTCACCACAAGTTGTTATCTCCTCCACTGCCTGGAATGTAGCTTTTTGCACCAAGTGAGCGAGATCAGCTCCGCTGAAACCTTCACATTTCATCTTTGCAATGCCATCTAGATCAACACTAGGATCTATGGGTTTCTTTCTTGCAATAGCTTTTAGAATTGAAGCACGTTCATCCGCGTTAGGGAGGGGTACGTATAGAAGATTCCCAAACCTACCGGGTCTCAAGAATGCAGGATCAATTACATCTGGCCTGTTTGTAGCTCCAATTACATATACATTACGCCTCTCTCCACCGTCTAGCTCAACAAGAAACTGGTTTAAAAGCCGTTCAACAACCCAGGCACCTTCTTTGCCACGGCTTGTTGTCAAAGCATCCACCTCGTCAAAGAAGATTACACATGGCGAACATGTCCGGGCGCGCTGAAACAATGTCCGAATAGCAAGCTCGCTCTCTCCAACGTATTTGTTTAGAAGTTCTGCACCCTTGATGTGCATGAAATTAGCTCCTGCCTCGTTAGCAACCGCCTTTGCAATCAATGTCTTGCCACAACCCGGTGGTCCATAGAGTAAAAATCCTGTCTCTAAGTCTACCCCAAAAGCCTTGAAAATCCAAAGAGACACATTCAGACCTCAAGAGAACAAGCAAGTAATCTTGACCATATAACAGTGCCAAGTGACTTATAAGTACCTTATAAATATCAGGCTTTTTGATAGGTCTGACTATATAACGGTTGAATTCAAGTCGTAGATGCTCAAGTCCACCGACATCATCCCACTTGACATCAGGCACGATAGAGAATCCTTCTCTTGTCAAAGATGCTTGAACTAGATTCACTGCTTCCTGGTAGATTACAGAGCAACCAACAGAGTTAGAAACCAAAGAGTAAAACTTCGTAGCTATTGAAGTACTAAAAAAGTAGACACATATCACGCTTGCAATTAAAATACCTCGAAATCAGACATCTTGACAAAGAGTTTTTCCAACTCTTCTTCTGGCCAGGGATGCCTCAGCCAAGAATTATCATCTTCACAGTCCCCAGAGAGTTGAGATTTTCTTGAATCCAAGATTCTCTTTGTGGCTATCCTGCCAGCCATGTTAGCAACACCCTCCAAATCGGCTCCAACAAACCCCGGTGTTAAACGAGCTATTCTTTTTTTGTCAAAGGGCCCTTCTAGTCTAAGTTTCTGGGCTACAACAGAGAGGATCTCAGCCCTTGCATCTTCATCTGGAACACTCAGAGCGATCTCACATTCAAATCGTCCACTTCTTCTCAAAGCAGGATCCAGAGCATCAGGCCTATTTGTAGCTCCAATGACGAGAACAAATCCAGCACTAGACTCAGGACCTTTGTTACCAGGTCCATCCATACAAGTCAATAATTGCGTTACAATCCGCTTCTCCATCTCCCTTTGCTGATTTTCCCTCTTTGATCCAATTGCATCAATCTCATCGATAAACACAATGGAAGGCGCAGTCCTATACGCTTTAGAGAAGAGCTCTCTAATATTCTCTTCAGAAGCACCAGAGACACCAGAAACCACATCAGTAGCTGAAATCTTATAAAACGGAACACCAACTTCATTGGCTATAGCATTAGCCAACTTGGTCTTCCCACAGCCAGGTGGTCCATGGAATAGAATCCCGCTTGGTGGCTTAACTCCGATCTTCTTAAACGGTTCAGGATTGAGAATCGGGAACAAAACATTCCTCTCCAATTCATCCAACACTTTCTTAATCCCACCAAAATCTTTAAAAGTAGGTCCTTTATCACCTTCCACTTCTAAATCACCATAACCAGTAGTTCCACTGATGGAAAGAGAGCCTTTAGACTCCTTTCTAGACCCCATTGTAGCCATCTTGCTTCTACCTTTGTTACCCACAGTCTCAACTTCAACATTCTTCTCCACAGGCGACCCAATTGGTTTCTTCAAGGAACTGTTTAGCTTGGCATAGTTACCTCGTAGACTGTCATTGATCAAATCAAACCTTGGACTCAGCTTCTCACTGTAAACAGCGTCCTCGTCCTCAGAAGTCGAAGAATAAGACGGAGAAGAAGACACTTTCTTCCTTTTAGCAGAAGCAGCTTCCTCATCGCCGTTGTTGTTATTATCATCTTCCTCTTCAGCTTTGTTGTTTCTGGCATTAAGGACTGCTACAGGATGAATTAATCATCCGGTTTAATTATGCTTTTTATTATGGTTTGTTGGTACAATCTTTTATTTGGTACATTTAGTCGGTTTACGACTGGTACGACTATCAGTATTTGTAAGGCACTTTGCCATTTGGGGAAACCTAATCAATGAACATTTCTCTTATCTACTCCTCTCTCTTCTCTCTGTTTAGCGCCGTCACAGTCTTTATCCCTCAAACCCATTTGTCCTAAGGTGATTTCTTCTTTCTTTGATCATCTTTTGCCTTGTGGTTTGCTCATTTCCTGGATCCACGGTGGGTTCTTGACTTGAGAGGTTATTAACTAGTTTCTCCGGTTTCATTGGTATCAGAGCTCTCATCCTCGGATCTGTACGACCATGGCTGACGCAACACGCCTTGCAACCATGAACAAGCAGATAGATGAGCAAAGGACAGCTACGGAGGCGTTAACGACTCAGATCGAAAAGTTGATGCAGTCCCAGACCCAAATCGATAAGCTACTCCAGTCGCAACAAAAACTTGAAGCTATGGTGACGGCGATAGTCTCTCACAACGGCGGTCAAGCTCCGGGTTCCAACCTAGCAGCTTCCGGTGACCTCACTTCGTCATCGTCGCAAACACCAAAACCCCCAGATCCTCCCGATTTGAACAGATCCGGTCAGCTTTCTGTGGGTAAGCGTCCTCTCGAAGAAGACAGAGCCACTGTGCACCCAAATGGACTGATTACCAGACTCTCGAAGGTAGGGTTCCCCTCCTTTGATGGTAATGGTTTCCGTGGTTGGCTTTACCGTTGTGAACAGTTCTTTTCACTTGATGGAACACCACCTGAGTTGAGAGTCCGTTATGCATCGATACATTTGGAGGGTAAAGCGTTAGAATGGCACCATAACTACATGCGTGATCGGTTTGATATGTTTCCATCCTGGTCAGAGTATGTTGTGGATCTATCAGCTAGGTTCGCAGAGCTTGTAGATGACCCTTTGGCTGAGCTGGTGAAAATAAAACAGGGAGGAGACTCCGTTGAAGTTTTCTGGGAAAAGTTTGAGTCTGCGAGAACAAGGTTGTCGCTTCCCATGCCACATGCTCTCAGCATCTTCCTAACCAACCTCAACCCACACTTAGCCTTACAAGCCCGACAGTTCAAAGTTACCACTGTGACAGAAGCAGCCAGAATAGCCAAACTCCATGAGTCAGCCCTACTCCAAACACCTACTAAACCTCAGCGAGCTCCCTTCAGTCCCTTCTCAAAGCCAAATAACCAAACCTACACTAAATCCTCAAACACTACAGCCATATTACCAACACCAAAGTTCACCGAATATCCCAAAACACCAACCTACAAACCAAACAATACCAATAAACCTACAAGGAAGTTTACATATGATGAGATGCAAGAGAGAAGGACCAAAGGTCTTTGCATGTTCTGTGATGAGCCCTATACTCCAGGCCATCATTTGAAGCACAGAAAATCTCAAATCTTTGTAATGGAATGTGAAGAGGATGATCTGAATGATGAACAGGAGGTTAATGCAACAGTAGAAGAGGAGGATGCTGTTGTAAATCCCAACGAAGAGCAGCCCACAATCTCAGTAAATGCCCTGAATGGATCCACTACCTTCAACTGTATGCGTCTAATGGGGCAATATGGGAAGCATAAGCTCCATATCTTCGTGGATCCGGGAAGCACCCATAACTTCATTGACATTAAGGTGGCCAAAGAGATAAACTGCAAGCTTGAAGGGACCAGACCCATGACAGTAGATGCAGCACTTGGTGGTAAAACAGTGACTCTCTTCAGGTGCAAGGACTTCACATGGAGGATGCAGGGCTATAGCTTTACCACTGAAGTAAGGACTCTTCCCTTAGACCACTGGGATATTGTTCTCGGGGTACAGTGGCTGGCCACATTAGGTCCTATATTATGGGACTTTACTTACCTAAGGATGGAGTTCACCCTGAATGGAGCGAAGTATATACTCAGGGGTACTGCAAAAGCTGGCTGCAAGGTAATCAAAGGTAATAAACTCACTAAGCTACTCTCACAGGAGCCGCAAGTTGCCTTTCTACAGCTCTATGACCCTGATTCATCCACGAGTTCTGGGGCTTCTCTCTCTCATATTGCGGTTGATGAGTCCACTTCCCTTAGTGATGCCACATTGGAGGCACTATTGGAGGCATATGAGGATCTCTTCATTGAACCCACAGGGTTACCTCCTTTTAGGAAGGGCTTTGATCACCAGATACCAGTTGAAGCAGGTGCAAGTCCAGTGAGCCTCAGACCCTACCGCTACAACTCAATCCAGAAAGATATTATAGACAGAATGGTGCGGGAAATGCTCAGCCAAGGCATCATTCAGAACAGTTCAAGTCCCTATGCCTCACCAGTTGTGCTTGTCAAGAAAAAAGACGGTTCCTGGAGGCTATGTGTTGATTACAGAGGTGTGAATAAGCAGACAATTAAAGACAAGTACCCTATTCCCCTCTTGGAAGACCTGCTAGATGAGTTGGGAGGCTCAACATACTTCTCCAAGCTTGATCTGCGCGCAGGCTTTCACCAGATACGCATGCATCCCCATGATGTGTACAAGACAGCGTTTAAAACTCATGCTGGTCACTACGAGTATCTTGTTATGCCATTCGGCTTAACTAACGCCCCTTGTACATTTCAGGGTTTAATGAACCAGGTGTTTCGTCACATTGCTAGGAAATGCGTGCTTGTCTTCTTCGATGATATACTGGTCTACAGTCCAACCTGGGAACAACACCTGCAACATCTAGAAGAAGTGTTTGCAGTCCTCAGGAAACATCAGCTCTTCCTCAAACCTTCAAAATGCACATTTGGAGCCACTGTAGTCGAGTACCTGGGGCATTTCATCTCTGCTGCTGGGGTTAGTACTGATCCAAGCAAGATCAAGGCAGTGGAACAGTGGCCTACACCTACCACGCAGAAGCAGCTCAGAAGTTTCCTAGGCCTTGCTAATTATTACAGAAGGTTCATTCAAGGTTATAGCATCATCGCCAGACCCCTGACAAACATGTTGAAGAAAGATGGGTTCCTCTGGTGTTCAGAAGCTGCTGCAGCCTTTGATGCATTGAAATCTGCCTTGACATCATCTCCAGTTCTGGCTCTACCAGACTTTGGTAAGGATTTTGTAATAGAAACTGATGCATCTAACACCGGGATTGGTGCAGTCTTGATGCAGGATAACCATCCAATCTGCTATATCAGCCGTGCACTTGGCCCACGTCACCAAGCTTTGTCAGTTTATGAGAAGGAGTTGATGGCTGTTGTTCATGCGGTGCAAGCTTGGAGCTCCTATCTTACTCACAGACCATTCTTCATCAAAACAGATCAGAAAAGCCTCAAATACCTGCTGGATCAAAAGGTAACTACTCCCTTTCAACATATGTGGCTGTCTAAACTCATGGGCTACACTTATGAGATACAGTATAAGCAAGGGAAGGAGAATCAGGCAGCAGACGCATTGTCAAGGGTAACCGGTGCTCAGTTGCTCTCCATCACTCTGTCTCACGCTCACGAGGGTCTGTTTGACAGTATCCAGCTGCTTTGGCAATCAGATCCACATCTCAGTAAGGTAATTTCTGAGATTAAGAGTAATCCTGCCTCTCATCCTGCTTATTCTTTTGTGAATGAAGAGTTGAGGAGAAAAGGTAAACTGGTTGTGGGAAATGATGCTGCTGTCAAGCTTCACATACTGAAATGGATGCATGATTCAGTCAGTGGGGGTCATTCAGGGAGAGACGCCACTCTGCAACGCATCAAGGCACTGTTCTACTGGTCAAAGATGAGTCTGGAAGTGCAGAACTACATTCGCAACTGCCAAATATGCCAGAAGAACAAGTATGATCTAGCTGCTTCACCAGGGTTATTGCAGCCTCTCCCAGTCCCAAATGGAGTTTGGGAATGCATTAGCATGGATTTCATAGAGGGACTTCCACCATCTGCGGGTAAGCACTGCATCTTGGTTGTCATCGACAGGCTAAGTAAGAATGCACATTTCATTGCACTATCCCATCCTTACACGGCGATTGAAGTGGCTCAAGCTTACTTAGATAATGTCTTCAAGTTACACGGGATGCCAAAAGACATAACAAGTGACAGGGATCCTACTTTTCTGAGTGAAGTCTGGAGAGAGTTGTTCAGGGTCCATGGGGTTGATCTGCGTTTCTCCACTGCCTACCACCCCCAGACGGATGGGCAAACTGAGGTGACTAACAAGACTCTGGAAACATATTTGCGGTGTATGACAGCTGATGCACCTCAAACTTGGAGCAAATGGTTGCCTCTGGCTGAATGGTGGTACAATACGACATTTCACTCCGCCATTAAATGCACTCCATTCGAAATTGTGTACGGTCAACCACCTCCTATCCACTTACCATACCTCCCCGGAGAGAGTTCTTCAGTTGTGGTTGATAGAAGCTTACAGAAAAGGGAAGAACTAATTGCTATGCTCAAATTTCACCTGTTAAGAGCACAGAACCGCATGAAACAGTATGCTGATTCTCACAGGTCGCAGAGAGAGTTTCAGGTTGGGGATTTTGTGTACTTAAAGCTGCAGCCATATCGCCAACAGTCCTTAAAGACAAAAGGAGTTCCTCACAAGCTCAGTCCACGTTTCTATGGACCTTTTCGTGTCACAGACAAGGTGGGAACAGTTGCTTACAAACTTGAGCTGCCACAAGGAACTGCTATACATAATGTCTTCCATGTGAGTCAACTTAAGCTGTGTCCCAACCCTCCATCTGAGGCACCTGTAATGCCACAGTATTTAACTGATGTGGGCAATGCCAAAGAACCAGAAGCTATCCTAGAGAAGAAAATGGTTAATCGCCAGAATCAAGCTGTCACCAAAGTCCTTGTTCAGTGGAAGGGAGAGCCACCATCAAAAGCTACTTGGGAGTTCTACAAGGACTTCATCTCCAAGCATCCAACATTCCATCCTTGAGGCCAAGGATGCTCTGAAGAAGGGAGTATTGCTACAGGATGAATTAATCATCCGGTTTAATTATGCTTTTTATTATGGTTTGTTGGTACAATCTTTTATTTGGTACATTTAGTCGGTTTACGACTGGTACGACTATCAGTATTTGTAAGGCACTTTGCCATTTGGGGAAACCTAATCAATGAACATTTCTCTTATCTACTCCTCTCTCTTCTCTCTGTTTAGCGCCGTCACAGTCTTTATCCCTCAAACCCATTTGTCCTAAGGTGATTTCTTCTTTCTTTGATCATCTTTTGCCTTGTGGTTTGCTCATTTCCTGGATCCACGGTGGGTTCTTGACTTGAGAGGTTATTAACTAGTTTCTCCGGTTTCAAGGACTTGTCTGACGTTGAGCAGAAGCACTTGCCGAGTCAAGCGGGCGAAGTTACTGTACCTGGAACGGAGATCATCGACGATATCCTCCGCAGTTGTTAAATCCTTCCGGCATGAATCAATAACTTTACTCAGATTTCTACGATTTATACCTCCGCCCATACCACCACCTCCGCCGCCACGACCACGACCGCGACCTCTCCTCACCATCATATTGCTTAGAGCAATCCGGTTTCAACAGCTAAAGTCTGACTCTTTATTACTTTTGGAGGCGTCCACTACTGGACATAACCGGAGGAGACAGCGGAGAAAATAAAAGAAACCTAATTTCGTGTGTATAAATTGTTTATGAAGCAAAAAAGTAAATTAGCCTTCGTATTATTCTTCTCTGTTACATTACATAATGTTTGAGTTTCTAACTATTTGGTATACTCAAGAGTCTCTGAACTATATTGTATACAGATCAAGTAACAGATTTTTTCTTATATGCTTTTGATGCTTCTCCATATGTTTTTATGTATAGTAGACAATAATACACACACAAGCTTTTGAACCTATTCAATATCTGGATTTACTTCTTCCCCAGCTCCAATCCAACATTGTGTTTTCTCATCAATCTCGTATCTCAGAAGAGTTCCAAACAAGATCTTTCCCTGAATCCAATGAAAACACCAATAAATGTTACTTCACAAACAATGATCAAATTAATACCGTTTTTTTTTTTAATGGAACAGATTGGTTTCAGAATGTTGAACCTTTACTCTCCTATATGAAGCTAAAGTTGTTAAGGGCTCATTGGATTTCTTCACTTGTCCAGACTCATTACTTATGTTTATCATCTGGCACCGGTTACAACCGCCCAACGACTGCATTGAAAGGAACCAACTGTTTAGAAAAACAGAGAACCATGAAGTTTATACTTACGAATCGAATCTTATGTGGATCCATGGACTTACTGTGAAATTATTGTCTCCTATCTTGACAGTTCTCCATTTATCTTCTGCGTATGGTTCACCTCCAGATATAACCAGATTTGGTCTGAATCTATATGGATTGAGTTTCTCATGAGCCTGTTTGTCATCCTCGTCTTCTGCAACCAAATCAGTTTTTATCGAGCGAAAAGGAACAAGATGTAAGATTACAAGGAGATGGAAACGTACTTGCTTCTAATCTTCTGTTTAGGTCAGCAACACTCTCCTCGGAGATTAACAAGAACTGAGCCTCGTTAGCAAAGTTGATATTGCTTTCCAAATCTCTGCACAAACCAGGACTCTTGTTTCTGTTCAAACAGTCTTTGGAAGTAGAGCTAGAATACCGTAGCAACTTGCATTGTCGACCAATGGCATTGCTGAACCAACGATTGATTCGAGTTTCCCCATTATGGTTTTCAAGTCTGCAACCAAAATCACATTTATTACAAGCAGCTGATGTAAGACAGCAAATGATAAGGAACAATGCATACATGTTGGCATGTGAATCAAACTCATCGCTTCTCGGATTATATGAATCAGACTTGATTCTGATGTGCAACTTGTCTTTGCAGCGAGAAGATTCTACAGACAGTAGTCCTTCCTCAAGGTCGATAGAGGTTCTTATAAGAGACATTTCAGGCACCTAGAAGCCATTCCCAAGCAAATCAAAATTCTAGTGACATAGCCGTAGATAGAAAGATTTGAGTTAGAAGATGCTTTATTACCTTCTTTTGGGTAAGAATTTCACCAGTCAGACCCTGAACCATCCATTCTCGATCATGCAGCAGGCCTTTTTATGTTTCAAAAATATACATAAAAGTTATGCCTAAATGCCAAAGAAGTCAGCCTCACCACTATTACCTGCACAAACAGCAGCACCGATTTGGAGTAACCAAGTAAGTTAAATGAAATACCTGTTCTGCAAAGTGGCCAACGTATCACAGAGAATCCAGCACATGACTTGATGGGGTATATAGTAATTGACTTAAGGTAGTGACTTGGAAAAGATTCTTTACTTTCAAGTTCTGCAAATCAACAAAAAGCGGAGATTCATAGAATTGAGACGCCATTTATACCTTATGAAATATTTGCTATCTCGCAACTTAAGTCCCATGGTTTTCCAAAGATCATACAAAGTAGCGACAAGCTACATCCATTTTATTGTGTGGCTCACACAAGCATCAATTACGGAAAGGTAAGCATGTAAAGATGGTGACTTTTAATAAGTCACATCCCAGAGATTGAATGGCGGAATCAATTATACGAAGTCCTTTTTATGTCAATGTGAGTGAATAATGTTCCAAGAGAGTTAAATAACAATAACTAGTGTTGCTAGGAACAAAGCACCGTAAGAGATTTCAAAGAAAGTACCTTCACTAGGAAGTTGAGAAAACCTTCCACTGACGACAGTTCCATTCCCAATCTTCTTTGGAGGTGAAACAAATGAACTTATGATGAAATCAATAAATTTCTGTGAATAAAAGTATACAGTTTAAATTAGGTAGCCGCAACAAAAGAGTTGAAAATGAGCTTTCTTTATAATTTCGACAACTTCCGATACATGGAATTGGGGAAATCTAAATAAAAGAACCTACGTATACCTGGGCCTCTTCAAAGGTTGACATGTAACCAAACGAAACCCGAACAGCCCCTGTTGGTTTTCCATTTATCACATCATTGTCGTCCCAGCAAATATGCCCAGCCTGGGTTAAATTAAAAGGATCTCACAGTCAACTATATAACACAACATCTGCTAAAATCAGGGCCAGCAAAAAGAATGATAACTTGATGAGCAAAAAAATGAACAATTATACCTCCACATTAGACAATAGATCAGAATGAGACAAGTCGAGATACTTTGCACATGCGCCAGGATTGCAAAAACATCCTGTCTACACCAAAATGAAGTAAAATGACAGATGGAATTTCAGCGTCAAATGACCTAATGCAAGATTACCCCTTGCTAGTGAGTGCAAGCCCCTATAGTCTTACTTACCTAACTTCATTTTTTTAAAGGTGAAAGAATTCGAAGAGAATAAGACTGAACTGTGTTTCCAAAACATACCCGTAACTGAATTCCAGATAAAGAAGCAAGTTTTTCCACCTCCAAGTAGCCAAACCAAGAGCCATCAGGTCTTTTCAAGTTGAAAGTAACCGTTGGGCCTGATCTATGTGAAGATAACTGAAACGTAAAACTTAGAAGGAATCAAATATAATTGTCACACGAAGAAATAATTCCATATGACTTCTAAAGTAAATGATGATATTTTTCAAATATGAAACGATTGATGCTTGTTTTCTTCCTATGTTCTTTGCTATCCTTTTTGCTGAAGCATATATTTCACTCAATAGATGAAGCCCTATAACTAATGGAATATGAGAAATAGAAAAAAACTAGTTTAAATCATGAAAGAACTGACCTTCAGATTTTCACTGCCATACAGAACCCATACACCAGCCCCATTTCCATGTTGTAAAGCCTGAAGTTTCTTTTTCACATATATGGAAAGTGACGTTGTGTGCCTAGTAAATAGATACAGAACACACTTTAGCTTCTACAATAGCAGATGGTTTGGAGGGAATTTTAAACTTCTGCAAATTTCAAACAATGATCAACAAGAATCAACAACATGGGGTCTTTAAAAAAGAAAAGGCCCTACTAGACTATCTTCCAAGGAAAAAATTTAGACTCATTTTCAAAATTGGAGATCCTGCACGGAGCAAAAGTTTTACTCACATCCAAATTGCAGAAGGTGTAAGCGACTTGAGTAATTTGAAGCCATGACGGATGGCTGCTATGCTCAAGAATGAAGCAGAACCATCCTCAAAAAACTCCTCCACCCTTTCCCTTCTTTTTACAAAGTCGATGTCAGCAATTGAAGCAGCAACAGTGCCTGTAAGTATTATGTTCATCAAATGCCATACAAATTCAACCATTTTACACAACTAAATGAGATGCATACCTCCACTAAAATAAGTCTTTTTGAGCAATTTGGCTGCATCTGTAGATTATAATAACGAGAAAATCATGTCAGTAGCTAGCATTTGCAATAATTGTTTCAAAAAATGATACACGTTGATCTTGTTTGAGAAATTAGTCTCAACTGAGATAAGAATAAAATGAAAACAATATCAGAGATCTTAACTACAGAAATGCTCTGACCTAAGTAATGAATTAAACGAGAATGTTTCTGAACTACAGTCAGATTTGTGAAGATTTACAGGAGATAAACCTAGGGAACAAATTACGCACCATTCCGTACAAGGAGAGCGCCAAGCCCAGTAGGATAACCAAATAACTTCATGAAAACAGCGGAAAACAAGAAAGTCAAAATCTGATAACAAAAGAGCTTCATTTATTTTGGAAAATCCAGGAGATACCTTGTAGAATGACACAACAACAAAATCTGCAGGGTACTCCAATAAATCAGGTGGTAGTGTAGCACAACCCTTTGCAGCATCAATCAAGACCATCCACCGCTTGCTCCTTATAAAAAGTATATAAGGCATGATGAGAGATAAACAATAGAAACTAATACGAATGAACCTCTTCAAGTCCTATACACACTTAGAATCAACAAAGAAAGAAGTATCAAATCAAGCCAAAGTAGTTCCTTCAAAAGTTTCTTTGTGGTTTTAGGTTTGCATTATTACTTGTTATAGATCATCAAAATGTGCACAGTTCATTTCTAGATATCACCATATTAACAGCAGAAAAATCGTATCAAAAGTATATGGCAGATTCCTGTACCACTTTTCCTGTTCAAAGATTGTATCTAACTCACACTCAAAGATCATGTCCAAAAAAATTCACAAAGCTCAAGGAGTTGAATTGTTGTAGGCATAGCATCGCCAAACCTCAGCAATATGAATCCAAGCAGACATTCAGCGGTACCAATGCAAGAAACTGAGGAAAATAAGAGAAGAATAGAGAGAATGTGAAACCTACTTGCTAAAGGGAGAGCCTTGTAGCATGGTTTCAGGATTTTCTTTAATCAACTTCACCAGATCTAGATTAAACCTCAGGCCAGAAAAATTGCACTCCGAGGGGAAAGCAAATAGATTATAGGCATTTCCTGTAAACATACGAAAGAGGGAAACACAGGATAAGCAAACCAGAAAAGTCAAATATATACCCAGAGTACAAATATATGACATGTGATACATCTTGAACAGATTCTATTCAGGATGATATAAGAAATAACGGACCTCTTGACTCTTCCTTTTGGATTTTAGAAGTGTTTCTCATCTGCACAGCACGATGCTTTACCTTGATAGATGGTCCTGAATTTGTGAGCTGGCCTGGTTGGTTAGCTACCTCTTCAATATCCACTGCACATGCTGAAGCACCTTGAGCTAATGCATATTCCCTAATACCAAGCACACTGTTGTGATTCTCCATGGTATACAAAAAATTACTGTCTTGGGTCCAAGGAAATGTCTCTCCGACAAGCTTCAGCCCTGCTGTGGCTCCGGAGGTGAATATGCAACTGTAATCTTCAGGAGATGCATTAAAATATTCAAGCACCTAACTCCAGTGTGCAATGAAGATTGGTCGAAACACATGAAACCAACTTATAAGATGAATACCAGTAATCCGAAGATTAAATAAAAAAACTCCGCATATCCCACATATATGAGTTCAAGAAATGTTAAGAATGTAGTACCTGATGCCGAGCATCTGCTATAAGGTCACTGGTGGCCGAACTGATATCACTTTGACTATCTAATCACAATTAAGGAACCTCTTTCAACAACCAAAAGAGATTAGCTACGTTCTTTTCACAAATCAACATCAAAGTTACACATTTTCAAGTCAATAAAATCTGAGATTCAGATCCTAATAGATATGCCTTGTCATCTAGTAAAAGATAATGTAAAGCATGTTATGGGATTCAAAAGATGAGGATACGTGGATTTCCAAAAACATTGCTTGTGAAGTCCTTAAAAATATTTTCCATCTGCAACTCAGAATACAAAGTAGAACCAGCATGATCCAAGTATACAACACCTGCACGTACCACAAAGATCTTATAAGTTTCAATCTCCAATACACAGAACATCATTATTAAATAAGTCTGGACACTCAAAATCACTACATAGACCATCATTAACACACTATGATCCCATTCTGAGCAATAACTGAATTGATCATATGAGTACTGATCAGTTAAATCTCTTCAATTACATACATAAACATAAGTTACACTGTTTCCATCGAGAAAACACAAACTCAATTTTCATTCAATTCGAAACTCTCAAGTAGTGGAGCTGGTCCTCCCCTGACCCAACCCAATAGTTTTTTAATTCTTAGAAATTTCAGCTCAAAAAGCTTAGGATTCGAACTCTATTAGATCCAAGAGAAGAACTCATACATGATTGAAAGAAAAAAAAAAAAACAGACCTTTATCTAATCTCTTGAATTCGGTGTCGCGGATCTCTTTGATGCTCTTGGGACCATCTGGGTATCCATAATAATCTCCGAATTCCTTGAGAAATGCTTCCATCGCCGAAAGAAAAGTGTCTCTCTGTCTCTCTGATAATCTCAGAAAAATCGCCGACGAAAGAAAGATGGTCGTTCCCGGCTTTTTTAAAATAAAATACAATTTCCTTGTTTCACGTCAATATAATTAGATTTCCTATTTTACATAAGAGAACTAGAAAAAGGAAATTTGTAATAGAATAATATTAAAATAATAATAAAAGATGCTAAAAACAAAATGGAAAAGAGTAAAGAAAAAGGAAATTGATTAAAATAATAATAAAAGATGTCAACAAAAAAGGAAAAGAGTAAAAAAAAAAGGAAATCCTATAACGAAGATATGGGCCTATGCTCTAAAGCCCATCATAACTAAGACCAGGAGTTCTGTCTATATAAGCAAGCCTTTCGTGGATAATTCTCACAATTGCAATTTTCTTCTTTTCCTCTCGTTTCCTTTTTTACTCTCTGAGAGTTTCTTCGAAGATCTTCATCTTGTCTTCAGGTATCGTTTTGTTTAATTTGTTCAATGAATTATTAGAGTTCTTGATTATGCCCTTCTTTTGAATTTGGCTCTATGTTTTTCTTCTGTTTAGGTTTTGTAGTTTCATGACTGTGTTTTTCTTAGATTCGAACCTCTCTTTTGCAAAATCAAAAACTTTGATTAGGTTTTTCATCAAGCAAATCCGAAAACCCTAAATTTTTCGTTGTGTTATTACATCTTAGGGTTTTCAATTTCAAAACTTGTATTTCTCTCTAAGATTTTACTTTACAAATTAGGGTTTCTAATTAATTTGTTTTTTGCAAATCAAAAGCCCTCTTTTAGATTCGTGTTTTCTTCGTTTTCGAAAGGCTTTTTTTTTTACTTTCGTGATTGTAGTTTTCTTAAATTCAAAACCTTGTTTTGCAAATTTGGATTTTCGATTGCTGTTTTTGTATTTCGTAAATTAAAAAAAAAACCTCTTTGAATTCGTGTTTTCTTCTCTTTTGAAGGATTTTTACTTATTTAAAAAAAAAATTGTCGTTAGCTTAAAGTTTTCTCTTTTCTTCAAACCCAAAAGAAAGGGACAACACATTAGATGATTGTGTCTGTCCGGTTTCTATCTTGGGGAAATTGTCCGGATCTTACCTATGTAAGACAAGCAGATTTTGATTGAAATCTGTAAGACTTGTCAAGTTATGTAAGGCAAGCAGATTTTGATTGAAATTTGTAAGACTTGTCTAATTATAGTCTGATGTTGCCTAACAGAAGCTAGATCATATGCTTGTCGATCTATGTCCGTGAGTAAAGGATTGGAGAAAACTATCTCTATAGTCCTATTGTCTTGCTGTACTGGGACAGCTTGATATAAATTTCAAATATCTGCTAAGATCAGCCTTTATTAAGGCTTGGACAATGATGTCCTGAGAAATTCAATTCTCTGCTAATTGATGGAGTAAAAGTCCTTTGATAAGGCAATTGTCCGATTAAAAATATATTGCTGTAGCTGGGACAGCATAGTCCGATGTTATAAGCTAGATCATATGCTTGTCGATCTATGTCCGAAAGTAAAAGATTGGAGAAACCAGTCTATATAGTTCTATTGTCTTGCTGTACTGGGACAGCTTGATGTAAAGTTCAAAATTCTGCTAGGATCAGCCTTTATTAAGGCTTGGACAATGATGTCCTGAGAAATTCAATTCTCTGCTAATTGATGGAGTAAAAGTCCTTTGATAAGGCAATTGTCCGATTAAAAATATATTGCTGTAGCTGGGACAGCATAGTCCAATGTTGCCTAACAGAATCTAAGATCATATGCTTGTCGATCTATGTCCGAAAGTAAAAGATTGGAGAAACCAGTCTCTATAGTTCTATTGTCTTGCTATACTGGGACAGCTTGACATAAACTTCAAAATTCTGCAGCCTTTATTAAGGCTTGAACAATGATGTTCCGAGATATTCAATTCTCTGCTTAAAAGAAACAGTTCAATATTCTGCAAATTAATGGAGAATAAAAGTCCTTTGATAAGGCAATTGTCTGATTAAAGAGATATTGCTGTAGCTGGGACAGCGTAGTCCGATGTTGCCTAACAGAAGCTAGATCATATGCTTGTCGATTTATGTCCGTAAGTAAAAGATTGGAGAAACCAGTCTCTATAGTTCTATTGTCTTGTTGTGCTGGGACAGCTTGATATAAAGTTCAAAACTCTGCTAAGATCAGCCTTTATTAATAAGGCTTGGACAATGATGTTCCGAGAATTTCAATTCTCTACTTAAACGATATAATTCAATATTCTGCAAAATGGAGAATAAAAGTCCTTGAATTGTCCGATTAAAGATATATTGATGTAGCTGGGACATCATTCTGATTTGGCCTAACAGAAGCTAAGATCATATGCTTGTCGATCTATGTCTGTAAGTAAGGGATTGTCTTGTTGTACTGGGACAGCTTGACATAAACTTCAAAATTCTGCAGCCTTTATTAAGGCTTGAACAATGATGTTCCGAGAATTTCAATTCTCTACATAAGGATTAAAGATGTATTGCTGTAGCTGGGACAGCATAGTCCGATGTTACTTGTCAGAAGCTAAGATCATATGCTTGTCGATCTATGTCCGTAAGTAAACGAATGGAGAAATCCATCTCTCTATAGTTCGATTGTCTTGCTGTGCTGGGACAGCTTGATATCAACTTCAAAATTCTGCAGCCTTTATTAAGGCTTGAATAATGATGTTCCGAGAAATTCAGTTCTGTACTTAAACGATACAATTCAATATTCTGCAAACTGATGGAGAATAAAAGTGCTTGTATAAGGCACTTGTCCGATTAAAGATGTATTGCTGTAGCTGGGACAGCATAGTCCGATGTTGCTTGTCAGAAACTAAGATCATATGCTTGTTGATATATGTCCGTAAGTAAACGATTGGAGAAATCCATCTCTCTATAGTTCTATTGTCTTGCTGTGCTGGGACAGCTTGACATAAACTTCAAAATTCTGCAGCCTTTATTAAGGCTTGAACAATGATGTTCCGAGATATTCAATACTCTGCTTAAAAGATACAGTTCAGTATTCTGCAAAGTGATGAAGAATAAAAGTCCTTTAATAAAGCAATTGTCCGATTAAATAGATATTGCTGTAGCTGGGACAGCATAGTCCAATGTTGCCTAACAGAATCTAAGATCATATGCTTGTCGATCTATGTCCGAAAGTAAAAGATTGGAGAAACCAGTCTCTATAGTTCTATTGTCTTGCTGTACTGGGACAGCTTGATATAAAGTTCAAAATTCTGCTAAGATCAGCCTTTATTAAGGCTTGGACAATGTTGTCCCGAGAAATTCATTTCTCTGCTTAAAAGAAACAGTTCAATACTCTGCAAATTAATGGAGAATAAAAGTCCTTTGATAAGGCAATTGTCTGATTAAAGAGATATTGCTGTAGTTGGGACAGCGTACTCCGATGTTGCCTAACAGAAGCTAAGATCATATGCTTGTCGATCTATGTCCGTAAGTAAAAGATTGGAGAAACCAGTCTCTATAGTTCTATTGTCTTGCTGTACTGGGACAGCTTGATATAAAGTTCAAAACTCTGCTAAGATCAGCCTTTATTAATACGGCTTGGACAATGATGTTCCGAGATTTTCAATTCTCTACTTAAACGATATAATTCAATATTCTGCAAAATGGAGAATAAAAGTCCTTGAATTGTCCGATTAAAGATATATTGATGTAGCTGGGACATCATTCCAATTTGGCCTAATAGAAGCTAAGATCATATGCTTGTCAATCTATGTCCATAAGTAAAGGATTGTCTTGCTGTACTGGGACAGCTTGACATAAACTTCAAAATTCTGCAGCCTTTATTAAGGCTTGAACAATGATGTTCCGAGATATTCAATTCTCTGCTTAAAAGATACAGTTCAGTATTCTGCAAAGTTTGCTGATGGAGAATAAAAGTCCTTTAATAAGGCAATTATCCGATTAAAAGATATATTGCTGTAGCTGGGACAGCATAGTCCAATGTTGCCTGACTAAAGCTATAGATCATATGCTTGTCGATTTATGTCCGTAAGTAAAGGATTGGAGAAATCAATCTCTATAGTTCTATTGTCTATTAAAAAGTTTGCTGTGGCTGGGGCAGCATAATAACATTCAATGTTCTGCTCGTAAGGATTCTCTAAAGACATCCCAAGAATGTGAAATTCAAACTTCTGTTGAATCTCTATTAAATACGGATGATACTTTATGAATTAAGTATTTAATTCTCTGAACCTGACGTCTGGGAGAGGAGGTAAGTATTTCTTCTTTAACTAGATTCTACTTATGTTTTGTAAGTTCTTTTTATGTTTATGTACAACTCTTATAAATCTTAGGTTATTGATGAATAAATCAGTTTCTCCTTGCCTTAATGTGTTCTAAGTTCTAACCACATCTTTAATGATTCATTCTTGACAGGGAAATAGAGGTATTGCAGAAGATTCAACTTGTAGACTGTATCTTTCCCTTTTTTTATCAGTCAAGTGTCTCTTCCGTCTTTTAAAACAAGGTATGATGATCTTCATAATAATTTCTTGATTGAGTTTGTAGTTCCTTGATTGATTACATCTTTTGATCACGTTGTCTTTTATAAATATTTATCTATCTTTTTAGCTTCAGGAGACCAAGAACTCGAGTGTGTGTACATGATCTTTCTCAGGTTCGACTTCTCTCCCTCAGTTTGGAATATTATTGTGTTAGTAGTTGTGTTTGAATTGTTGTAGTAGTAGGGGTTGTGGGAGACTCTTAACATTGTGTAACTTCTGGTGCACAACAGGATTAGCTGAACGACCAGGTATGTATTCGAATCCTATAGCTGCTTGTTTATAAGGGAGAGTTTCACTTTTGAGTCATATCTCTGCTTGTTTATTGGAGAGAATTTCATCTTATGAAAGATTTTTTCTCTTCAGTCCCTGTTTCAGCAACTTTGCTCTCCAAACAAGAAAGCTTTGGTTTCTCAGGTATGTCCTCTGTATATATATTGCTTTCGATATTCAAAAGTATTAATTAGTGGTTGCATTTGGCTTTGTGTAGTAGTAGCATGAGTTCGTCTGAGGTTTGAGTTCAAATACTGTGGCGGTAGTCATGAATTATATCTCGTGATTGTTCAATATCATATAGTTTCTTTTTGGCCTAACATCAATGAGTTTGTGACTAATTCTCATTAGTTTTTATATTGAACTTGTAAAACTTAAAATGAACCACGGTTAGAGGCACTTACTGCTTACTTACAATCCCCTGAATCTTACTTCACATGCTTTGGCCTAACAAAATTTGCATTTACCATTTGCAGTAACCAAATTTGAAATTTTGTATATCTTTCTTCACATATATCTGTCGCCTAACAAATTTATTACTTTATTTGCAGAAAACAGAGAGAAGGTGTTATGTATGTGGGTAAGATGCTGGAGTTTGGTGGATAAATTGGAAATCTGACCCCTTTTCAAGCATGTAAGTATTTGAATATTGAATTTTATTTATGTCAGAGACTCTTAATCATATATCTGATATGGTTTTCAGTTTTAGTATTTGTTGATTTGCATGTGTTTAACTTTGTGATAGGTAGCATGAGTACGTTTAAGGTTTGACACTTTGTAAGTTGTCATTTTATTCATCTTAAGGCCTTCTTGATGTTAAAGTAGTTCTTTCATAGCGACTGATCAATCTTTTACTTTGCATGCCACTTTTATAACGTGTAGCTTATAGTACCCTCAAGCTCTGAAAACAAGACAACTTAAGTTACAGAGAGGAGCAAAAAAACAGAGCAAGAAACCATTCTTCTTTCAGGTATGTCTGCAGACTCTTTCTTTTTTTAGTCTTCAGTTTTCCTCTTATAGTTTGAATTTATCAGTCTCTTTTTTTTTTGTGCAGCAGCAGATTTATAGTCAATGTGGATGTATCTCACAAACCAAAAGATTTTACATAGGTATGCAGGACCGAGAATACGCTATCGACGGAAAAGAAGTGATTATTGTTAAAGTATTTGAATGTGTTATATAATATTTTTCAAATACTTTAATAATGTTCTCCTTGGATTCCTGCGATAGCGTGATCTCAGCCGACATCTTTAATATTCATGTATATATGCTTCTTTGATTCCTTTGCTTACATGCTCAACGTGTCTACTCTTGTTTCCTTCTCTGCTTTTATTGCTTACTTCATTGTTTGCTTCCTTATTTGTTTCTTTGATTTCTCTGCTTAGTGTAGTACTTGTTTCTTTGCTTGGTTCCTTCTCTGCTTTTATTGCTTGCTCCATTGTTTGCTTCCTGATTTGTTTCTTTGATTCCTCTGCTTAGTGTAGTACTTGTTTCTTTGCTTGTTTCCTTCTCTGCTTTTATTGCTTACTTCATTGTTTGCTTCCTTATTTGTTTCTTTGATTCCTTTGCTTAGTGTATTACATGTTTCTTTGCTTGTTTGATTACTCTGGTTAGTGCATTACTTGTTTCTTTGCTTCTTTGATTCCTCTGCTTAGTGCATTGATTGATTTGTGTCTTTTCTTTTTTTGCTTCTTTGTTTTCTCGATTGCTTCTTTACATGCTTAGCTTTGTTTATTTGATTCTTTAATTCATTTTCTTAGTGCATTGCTTGTTTTTTTTCTTTTCTTAATGTATTGTTTGCTTCCTTGATTCCTCTGCGTACTTCTTTCTTTGCTTGTTATCTGTTATGTTTTTGTCGAGGTGGATTGTTTGCTTTCGGAAACCAAACCTCAATTAAGCTACCACATCTTTGGCGCTAACATAAACGCATTACACGAACACAAACACTACACATACACATACACATAAACGCATTACACAAACACATACTAAACGTAAACATGCACACAAACGTAACTTTTGTGCTCACACTGATACAAACATCTAAAATGCTAATACTTATACAAAACTAAACACATTACACAAACAAACATCTCAAATGCTCACAGTGATACAGAAATCTTTCAAGTTGGAGGATCATGTGTGACTACTCTTGTTTCAGTCTTTGCTGCTCGATCCAACTACTCTATTTTGGGTTTCAAATCGAAACTCAGCAATTCTTGAAAATGAACATTTATATTACGAAATTATTGAACAGATATTTTAATTTCATGTCAAATTTAGAAAATTGAGAAACAGAGTGTATTTCTGCCAGAAGTTGGAAATTTGGCTCGTTAAAGACACATAACAAAATTAAGTACATATATTTTACTCCCAAAAAAAAGTTAATGAAAAACTAATACCAATTATTGAAATTTTTTGTCAATGATTATAATCGTTTTCAAAGTATTTCATTATCTATTGGGTAGAAGTTATAACAACCGACCAAGAACAACCAACTATTAATTACGTGAGCGTACATGTATATTGATATCAATCAAAGATCTTTCGTTTGGTATTTATGATTAATTATACATTGTTCAAAAACTTCTTGCAGAAACAAAACGATAATACTATAATAATATACTCATTCGAACAGAGCCCAAAATGGTGTATTGGTCGATTTGAATCACTTGAACAACAATTCACAATTATAAATGACTTGTTATATTTTTGCATGTTGTACGTTGTCGTTAATTTTTGGATGTGTCAAATAATGAAAGTATATATACTAGTAGACTATATTAGCAAAGACAGAATTTGAAAATTCATATCAAAACGATATCTGATGATCATGAAGAAAACTAGATCTTGATTCACCAAGAAGCGACAATCTCATACCCGATCAAAACAAGGAGAAAAAATAGAGAAGTAATGTTGCGTCAACTTGCAAGAAAAACAGTAGAGCAAACTATATAGGTATAGTATTCAATTCAAAATATACAGACAAAACAAAAACCTATTCAACATATATTTAAATGCCTCTTTAAAAAAAAAAAAAAAACATATATTTAAATGAATAAAAAACCTTGAGAAATATTATAAGTGGGCCAAAGAAATCTTAAGGAATAGAGATGCGATTTTTTGTCCAAACAAAGCAAATCTAATGACTTATTACTTTTGGGTTGGACCCACAAGAAGATTTGATATATGTCTCACTTTCTCTTCTTGTCTATATAAACACAATCGCACACTGTTCTCTAAAGTCTTCTTCTCTTCTTGTTTTGCTCTCAAGTCTCAAAAACTCTCTTTTCTAAATGAGACAAAAGGCTCACAGACACGGAAGAACAGTATCGCCTTGTGCCGGCTGTAAGCTTCTCCGGCGAAAATGTGTGAAAGATTGCGTCTTTGCTCCGTATTTTCCGGCCAAAGAGCCTTACAAGTTTGCCATTGTCCACAAGATTTTTGGTGCTAGTAATGTCAATAAGATGTTGCAGGTGAAAGTTCTCCCTTTGTTTAAATTTGGGATTTAGCCACTTTTATTAAAAAACTTTGTTGTATATATTATTCCCTTTTGGTAACGATTTTTTTTCTTGTATATATCAAACTCTTCAATTTGTTTTTGATTCTTGAAATTAACGTTTAAATTATTTAGGGTTTTTGGATCTTGTCATTGTGATAGTTGCTTTTTCATAGATTTTTGATGTTTTTGGAAAGTATCGAAACCGCGTGTAAGAATAGTGTAGGAAGTCACTTTCTAGTTTTCTATCAAAAGTCGATACTGCATGTCACGTTAAAAGGCAGAATCATGACATTATTTCTTTTTATTTGTTATCTTATGAAAAATTATGACGCGGTGAATAATTAATCCATGTCTAAACGCGACTTCTTACTATTTTCTACTATTGAATATTACTATAAGATCATTGACAAAATCATTACAAACAAACAAACCATCATATGTTGAAAGCATGCATTTATTTATTACATAAACATCATGTAATAGTACATCATATAATCCATCACTAAAAGTTCCAAAATAACTTCATCAATAATTTTTTTTCAAGAGAATTAAACGCTAAAATAACATAGTATAATTTAATTGCATGGTTTCGTAAAAACTTATAGAAATGCAACATCATTTCGTTATTTAGAAGATTAAAACCATTTATCAACCGCATTTCTTGTAATAATAACTATTTACATGTCTTTAAATATAGAAATAAATATTATTAATATCCAGACTATGTATATTAATCGTAGGAGCTGTCGGAGAACCACCGGAGCGACGCTGTTAATTCGATGGTGTACGAGGCCAACGCGAGGATGCAAGATCCTGTATATGGATGTGTAGGGACAATTTTTTCGTTACACAGACAACTCGAGACTCTCCAAACTCAGCTTGCTTTCGCTCAGGCCGAGCTGAATCATATCAGGACGCTCCACCGTATTGACACTAAACCCCAACCGTACACGGCGAGTACTATTACTTTCCCGTCGAACAAAGACTTCTACAGTGACGTCGACATGGCTTTTGTGTATGAGGATGGTGCCAGAGACTCCCTTTGGTCATGCTAGCTTTAATTAGCACTATATCCTATCTTTGCAATGTTAAAAAATAAATAAATGATAAGGTGTGTATATAATATGAACAAGATAAGTATACAATTAAATTAAAGTAGTTCTCTAGAATAGCAAGTAGCAACTAAAAGAATTAAGATTGTAAACTTTATTTCTGTCTGCCTTATTTTGGATTTTTGTTAAAATAATGTTGTGGAGGTAAGAAAACAATAATGCTACATTGATATAAAGATAGATATACAACTTTTTGATAAAATACTGTTTTATATATTTTTGTATGAAATAATTTCTTAATTCTAGTATAGAGAAAGTATATGTTACATATTGATATGTAGGTGTTTTATGACAAAAAAAAAAAAAGCTTCTTTCAAAGCCAATTTCTAGCAAAATGCATTTAGGACCAAATCGAGATATATATTACAAGAGAGAAACACAACACTTCCCAAAACGAGATATTTCTTCTTCATTTTTTGTGATGATACAGAAAAAAACACTTTGCATGTTACTAAATCCCGTCGAAAATACACATACTTGATACTACAATGGTTAAGAACTTAAGATCCTATCACATTGGCCAGGATTAAAGATAACGGCTTATGAAAAAGTTCAACGCATGTTTCTGTTAAGGAGACCTTGGAAAGATAAATAAAGATCTTTGTTATCTTCCCCAAATATCTCATCTGCTTTCCGCAGAGTTTCCTGTCAAAAGCATCAACGTTTTTGAATCTGTAATCTGGACATACCTAAAGAAAAATTGGCGCATGAACTACTACAGGTTATTACCTCTCGGGTTTGCTTCTGGGCGTTGAGCTCCTTGATGTTTGCTAAGAAGGAACTGAATTGTTCATAGGATAATCGGCTCCTGTGAATGACGACGGATGAAACAAAAAAAAAGATCAACAATTTGAGAGTCTGGTTAGCTACTAGCTAGGACAAGAACTGAAGAGAAAAAGCCTCACCTGGCTTGCCGGAAAAATTCTTTACCATCCATCCGAGGTGTACGAGCTGGAAAAGAATTTTATACAGAGTATCTATGAGAGAATATACTTGAGTTTTACAATTTTATACAAGTAACAATCTTTAAGTTCCTGTGAACCTGGGAGTGTGCGGTTGCGAGGAGGGGAATTTGCAGCCGATGATTGCTGACTTGACGGGTACCAGAGTGTTGCCTTTGTGGGAGAAACTGCACCTGATGTTCTTTTAGGAGAACCAGCTGCAGAATAGCCTCGAGGAGATACACTTGTGGAGATGATCTTTGGTGTTGCGGTTGGGGTAAGACGTGGAGAGATGTACGGTGTCATTGAAAATTTGTTTCCAGTGTATTTTGAAGCTGCAAATAAAAACTCTATGTTATACTTTAGTTGCAGCGTAGAGATTAGAGTATAACACTGGATAGTTGATTCAATGTTACCTTCGACAATTGGATTGTTCATGTCTGTAGATCCACTGTAAGCATGGTTTATTGAGTGTGCATTGGTCCTTTCAGCTGCATGGTTGAAAGATAAATAGCTCACAGGTAAACTAAAACAAGACATATCTTTTAACTGGGAATTGGATATTGATGCAGTACCTTTTGGAACTGACTGGTCGCATGTCCTAATATCAACAGGTTCTGTTTGCTGTAATAACAAACAGAGAAGAAGCACACTTACTTTCTCTTGAATCAGAGGTCAGAAGCTATAGGCCCCGTTGGTGTGCACTAAAAACATATATAAACTACAAAAGAATGTGTAATAAAAAAAGCTTGAATCTCTTACCGGACCACTCTCATCGCTCAGGGATTTGATTAACTGCCGCTTGAATGTCTCCAACTAAAAAGAGAAACATTAGCTGTTATCTCCCCTCAAAAGTATATGATGGGAAACTCCATTATAATACAAACATAAAGCATCAGAAAACCAACAAAATTCTTACCTTAGCCAAATCACGGGTGAGTTTTGTTACAGTCATTGCCAGTGAATCCTTCTCCTTTGTCAGGTTCATCTTTGCCAGAAAAAGGAACACAGTTAATCAAAAAGAAAAACATAAGCTATGGTTACAACTATATAAGAGCAGAGGAAACCAAAAAAGTGTGACACCGGATGATTCGACTCTCGAGCAGATATATTCATTCACTGATTTGAAGAAGAACATAAATCTCAATAAACAGACTACAACTGAATATATAACTACCTATCTACCATCTCCGTAATTCAAGCCGAGTCCTTCAGCACCATACAACTCTATGAACATCAACCAATGCACCAAATTCCTTAACAACACACACACAAAATAGTTCCGAAATTTAGAAATTCCTGTAAGATATTCCTGAGTCTATTAATACCAGTCAAGCCCGAGACTATCTCTCCATTGTTAAGCAACTATCTCACCAAACAAAACTAGCCAAATCTCGAAACCTAAAATGCAAAATTAACGGAGCCATAAAAGCAACAGAATTTGGATAATGACATGAAGCTCTTTTACTTACATTATCCTCGAGGACGACCTTCAATCTCGAATCAGCCTCACGGCAGTCTCTCTCCAGGCGAGACGCTTTCTCCTCAAGCTCACGGACAACACTTTCCTTACCCAGAAGCTTCTGTCTCAATTCCACCACCTCGGAGTCCAGATTCGACACCCTTGAAGCTATCGCCATTGATGTAATCTTCCTCGCGAGATCTAGCTGCTCAAAAGGGTCCATCGGAATCACCGACAAAACCTCTTCGGGGAGCTCGAAATCTAGCTGGTCGTCTCCCATTTCTCCACCGCAAGAATGCCCTAACGTCCCCTTAGGCGCCGGAGATAACGGTGTATCTTCTATGGTGAGAAATTGAGCCCCAAATTTTGGAGATGACAAGCCCGAGAAGATTAGGGTTTTTAGCTCTGGAATTGTCCGATTGCCTGTAAGTTGTTGGAGAAGGGAAATCAAAAAGACAAAAACCTTTACACTTGTCATTTTCTCATTGGCTACATATCTTTTTCCTGTCTCTATTTTGAAATTTCCTTGTTTGAATTTTAAGAATACACTTTTGGTTACTTTTCCCTCCAAACCAGAGAAAAAAAAAACACTAGATTTATAGTTTTCTCAAAATTGTAGCATTTCATAAATAAAAACCAATAAAGTAAAATATAAAATGTTAGTGCCATTTTGGTCCTACATTCCAAAATGACAAATAATGACCTGAATTCGCATTTATTATTATGTCGTATTAAAATATTCCATATTGGCCTGTTGGGTATTAACTATTAAGTATAGTATATAAGAAAATAAATTTTCTAAAATTTAGAAATGCAATAATAAAGGTTTCAGTATTTTCTGGTTACGAGTTGAGATGTCTACATCTAAGCAGTTCGTTGAACAGAATCACCAGACACGTATTGAAATGCATATCAATTCGTATCTACGTATATTCAATTTCCTTAAATGTATAAACACATACCCGGTTTTTTCCGGTTTGCATTAATTATTCAGACGATTAAACAATCTATCGGCTCTTAATCTCCTCCACTTAGGTTGTATCGCCTCGTATACCATCCAAACCGGACTATACTACCAAATCGATGAGAGACAACTATCGGCTTTGAGCATTTATTACATTGTTCGGACCACAGTGGTGTCGTCGAGTATGACTGATTGTCTGTGTGCGATTACACACACGTATACTATTATATATATACACACATCTCGATGCGAAGAGAAAAAACATCATCTTCTTGGATTTCTTTTGTTACTCGAAATAGACAAGAAAAAAAAAAAGATGTATTGTCTTCAAGTTGCAGCATATCACTTGTTCTTCAACGCATCTCGGATATGTTATCTTCTTGCTCTGATTATATTTGTCTTTCTTAGATTCTTCGCTATTTTCCAGAATAGCGAAGTGAATCAAGTCGTCGAGCCAAGAACGACGTCGCTTTTGAGGTTTACTGATACACAGGGAGATTTGAATGTAACTTTCTCTGGTGTTTTCTTAGAATCTGTAATCAAAGATATCACTGATAATGTTTTGTAGTTTATTTTGTATTATTTAACTATGTACTTATCGTTATATCTATAATTACCATGTTAAAAATATTCCAGTCTCATCGCTTTATACCTTTCTTTAATTACTTGATTATTTGATCTTTTAGAACTAAAATTTGAATACTAGGTTACACCGTAGGTTATAAGATAATGATTTGTGTTAGTTTTGGTTGTCTGTCTGATGCTGGTTCGTAATCAAGTAACATGTAGGTTCGATCGTAGGAGGACGAAGAATAGGTTTTATTAGGTTTGATATCGTGAGTCGTGACTGTTCATATTACTTAGTTTGCGGCAGTTAGATACAAAAATGAAAAATTAAACCAATCAAGACTCTTACTAACTACTAAGACAGTGTTAGCAAGCTCCATCCTAGATAGACCGGTTTAACAAAATAAGGTAATTTTTTCTTTTCATATACCCCAAAAAGTAGCCGCAATTTAGTCACCAACTCATTTTCTTCTTGGCAACATTTATATTTTTAGTTTTATTTATCTATTTTAAATTCACATTTATGTAATTAGTGTATCCTATACTATTATTTGGGGAGTACAATTTATGGATTACCCTTAATTAACCTTCTCCTTTGTAAGAATTTACTTAAGAATGCCATTAGAAATAAAATTTTATAGAGTAAATTAATTCAACTCATTAAGGTTAAACAAGTCAAATACTATTTTATGCAATTTAATTAATTTAATTTAATTATAAAAACGAAAATCTATTATTAATTTCTTTAAAAAAAATGACCAATCAAAATGAACATATAAGATTTGATATCTAACTTACCATATTAATTTGTTATTAATCATTATACTTCACCTCTCATCTTTATATGATTCTATTTCTATAAATAAATAAATCATTATATCATCTATATAATAAAAAAAAAAGTAATTTTTTTCCGCATATACCAAAATTTGAATTTTTAAAAACGAATATAAATTATTCAATGTATGAAAGAACAAATTTAACGGGTCAAAAATTCATATTTGAGTAATATATTCCTTTTTTTTTAATATCATCAATACTTAATAGATCAAAAATTTATGAAGTATAAATACTCTAATTTGATTTTTTGAAACAAATATTTATAATAGGCGGCGGGTTGAATATAATATATTATATGATGAAATGAGTTATGATCCTTATAACTATTTGAATATTTATATTTAATTTCGTATAATTTTTTAAAAATTCATAATTTTACATAATACAATAAATTTTTTAAAAGATTTTAATTTGGAACATTTTAAAATAGTTTAATTTAATATATTAAAGAATATCATAAATATTTAATAGATTAAAAAGATAAAAAAATTATAAATACAATAATTTGTTTTTCTAAAAAGATATGTTTAAAATATTTATAGTAGGCGGCGGGTTAAATGTAATGTATTATATGGTAGAAAATTATGATCCTTATAACAGACGGCATTTTAAGATTTTATGATGAGATGAGTTAAATAAAGTTTGACACTTCTAAATATTTGAAAATTTGATTCTGCAAGCAATTTTGAAAATAATAAATAATAGATTGTACCGCAATATTTTCATACGGATTGTAAAATAAAAATATAGACTCCACACACAGATTGAATTTGGTATTATTATATACCAAATATATGTTCATAACATATTTGATTATGTGAATAATTGGTAAATTCCGTAATTAGCTCAAACAAATATTTATTTCAACAACCAATGAATCAGAATTTGAAAAAATAATTTCCTAAATTAATTCAAAATAATAGCTAATTTTCTTAGGTAATTCAAAATAATCTACGTTTTAGATGCGATTCATTTATGATATTTTGATTTTTGATCTAACTAAATTATATGCACTCTCATTTTGTGGTTGTTAACATAAATTAACTCATTGTTCAAACAATATTATTTTTTTTTTAATAATCTTATTTTCCGTTTTCATATCTTAAAAAAAAATATCCATAATTGAATACTATAGAAAAATAAAAATATATTCATTCTAATATTATACATAGGGACTGACAAAAAAATATTATTTTTTCACTTACTATTATAATATATCACAACTTTATTCTAAAACATAAAATTTATAAATTTTGTAATAAATGAAATTCAACCCGTACTGTAGTACGGGTGATGATCTAGTATAGTAGTTATTAACGTATTCATGATCATGAGTACAAAAATCCAGAAACTAGAGTCCGATTCAAAATATGATGGGCCTTCATTTTGCAAAGGCCCAAAATAAATCGCAACTATTTGAGGCCGAACCGACAGGCCTCATGTGTTTAAGCTTTAAGGTTTTCAGTTTTTTTTTTTTGTTGTTGTTGCTTTCGTGACGTCAGGTTTAAGATATGGGTAATATTAGTGAATAGCCAAATAAAACACATAAATTAGGAAACTAGCAGAGAGAAAAAATTCTGTCGGAAAACAGCATGGACCCACCTTGTCTGAAGAGGTGAAATAACAAAACCATCCTCCGTTTGTTTTGAGATCTACAGTAGGCGACATTGTTTCGTGATATTTTTCAAAATAGCACGTAAGATCTAAATTTCACATGTTATATTTAACTAAAATACATGCTATTTAAACAAATGTAGTGAATTTTTAAGAAAAAACATTGTTACGTAGTGTTTTTTTTAAAAAAAACATTGTTACGGAAAAATTAAACTTGAATAGAATCTTTTTATAAAGAAATAACATGTGATCTTAATAAAAACCGTGAATTACTAGAAAATAAGAATCGTTTTTTAAAGAAATTACATGTGATCATAATAAAAAACGTGTATTACTAGAAAATAACATGATAGCGAAAGATATTAAACTGAATAGAGTGTTTTTTCAAGAAATAACATGTGATCTTAATAAAAACCGTGAATTACTATAAAATAAGAATCTTTTTTTAAAGAAAATCACATGTGATCATAATAAAAAACGTGTATTACTATAAAATAACATGATAGAGAAAGATATTAAACTAAATAGAGTGTTTTTTCAAAAAATATCATGTGCTCTTTATAAATAACGTGTAATACCGGAAAATAATATGATAAAAAGAGATATATTATTCTATCACATGTAATTCGAGAAAAAAACATGTTATAAAGGGCATGTGTGTAATTACACAAGCTTTCCGACATCCAACAGACAAAATACTGTAGCTCATGGCTATTTTCTTAATTCTTTTTGAATCCATGGCTATTTACTATAAATTCTCTTTTCTTTAACGACAAATAAATAATGATACTAAAAAATAAGAAGGCTCCGTACTGGGGTAAGAGAAAAGAAGGACAGGCAGAGAGTTGGTGGGTCACACTCTGTATGAATAAATGACCGTACAACCAAACCCACCTGCCACTCTTTAATACCTTTAATAACACGTCATTTTAAACTAAAATAAAATTCTTTATTTTGAATTTCATTTTTAATAAACTTTTCGTTTCCAGTTTTCTTCTCTCTGAATTTGAACCCATCCATTTTCTACAAAATAGCATCGCTTAATTTTTGTGTATTTATTATTTATATTTTATAAGAAAAGGATATGGAAATGGTTGAAAAGTCGTACTGAAGAACATATACTTAATGGAATTATTAAATATGTCGTTCCGTTTGTTTTTTTTCTGTAAACATGCCGTTTAGTTAATGTAACATTTTAATTAATTAAAAAAACAAATTAGAAATATCCAAAAACGCATGGGGACAAGTGTGTCGTGAACAACTTGTTTAGTGCTCCCAAATTGGTCGATGTTTTGTTTCTGCCTCGATGTCTTTTTTATCCTTGTATCTATTTGAATTTTTTCTTCTAAGAAGAAATTACATTGTACGTTTGGAACATGCGAATAACGTTTAGGAGACAAGAAGTGCTTAAAACATTTAAACTAACCAAAATGTACTTGTAATGTTGAGGAACTTATAAATTTTGTCGGCCAGATAAACTATAAAAATTAATAACTTGAAACAAAATAAAATACGTTTTGTCAACAAAAAATACGTTTAACAAATAACCAAAAAAAGTTATCATAAAAAAAAAAAAAAAAAAAAAAAAAAAAAAAAAAAAGTTATCATGAAAAAACTTCATTATAATGAAATAATCGACAAAAACGAAGGTCCCGCTTTCTCGATTGATATTTCATTTTTGTACTATTCTATTTGACTTCTTGGTCTTTGTGCAATCTTAAAGAATGTTGAACTTAAATTTAGCCGCAGATATTTCATCCAACCATCTGACATCTGTAGTATATTGACCAAATTATTACAAAATCAGACAAAAAAAACTCCAAATTTCTAGTAAAATAAGTAAAATAATTTGAATAATTTATCAAGTCTACTGAACCACCAACCACATATCTAAGGTTTTCAGAAATTTCCTGTTTCTTTCATCTTTGACCACAATGATGTAAGAACAACTTGTTTAATCATACTCAAATTCGATTTTAATCAAAATCACGGACTATTTCAATTGATTGGTTTAAACTCCACTAGCTCAAATATAATAATTTATATTTTTTTAGCCAATATAATAATTAAAATATTTTCAAAACAGTTTTTTTTTTTGTGATAAAGTTTAGAGACATAGATTTATCTATAAAGACTTCTATTGGTAAAATATACAGAAAAAATGGCAGAATAATTATCTAAATTTTCTTCCACCTGATAAATTCTATATGTCAATTTTCACCTATTTTTATATATAAATTTTTTACGTAGATTTCGATATTTGTAGTATGAACAAAAAACATTAATTACTAAAAAAAATGTAAATTTTCTCGGGCTGTTGTACCCGGCAAGTACTGCATATGTACTCTCTCCTCAATGCTCTCGTCATAGTCTTTCCATGTCTTCTCTCTCTATATATATTACTTAACTCTTTCTCACTCTCTCTATTTTTGAAATTTATCTCTCATTAGTTTAAACCGCCGGAGACCAAAAAAAAAAATGAAGCATCTCATCCGCCGCCTCTCTAGAGTCGCCGACTCATCCTCCGAATTCTCCATCCGCCGTTCCACCTCATCCTTCCGCAACCGTCGCGGTCATCACCGTCTCCACGCGCCGCCGCCTCAGTGGTCAATTTATCCGGCGAGAAGAGTCAACACCGTCCCCGCCGGTCACGTACCTGTCTACGTTGGCGAAGAGATGGAGAGGTTCGTGGTTAGCGCGGAGCTTATGAACCATCCGATCTTCGTCGGTTTGCTTAACCGATCCGCTCAAGAATACGGTTACGCTCAGAAAGGAGTTCTTCATATCCCCTGCCACGTCCTCGTGTTCGAGCGCGTGGTGGAAACGCTCCGGCTGGGAGCATTCGAAGAGTACGGTGAGGTACAGGATTTCGTGGCTTCGTTGCTCTCCGGTGATGAATTGATACCTGAAACTACAGAGTAGCTTTTCAAGAAGAATAATCCAAATCGGCGATTTGATATTTTCTCTGTTTTTTTTTTTCCAAATTTCCGTTTTTTATTTTACGATTTTGTATATATTAATACACCAGTTTTTTTTTTACTTCTTCTATATTTGCTCACGTTAATCTCTGTTTTAGCCGATCAAGAAACATAAATTGAATATGAAACTGAAGAAATTGAAACGCGGTTTTTGGCCGCCAATAAAAAAAGTAGTAAACAAAAGAAACGTGCGTCCCACACGTTTCATGTACCGTTTGGTTTAAGAATCAGATTAGCTCAATTTCGAAACTGCACGTTTTGGTTATATAAGTCATAATTGTACAAACATTTACCAAGAAACGTACGAGTTGGGACAATTTGGTCTAGTGATTAAGCTTGCAAGTTTTTAAAAATAATTGGAAATCTGTTTTTGTCCTAAAACTAATGAGACGTCACCACGAAAGAAAAGCTAATTGTTAATTTATAGCTAATTTATCTCTTAACTTTGTATGCTTTATATACAGTACTATATCTATGAGTTGATTTGTTTCATTAGTTTAGTACTAATAAAGAAAGCTATACTAACGACAATTCTACAAAGGATATATTCTGCTGCATCCACCCAAAATTAGAAGATAATATCCCAAGAAGGGAAGGACCATCAAGGTCTTTAAGAGGACGAAATTGTAATTTATGGACAAGCACCGAATTAGTATCGTCATTTTCAACGAAAGAGTATGGATTTGGGTGCACCGTACGGATCCATCAGATAAAGTACTGAGAGTTGCAACAAAACGTCCAAAGATAACTTGAAAAATTAAACAATTAGATACGGAAAGATCCATAAAGAAAACTTTGATTTTTAATTTTTTTTATATAATTGCACAGGTCGACATGCACCTTGTTTGTGGCGCACACTTTTTGTTGTTTACGTATTTGTTTATTATTAATCAAAGTTGCGAATTTATCATGAACTCGTTTAACTTCTTGTTAATATTGTAAATGCTGCCGACATTTTAGTTGGATTTTATCGATAAGATGTTTGTTAGTTGCATCTAATTAATAACAGGGATAGATCACGTATGTATATATTTCGGTCTTAGGTCAAACTATATATAAACTCATAAAAAAAAATAAAAAAAAAAAAAAAAAAAAAAAAATATATATATATATATATATATATATATATATATATATATATATATATAAACTCATAAATAGGTTTAAGTTTTCTTTGCCCTTTCTATATAACCTAACCTTAAGGATATTTGACACCGAAAGTTCTAAATTAATAATGTAGTCTATGTAGATGTCACTACATTTGAGTGGATAATCCACTAGTACTAGGACAAATTCTATTTGTATATCTTAATTAATCTTTGTCAACAAAATTAAAAAGGAATTTGTCTTACCTATTCTATATTACATTGGAAATTTTGGTAAAAAGAAAAATTATTACAACGACGTTGGTATAGGGATTGATTTAGTCGTATATGCAGGTTGTCCATTAGAGGACACCCGGAATAAAAAAAAATTATAACAACAAATAGTTTTTGCAAGATAACTAAAAAAAGATATATGATATACATAAATGTTTTTTTTTGGTGTTTTATGTAATTATTGAAGTTAGAAAACGTTTAGTATATGCATTCATACATATAATTAGATGGAAAATATAGAAGCATGTTTTCTTCAAAGTTGTACTCCCTCTGTTCCAAATTATAAGATGTTTTTGTTAAAAGCACAAAGATTAAGAAGTAATAAATGTTTATTTATTTATAAAAATTTAACCAATAGAAAAAAGGACAGCAGAATTCTAAAGGTCATAAATAAACTAAATAAACATAAATTATGCATAAAAATCTGAAAAATCTTATATTGTGGAACAAGAAAAAAAGGCTTAAACATCCTATAATTTGGAACAGAGGGAGTAATAGTGAAACAAAAGTTGGTCTTAAAACCAGAGCAATAAATACCCAGTGTATGAAGCTACAATTATTTAAGAAGATGATTATATTTTTACGGTGTTGGACTGCTTGAGGAATTTTTTTTTTTTTTTTTTTTTTTTTTTTTTGAAAAAGGCTTTCTATCCTTGAGGAATATTGAGATCTAAAAATTTTAAATATATCCAGAAATCAGTAGGATTAGTGATGTGGCAGTCAAGTATTGGCTAGAACCCTAGAAGGTTGATTTGGCAAATCTTATTGCACATGTGTGCTTCATTTCGTATGAAGTTGGGGAAAAATTTATGCAAAACAGCTAACATAAACAAGTTCGCATAAAGTAAAATAAATGTATAATACTCAATAAATAAAACAAAGCATGAGTTGCAGCTTGCAACCTTAAATCCGTACACCAACTTTTGTATTTGTGTACTCTATTACTAAAATACTAACTACACTTTTTTATTTAGAATAAAATTCTCGATAAGTTTTAGATCGAGACTCGTGTATCTCTCCATCCTATTCCTAGCGTAATCCGTTCTATGTAGGACTCGAACTAAGGGTTCTAGAAAACGTTATATTTAGAGTGTTTTAGAAAACATCATTAAATTAAAAAATATTTGGTCTTTTTGTGTCTATATGTACACATCCAAAATTACTTATAAAAATAAAGAATAATTTATCTAACACTAAGTTATATATCATATATGTTTGTGTAACGTACTAACTGAGTTTCTCTTTTTGTAAGAGTGTTATAACACATGTATAAATCGGAATGCCAAAAGAAAAAAAAAAGTTGTATGCTTATTTTCACCGTAATCCCATTGACAACATCACAGAAGTTGAAATGAAATGTAGAAAAGGAATTTATAGGTTGTAGCTTTTTCTGGACAGAGCACACAAAACAAAACTTCTCATCCTATTGGGCCTGAGCTGCTTATGGTAATGCTAACTTTTAGATGGGCCTAAATTACTATGTAAGCTAACTTTTTTCATATAACTTAGTGAAATTCAAGAACAGTAGTATCCTAAAGATCTGTAGAAATATGTCGAAAAAAAAAAAAAAAGATCTGTAGAAATATATCGCAGTCACTCATCTTACTTATATACTTGTACAGTTGTACCAAATATAATTCTTCTAAAGACCAGTGTTTGTTTTTACAAACTTTTGAAACCAAAATTCTAGCAAAATATATACATGTATAAAATGTTTTTTTGGTAAATATTATTGTCTGAAAATAATTTGTATAGTCTTTGAAAGGGACAATTATTTTAAATTAAGAAAAAGTATAAATTAGGGAAGTTGAATTTTCGTTGTTTCAAAGACAGATTCACGTCCCTTTATTTAATTACGATTTTGTATCTGCAAATTAATAGTGACGTGCGATATAATGGCGTGGAATATGTATTATTTACAATCAGAAATTGTATTTCTTCCTTTTCGGGATTGCCTTTGAAGCAATACTAAGTGCCAGCATAATTTAATGTAGATGCTGACTCGAAGATTTTAGACTTTTCCTAAAAGATAAAATAAAAAAAGTAACTCAAAATTGTTTTAAGAGCATTAATTGGTATTTATTCGTAGAGGTCACTATCCAATTAACTGACTTTGTTTTCACTAGCATGACTTTCTCTTCTCTCTTTTTTCATAGTTAGCAAAACAAAACCTTCATATAAATCCAGCCCCAATCCATTTTCCTTTTACTAAATCGCAAATCTCTTTAGGAATGCCCGATGGCCATTGGACAAACGCTTTCTTGCATACACTTCACACATAGTCGCACTATAAAAAAAAAAAACTTCAAATTCTGGCATTTTTACCAATTATCTTTAGTTGTTGATGTTGATTAATAAGTGACTTATTTACCTCAACTATTGGTGTGATATAGTTTTAAAATAATGTATTGACTTATAGGTTCTTAAACCAAAGTTTGTAACAGTTGACTCATAAATACACTAAAGTTTTCAATAATTGACAAAGACAAATACCAACCAAAGCGTATAGCGTATCGTATTCCGTCAGGAATGTGTTAAATGAAAAATTTATTCTACGAGATATTTTAATTACTTTAGGTCCTACCGAAATAATTAATGAAACACTTCTTTTTATTGTTGTAATAGCACTATCCACAGTCTAATAAAATTAGCAATTTCTTATAATATTTTTAAAAATCCATATATTTATATGGTATATGAAAACTTCTTTTATTATTATTTTCCAAAGATTACTTGTTTTGAAAATATATTAATATGGTATATGCGTGTGAATGAACATGCATCGTTGCCCTATGGAAGTGGAGTTAGGTCCGCGAAACTTTAATGACTCGTTTTTTTCACGTCTTTAATGACTCTTATTCCACTTAAATTCTCATTTATTCGTCGGTTTAATGTAATACTAGTAAAAGAATTAAGCCAGATTGTTTAAGCCTTTAAGGCTTCAAGCGTGTGTATTTTGTATAAGAATATTACTCCAGTGAATATATTTTTTTAATACTTTATAACCGTTTCAAATGGTAGGTGTTGTGGACTATTTTTTCGTTTCAGAAAGTTAGATGTTTATTTTATTTCCAGTGAATATATATCTTTTTAATTTTTTAGGTTACCCCTAATTTCATACTGAAAGAAAACTTTTTAATACTAATATATACAAACAACGGTATACTTGTAATTGCAAATAATTAAGTTTTAATATATGTATAAAAACTAAGCATCTGCTAATTTCTGGAAACAGAGAGAATAATAAAGTAAAATTATAAGTTTCCAACTAACTTAACTTGAACTAACCCGTGACTTCTTAGTAAGTTACTTCCTTTGACAAAAAATAAACATTGGGTTCTTTAAGATGTGGAATAAATACCAGTACAGTTGAACTAAATGATGTTGACCAAATAATATACGAGTATAATTTGGTAACCTCTTACTCAAATAATTAAGATAAACTATTGATCAGAAAATCCAATACATAACAATTTACAAAATAACATCCATCTCTTCCTTTCTGCATTCAATTTCTTTTCAATGAAACCCCCTGATTTATCTATCATTTACAGAAATCGAACCTACAAAATAAAGCCATTCAATTCTATCCCCAAGAGTTTTTTTCAAATCGAAATATTGAGATCAATCTTAGGCTTCTTCATGGCAGGCAAAGGAACAAACGAATGACACCTCGGGCATTTCGGATTGTTCTTCGCCACAAACACGTACGATAAGCACCCTGGACATCCAGCCGCCACCTGAGACGCCGCGGCGCTGGTGGCAGAAGCGGTTCCATCGTAAACACCGTCATCGTCAGGCGATGGGCGTTTCCTTGTATCTTTCTCCGCCCTCTCCAAAGCCGATTTCACTTTGTCTAGTGTGCAAACACTCGATAGATACGAGAGCGACGTATTTGGAGAATAAGAAGACAGAGGAGGTGGAAGAGGACGAGAGAGAGACGACGGAACTAGCTTCAGTTCAAGGTTTGTGTCTTCTTCGTCGTCGAAGAGGCTTAACAATGGTTTCGCCGGAGATTTGTCGGAGATCGGAGGGACATTCAAATCTTGAAATCTCGGAACTGTTTGGTTGGTTTGGTCTGCGTGACGATGATGAGATGATGACGAAGAGCTCGTTGAATTGCATTGTTGTTGCAGATACACTTTCCCTGACTGTTCAAAAGAATCGATTAATTATTGTGACTACTGAAAATAATTGTTTTTTCTTTTTCCGAAAACTCTCTGTTTCGTTCTTTCAAAATTTTCTCGAGAAAAAATAGCGACGAACCTTTAGGTCGAGACGTTTTTCCCATCCGTTAGGGACTTGGAGGTCAAGGTCAAGTTCCAGCGACTGTTCGTCTCCTCCTTGTCCTCCTCCCACACAACCGCCGCTTCCGAGGAGATCGCGTGTCATGAGCGCCACCGTCGATCTTGGTCCGGTGGAATCTTTTACCACCGTCCGATCATCCTTGTACATACTTAGTATCCGTACGAGAGAGCTGACGTCAGCAGCCATACCCAAGAAGCAGAGAGAAAGAGAAAGAGAGAGAGAGAGAGGGAGGTCAGTTAGGCAGAGAGAGAGTTATATAGATGGGGCCATTGTAAGAAAACAGAGTCTCAACTCTTAAAGTTAACGAGGACGGTTTTAGTAAATTTATAGCCAATTAATTTCTCTCATTTATTATTAAAAAATATACTATGATTAATTTCTCATATTTTTATATTTGCATGGAAATTCTTTAATGTTATTAAGTGTACCATTTGTTGTCTACCGTCAAAGATTGAATTTCATGTGTAATTATTTATTCTACACCTTACAATATGTAAAAAAAAAAGAACAAATTCGCAATTGTAGAATCATACATCAACTTTTTTCCTCACAACATATCTTTTGTCCTACATTTAGAAAGTGGAGATTGAATTTGAACCCATTCATGTCAAAGTGGGCAGGCTCTAGGTAGAAACCATCAAACCCATAATTCAGTACTTTATGAATCAAACTTCACTATACTAATTCTTGGTAAAAGAAAAATCTTTTTTTTTTTGGCCAAGTAAGTATTAGTAAATGAATAAAATAAACAAGAGTAACAAATTAACAGCCAAAAGGCCAAAGGAAAGGTGTGGAGGGAGGAATTCAAGGAGGAAGCAGACACAAAGTGTAATAAATGCGAAGAAAATAAAACGCATTAAATGCATGGAAACTACAAGTAGATTCAAGCTTCTTTCTATCCATCAAATTACACATTTTACCCCTCCCTACTCCTCTCTCTACTTGTAATCATAATTTTCAATTTCTAAGTTTTACGTTCAAATTCAATTAAATACTCAATTAACTACGCATTGATGAATTATGTATTTAATGCACTTCGTCTTCTTTTGTATTGGGCACGTCAAAGATATTTAATGAAGTAGGTATTGATACGAATGTGGTATTTAGAGTAACCCACCATTAGCATTAGTATGTGTTTGTGATATCTATAGCCCTTTTTTAAAAAAAAAATTATCCAATCTATAGCGTAATTATATATCTTGACTTTTCGAAATCTTATAATAACCAAAGTCTTACGTATGATATATCTCTAAAATATTCATTTAGTCCCCAATAATATCAGCCTCTATTCATTCTGCCTACCTATATTCTTTTTGTTGTTGCATATCTATATATATTCGACTATGGTGAATTGACATTATAAAAACAATTTTTAAAACATATACTGTATATATTATATACTAATTCTTTAAAGTAAGAAAATATACCACTTAGTTAATTATATTCTAAAGTAAAATCTATTAGTGTTTGGGAGTTAAATTTTATGATTTCAGAGTTTAGAGTTTAAACTTTTAGATTTAGAGTTTATTTTTTAGTATTTAACGTTTAAATTTTGGAGTTAAAGATTTCAAATTATTATAATTTAAATTATTTCATAACATTCATTTGATATAAAATTATATAAATTGTAGTAACCGTTATAAGGCGTTAGAAAAAAAAACTTAACAGCATTGTATTATCTTTTTTAGAATCCAGAAAATATCATTTATGATTTTTGTCGATAATATATAATATAGACAATGAAATTACCAATTAAAATTTATAAATTAAAACTTATAACGTTCTATTCTCTTTTTTATAATCTAACGATATCATTTACGTTTTTTGTCGATAATATATAATATATACAAAAATATTAACACAAACTACCAATTTACTAGTCAAATTTATTTTTTAATCTTACAACGTTCTACTATCTTTTTAAAAATCTATGTTTTGTCGATATTATATAGACAAAACGATATTGACACAAACCACCAATTCACTAATTTAAATTTATTAATTAAAGTTATAACGTTCTATTTTGTTTTTGAAAATCTAAACATTTATGTTTTTTTCGATAATATATAATATTACAACGATATTAACATAAACCACCAATTTACCAGTCAAAATTTATTATTCAAATTTATAACGTTTTATTGTCTTTTTAAAATTTAAAAGAGATTTTCGTTATCATTAATATATATATAAAACAATATTAACATAAGCCATGCATTTAACAATTAGTAAAATTTAGTAATTAAATTTAAAGAAAAAGGGTTAGATTATTGCATGCCCTCCTGACTACGATGACGTGGCTTCGGTCGGAGGTGGCAAACTGGCAACAAACTTTTCCGTTCATCCAACTAATCCAATTATCAAACTTATAGTATTTCTTTCATTCATTTCGTACACAATTAGTCACATATCTTGTGTATTCTATGTGAAATATGAATATCAAACTTTATTCTCTTTTTAAAAATTTACCGAAAAATGTGCTCAACAAGCAAACGGAATTAATGACGGTCCTTCTTTACATTGGTAGAAACACATACTCGAAATTTAAGTGCTAATTAATTAGTATTCGACCAAATGCGTATGGTTTATTTGCTACTAATCTGATTCTGATATGCAAAATAAAGTCAAATTGCAAAAACGTATATTGGTGGGACAACTATAGTTAAATGGAGTTTCTAGGAAAATAAGGAAGGTGTGCATTTAAGACCTTTAAATAATAACGTTGAAAACGTTATGATAAACATAATTTTCTATTTTCTTAGTAGTACAAGTAAAAAGGTGAGGAAGTGATGATGCTCACGGGCGATATTCTCACGACACCAGCACAATTAAAGCTCTTTAATTTTCAACACACACACATACTGTTCAAAATACATGCACGTACCTTTTATTTCATAAATCCTAACAGTATCAAATTTCCTAATAAACGGACAATGTAGATGCACACAAAGTTTTTTCTTTTTCAATTTTGACACATCGAATTTTTTTTTTTTTTTTTTTTTTTTTTTTTTTTTAAAAAAAATTTTTAAAATTTTTTTTTAGTGGTTATAGATTCACTATTCCTCACACTAAACACTTGATTTCCCATGATCATGAACCAGTAGTAATTCATGTTATTTAAACATCTCTCTTCATATTTTGTTAACGTAATATTAAGTATAGGAGTACATAAAAAAACTAAAAAATTAATCTTCATGGTTTTTTTATAAAAAAACTTCATGAAACGGAAAGAGTTTTAGTTTGGAGTAGTTGGTTGGAACAAATAAAGTATTCTACCAAACAAAAAATTATTTATATTTTAGTCCCTATTTCTAGCAGAAGCCAGAAATCAATATATGGGAGTTACTCCTAACTAGACGGCTAAGCCCTAAATGTATACAGATTACAGAGAGACCCATATAATAATAGTATGAATTAAATTGGACATATATTTATTAATGGTAGCGAGACTGGTCTTGGGATTTGAATGCATTTTAATGCGAGATCGGTAAGGGTTTTTAATACGAATATTAAATGGCACTCACCTTTTATGCTATGATAATAATTTAAGAAAGTTAACTTTAATTGTTATAAAATGCATCTGAAAACCTTAAATTCCGAGGCCATATGGAAGTTGCAGCAGTCTGAGATCGGATTTTCCACCACCTACCAGCTTTTTCAATACTATTTCTTAAGTATTGTTTTGTTTGCTTGCAATCACAGATTGTTCAATGTTCCTTTACCAAAATTTTGTTGACCTTTTCAATGCTTGGACTCTGGATGGAGTCTGTTTTAAATTGGGCTTAAATTGTTGGTTAACCAAGTTTTGTAGTAAAATTAGCAAAAAAATCGTGCTCGCAAAACCATATTATTTGCGTGTGATTTAAATGAATATTGTGACATTATATATAAAAAATGTGTTACTGGACAAAATAACATGCTGCTCGTTAGTATACATGCACACTCCATATTGTTTTTTTTTTTTTTCGTCAAAATAAAAATTATATTAACTGATTAATGTCATTACAAGTTTGATTTGAGAGCACACTCCATATTGTTTAAAAAGGGATGCGATATATGAAAAACTTATTTACGATTGTCTTCCATTCTTTTTACAAATAAAATGGTAATTTTTTTTGGCTATATAGTGTTTTTTTTCTCTTTTTGGTTGTATATTTCATATCATTGAAGATTTAAGTATTCAATTCTATTTTCCAGTAACTATAATTTGCATGTAGTTTATAATAAATCAATATAATAAACGAATTGCCTTGATTTATCAAAAAAAAAAAACTTTGCATGTAGTTTCTGATAAATGAATCATAAACTTTGCATTCACCGTCGCTACCACTATCAAATTTTCATCGACTAAAAAAAAAAAAAAAAAAAAAAATCATCGACTGAAAAATGAAAACACGAATGCTACTTTTCTAAAGGATTGGGCTTAAACCAAAAAGGACCACATAGTGTGGGTTTCTTAAGCCCATATATAATATAAAGCTACAAAATCTTCAATCTGTTTTGTTTTGACATCAGCAAATGCTTATATTTTGCATTCTCTTATGATAAAAAACGCCATATTATATTATATAATAATGAGAAATCATTTCTTTGTTTAAGTAATATATATTTAAACGTAAAAATAGCAAATTAGATTTTTACGTAATCTTTTAGTGTTTTACCGATACGCTTTGCTATTATCAGTAGCAACTTGACATTTGTAATTTACCTAAATAAATATTTGCCCTGTAGCATTATGTAGTTAAATCTAATTTTTCTGAGCATGATATAATAATATGAAATATATACCACATTACCACTAAGAAAATTGTTTATTTTAATTTTTGGCTGGATCTATTTTATATACACGTATGAGTTTTTAATTTCAAAAATTTGATAACATGCAAGATTATAATAAAATAAACAGCAATTAATATTTCGTATATTAACGTTTCGTCATGCATATGTAATGTGATCGTCTCGCTTTTTCTCAATTCATCAAGTACTAAATTTTGTTTCTTAATTTATGCATTTGTTTTTAAATTAAATATAAATTTGCGAGTCCTGTTTGGACCTTATGAGTGATTAGTTAGGTAGTCATGACTCATGAAAAAGTCATCACTATTAAGCAAATCTTCTACCAACCAACTCCTATAATTTTAAAATTTTAATTTATATATTTTCCAAGATTAGGTGCCCATATTGGGGTTACTTTATAACTATTTCATAATTGTTATAAAACACATCGT